ATCAAACCGAAGGTACACATACTGAATTATTGGAAATTCAAGAGAAATTTAAGTAATTCACATTCCCAATATGAAGCACCTCACATCAGGTTAAACGCATGTACATTTTTGCATATATCTTCATGTACACTTTTGCATATATCTTCGTGTACATTTTTGCATATATCTTCATGTACATTTTTGCATATATCTTCATGTACACTTTTGCATATATCTTCGTGTACACTTTTGCATATATCTCCTTCTTCATTTTCATTCGTATATACATATTCCCAATTGCGAAAAAAGGGGAAAAGAAAATGCAAAGTGTTAACCTGCACACCTATATTCTCTCCATCTCCGTGTGAATGGGAAAAATGCCAAAGAATGGTATTTACACACAAAGATGGGAATTCATCGTATGAATTTATCTCATTTATTTTTTCCACTTCTTGAATTGATCACACACATGATTCATATTCTTTTACATCCAAATCAGGAATGAACACGCTATGAAAACGCACAAGGAACAATGTTATAAGGTTAAAGGTGTAAACATTACATTGGATAGGAAGAGGGAACATAACGAAAAAAGCAATCAGAAAGAGAATGTTGGGAATAGTGGAAATATTGACAAGGTTGAGAAGATTGAGAAGATTGAAAAGGTTGAGAAGATTGAAAAGGTTGAGAAGACTGAAAAGGTTGAAAAGGCTGGGAAGATTGAGAAGACCGAGCCGAAAAAGAACATTTTTAAACTGAACGATGATTGCCTGCACATGCATGATGAATATGAGAAACATAAGAAAAATACATTTCGAAAATCCTTGTCTCTATCATATGGAAAAAGAAGAGTAAAGAGAAAAGAGTTAAGTCCAGACGATTTCACTTTTTTAAAAGTAATTGGACGGGGATCATACGGAAAAGTGTTACTTGTAAAATTTACAGAAAACAGCAAGTTATATGCAATGAAAATATTGAGAAAAGAAAATATTCTTTCAAAAAATCAATTGGAACATACAAAAATTGAAAGAAATGTATTGAAATGTGTTTCTCATCCATTTATTGTTAAATTATACTATGCTTTTCAAACATCAAATAAATTATACTTTATATTAGAATATTGCCCAGGTGGAGAATTATTTTTTCATTTCTCAAAATTGAGAGAATTTACAGAAGAAGTGACCATTTTTTATGCAAGTGAAATTATATTAGCCTTACAATATTTACACAGTTTAAATATTGTATATAGAGACTTAAAGCCAGAAAATGTTTTATTAGATGAATTTGGACATATCAGACTAACCGATTTTGGTTTATCTAAAGAAGACGTTTCAGATAACAATTCAGCTATGTCTCTCTGTGGAACTCCTGAATATTTAGCACCAGAAATTATAAGCCAATGTGGACATGGAAAAGCTGTGGATTGGTGGAGTTTAGGTATCATGATATATGAAATGTTAACTGGAAGATTACCATTTAATAGTTCCAGTAGAGTTGTTCTATTCGAAAAAATTAAATACGAAACTTTGAGATATCCAGGTTTTTTAAAAGTCGAAGCTATTGACCTTTTAAAAAAATTATTCGAAAAAGATCCCAGGAAAAGGTTAGGATCAGGTGTTACGGATGCAGAAGAAATTAAAAATCACCCATTTTTTAAAAATGTCAATTGGGATGATGTACTAAACAAAAAGGTAAAACCACCTTTTAAACCACCCTTATTTAACCAAATGGATGTTCAAAATTTTGACATGGAATTCCTGTGTATGCCTTTGAGATACTCTGACAAATTTGACACCAATCCGCTTTCCTTCAAATACAAAAAATCTAACGTAATTAAGGGTTTCAACTACAGCTTGTATGATTAGTTCTAGCAAAAAAATGGAAAATCAAAAAAATTAAAAAAATTAAAAATTAAAAAAATAAAATAGAATAAAATAAAAATACTCAAATACTGGCAAAATTAATAGAAAAAATAGGAACAAGTTTTTGGTTTTTTTTTTTTTTTTTTTTTTTTTTTTTTTATATATTATCTCATTTCATCATGGCCGCACCTTGCACTTTTTACACCTTTCATTTTATTTGTTTCTTTGTTTAATTAAGTAATTGATCGTCCTTTTACTTACCCATTCGATTGTCTCTCCGATTTCGCCGTATGTTTGAGCCCCCTCCCCGTTTGACATCGAGTCCTTGCATGACCCGAGCTTATTCATCCTGTACATGTTCAGAATTTGTGAGAGACGCATCTATTGTGTGCCATCTCATAACATATTTTTTAATAAAAAGTTTATCCTTTACATTTGTTTCGTTCACATACACATCGTTCGTATTCCGTATACAGAGATGGCCTTACACATGATGACGTACACACGATCGTCCATCCTCTCTGATAATTCATTTCTCTCACACGAGAGACACACATACACACACACACCTATCATATATGCTTGTGTTCATAGGCAGTAGACCTAACTACACAAAATGATACTTTTGTGTCAATTTTACTGTGTCGATAAGAGATATACGTACATTCGTTTTATCACGTTCCCAAGATATATCCTATCTGTATATATATCCTAGGCAATACCTTTTCTTTAATTTTTTTTTTTTTTTTTTTTTTTTTTTCAACATGTTTATTTGTACATATCGCTCATCCTGTATATCTCATACTCTCCATAGCCGAATATATATATTTTTTTTTTTTTTATATTACCCATTAAATTTTCTTAACGATTAATTAAAAAGTTTATTTATATGCATATTGTTTCAATGTAACATATATATAAATAAATGCATGTGTGTATGTTTACAAACAGATATAAACCAATGCTTGTTTAGCATATTTCTATTTTTATGTATGCATGCCAAACGTTTTAACTAAAAATGTATACAAAAAATAAAAGTAGTTTGTTTATTCATTTATTTATTTTTTTTTTTTTTTTTTTTCTTCTTGGGGCAGGGGATATACGAATTGTTATACCATATTTGTAAAACAAAAAAAAAAAAAAATATATAAAATAAACAAAATAGACAAAATAAACAAAATAGACAAAATAGACAGAATAAACAAAAAAAACAAAGTAAACAAAATAGACAAAATGTAATATGAAAATATATTCTTTCCTTATGTATGCCTGTACATGAGCAGATACCTCTCTATTCCCTATCCCAAGTAGTATCACTCCATTGCACCAGGTCGTGTTGTATGAATTATGATCATTTTCAACGTGTCTTATTTTTTTTTTTTTTTTTTTTCTCTTTTCTTTTCTATTTAATTGTTCTTTTTTTTTTTTTTTTAAATTGAATTTAAAATTATAGCAAAATAAGGGAGTTTTTTTCTTATATATACATGTGCATGTGCTGAAGCACTACGTAGATAAACAAAAAAGCCAAAATTTTTTGAAACGAAAATAAGCAAAAAAAAAAAATGTTCCTTCTTTTTCAAAAAAAAAAAGGAATTAAAAAATATTTTAATATATGAACGATGTCTAAATTGATGGGAAGAAAAAAAAAAAAAAAAAAAAAAAAGAAGTCCATGTGTAACTGGTTAGTAGAATTTCTGTATGAGTTCTACCACTTCTTCTATGTTGTTATTTTTTACCGACCCGCTACAAATTTCCTGCATTATGTATACGAAAAAAAAAAAAAAAAAAAAAAAAAAAAAAACAGTAAGCGTAGTGTATTAATTAGTGATGGAGAAAATACCCCTCATTTGTTCGGCACACTGAGTATAATAATCTGTACGTGCATACAAAAGAAAACTCAACGGTACTTACTGTATGACAAGGAGCCCTTTCAAATCGAAAGAATTCCGAATTGGCACCAAGAAAACATTCTGTCTCATCATTGTAGTCGTCATCCAGACTATTATATTTGGACATCTTCAAAATTTCTCTGAAAATTTGTGCAACATTAATAATATATATATATATATATGTATATATATTCAGTTTTAGATAATTTATAAAACGTTAATTTCATAGGAAAAAGGCTTAGTGACGACGAGAGTAAACTTTTGAAATTTTTGTCACTTTTTCCTGCTGCCGTTTTTTCTTTTTTTCTCCTCATCTCATCCCATCTCATCTCATCTTTGAGGGCCTTACATTTCCCTCTCCAAGTCTTCCTTAATGACTTGTTTCGGTCGAGAATTACATAAATCCGTCTTGTTGCAAAGTATGATAATGGGGATTTGCTTTTTCACAATTAGCTTGTTGGTGTACAGCTCGAATAGTTTCCTGAAAAAAAAGAAAAATAATATAAAAATAATAAATTAAAATAAAAATAATAAAATAATAAAGTAAAATAAAAACATTTAAAAATTTTGCTCATTTTGAGCCCCTCCTTAAAGTTAGCATATCTAGTTTGATGAAATATAACCACACTGTTGCAGCAAAACAATGGAGATACACACGTGCATATATTGTCTATACACACGTGCATATATTGTCTATACACACGTGCATATATTGTCTATACACACGAGCACTATTGCACTTGTAAGGTAGTTAAAAAAAAAAAAATAAAAAAATAAAAATAAAACACAAGCACACGTGGTGTAAAATTACTCTGCAACAATTTTAAGAGACTGTCGATCTGAACAATCCAAAATGTATATAATAACATTTGTAATGCTGAAATATTTATTTAATGCATAGGATAATTTGGGATGCCCTGGAAAATCAACAAATCGAATACATTTTTGCCATTTGTCCTTCTTTAAATTTATAAAGGCTATATTTTCCTTCATAGATGGAACAGTTCTACATATTTTATCAGTTTTGAGTTTGAATAAAAAAGTGGTTTTCCCACTGTCACAGGGTCCTAATAATAACACTATTTTATTTGGTTTGGATCCCTTGCAAAATATACTAAATAATATAAAGATAAGATAAAAAATAAACACAAATCCAAAAAGAACTGATATTATGAACAGCAAATTGTGAAACTCGTTCAGGTTTATTCCATATTTCATTTCATGTTCTCTAATTTTCTCGATTGCTAATTTTAAAAAGTTTACTGCAGAGTCCATTTTGGCCGGTCAGCCCTTTTTGGCAGATCAGCCCTTCGGCCGTTTGGGAAAATTTTATCTTTGATCTCGGGACAATATTTTGGCTCGAATTGCTTGGGTGATATATTCCTGGTTTTGAGGATTGACCAACTCTCTCTGCTAATCTAAATGGTAGCAAATATGATCAACCTCGTGCGTTTACTGATTTGTACTGCGTACATATGTATATATGAACATATATGAACATATATGAACATATATGAACATGTATAAACATGTATGAACATGTATGAACATATATGAACATGTATGAACATGTATGAACATATATGAACATGTATGAACATGTATGAACATATATACACATATGTATACATATATACACATGATATATGGGCACGTGTGGGGGGCCCAAGAGGATGTCTCTCATCCAGTTCATCAGTTAATAGCAACTGCTGAATTAGTCTTTTAACATCCTTAATCAATGTGTTCTCTTCCTTGTGTTCTTGTAATTAACTCGAATTCGTTGATCCTAAGCACGAAGAAAAAAAAGAATAAAATAAAATAAATAAAAATGGAATAGAATAGAATAAAATGGAATAGAATGAAATAAAATAAAATAAAACAGAATAAAATAAAATAATATGTATAAAAGAATTGCTTGGCCTTGGGGTGCTTGGTCACACCCACTCGTCATGCTGAATGAGGCACATAGTTCTCTATCTCTTGGAATACTATTCAAGCGAAGGACTCAGAGATATACATCACCACCACCATTTATTGTATTTTCCATCCTATTTTTTCAGTTAGCTAATGAAATACACGTCACACAAAGATGTTGTTACTCTCGTGAAGTATTTCGCTTACAAGGGATGAGCAATCGAGGGAAAAAGGTAAAAAAAAAAAAAAAAAAAAAAAAAACAGCGTAATGCCAATTATAGCAGGCACTATAGCAGCTACTGTAGCGGCAATTAAAATAATTATAGTAAAACACGCATGGGCCAAAATTGGTCTAATGCAAACGTACACCCTCATACCCAGGCTTTCCGTATGCTTCTTAACCTTATGCTTATTATATGTTAAGGGAAATTCGTTTCATGGGTGGGAAGATAAAAGTCGTTCGAACTGCAAGCTCCATGTCATCAAATGAGAGCGATCAGATCATTAAATCAGGCAAAACACAGATTCAGAGAGGAAAAGTGTTAAGCCGAAAAATTGGAAAAATTGGAAAAACTGGAAAAAATTGGAAAAAATTGGAAAAAATTAGAAAAAATTAGGAAAAAAAATAGGAAAAAAAATAGGAAAAAAAATAGGAAAAAAAATAGGAAAAAAAAATAGGCATAAAATTAGGGAAAAAACTAGTAAGCAAATGGGGAAAAAAACAAAATGTCAAATTATAATAAAGAAACACAATCAAATCGAAACAAAACAGGGCAAACCAAAAACAGAGCAGAGGAAAATAAAAGCAACTTGTGCGGTCCTGTAACAAAATTTCTGCTCATACAGCTTTTTTTCTCCAGCGTTGAGTAAAATAAAGTAGCATCTCATTGATGGGCTGAAGTTCGTACCTAGATTTGTAAATTTTTTTTTTTTCGTGTTCCTTTTTGTGGTGATGTAGATATATTTTTCCTTTTTCTCCAATTCTGCATAAAAAGTGAAAAAATTGCTTCACGCACGGAAGCAGTGAACACACAGCAATTTCCTTCTGCTAATTTTTTATTTCACATAAACATTTTCATTTCTCCGAAAAAAAAAGATTAACATGTGCTGCAAACCTGACTCGAAGGAGGGTGGGTAAAAAAAAAAAAAAAAGATACCATTTTCTTACTCCTCCTCTTGTGATTATTTCAGTTCAATCCTGATCAACTGTTTTTTTTTTTTTTTTTTTTTTTTTGGCTTGCTTATCTTCTCCGGTAAGCATACACATATATATATATATATATATATATATATATATATATATATATACATATACAAATGTGCATACATGTATATATGCATGTCCCTTACTATACCTCTCCAGCATGTACACTATCAGTTGAGCAACGGGTTGAAACGATACAGTAACATTTTGCGTGTGTTCGAGGCACATTTAAGAAGGCACTCGTGGGACACTTCCCCTTGTAGAAATATGTAACTGGGAATATGAAACTGGGATGTAGTTTTCCTAGGTGAGTCTCACCAAACGTGTGTTCGTTCATATTTGGATAACTGAGTGTGTATGTGTAAATAAATGGTCAAAATGAAAAGAAAGCTGAAATATTTATCGTGACAAATATATATATATATATATATATATAATTGCAATACTGCTCGGGTAAATTTTTGGGAAAAAATGTTGTGCTAACTATTCAGAACCTCAGCATTCTGAGAACCGAAGTTATTCGCTTTCCACACATTCCAAAATATTTAGAAAAAAGGAACTGTACATTGAAGGAATGGAGATATAGTCGTTATATCTTGACCCAAGCCAATTTGTCATTGATAATTGACCTGCGAACAATGTTACTTTTCCAGTGCTGATTTTTTAAGCCAATTGTTTTAAGGGAAACAATAGAAGGAGTAAATTTAACTAAGACATAATTGTCTCTATAATCATCGGGTATGAGATAAGACCATTTATTAGTCCAAAAAATATTTCGAACAATATCACTTTCAATGATTGAAGCATTTCCAGCCAAAGTGACATAAATATTTTTGGTGTCATCAGAGTATAATAGACTTATATATTCATTTTTCTTTTTTAAGAAATTATGTATATCTGTATTTTTGGAAATACAAAAGTATAAATAATTTAGGGGTAATTCTGTCGAAGATTTCAAGTTCATAATTTTATGCATTAATGGTCTATTCATTGAATATAACAATTTGGTTATATCATCTGAATTGCCAGTTTTTTCACGTTTTGGTATTATTTCTTTAGAACCATTACTACTCTGTGTGTACCTCATTTTAGTAACTTCATCATCCTCTTCTGGTGCCTTCTCAGTTTTTTTTAATTCATTACTTAATTGGTCAAATTTACAAGACATTATTTGCTTTTTTTCTTCGTCCACTTCCCCTGTTTCGTAATTCACTTCACAATTTTCAGGATCTAATGGGTCAATAAAAAAGGTCTTAATTTCATTATTCTCAGAATACACACAGAAACATTTCGAATTGCCTTGTATCAATTTAAGTGCTTCTTTAATTATATCTTCTGAAGAATCAAATGAAAAATTCAGTTCAGCTAATTTCACACTTTCAACATACTTAAAGAGGTACATAATTCCTACTATTGGTATGCTTTGGAATGTTATAAAAATAAACAACCTTTTAAATTTTCCTCTTTTATTCTTGTATTCCTTTTTCTGTTTCTCTTCTCTCCGTTCACCTTGTTCATCATACTTTTCACGTTTAGCCCATCGTTCATCAAGGTCATTTTCATTCAAAAAATTCTCCTCTCTCCTTTTCATCATTGTGGGATCCTGTTCCATTTTTAAAATTTCCTCTATTTCGTTTTTTATTATGTCATTTTTTTCATTTCTAAAAAATAAATACCTCTTCTGTATTTTTGTAAGACCATTTATTTTACCTCCATTTGCCATTAAGCAAATCTTACCCATGAAATTCTTCTTTCTTATAATTTCCATTTCGTGTAATCCTCTAGCCCCTCTATGTGCCTCCCTACACTTTATTATGAATCTCTTATGGACGTTGATATTCATCTTACGTTGTTCTTATTTCATCACATGGCTCACACTTTTCAAAAAATGCACTAGAAGTATTTCTCTACAAATGCATATGGTTGTACAGTTGTGAATCTTCACGTAGGGATAGCAAATGTATTCGGGACATGTACCATAATATCTGAGTTTTTTTATTTTTTCTTTCCGCTCCCTTCTCAATCGATATAATTGTGAGTTTTTTTTTTTTTGTTTTTTTTTTTTTTTTTTTTTACCCAAGTGATATATCGCACGTTCACACTTCCAAATGGGAAAAAACAATGTGCTCCATAAATTCGTAACAACACTTAGCGCTACCCTCTAACGAAACACAGCTTAAGAACAATTTCCACGTGGAGACTATTTTCAAAACTGATGTGTTAAACATGTGCATATGCAGGTACGTATCACATGTATATATATATATATAAACTTACATTTACATGTGTACATATCTCCACCTGGGGAGATGATTTGTCGCTAGTTTTTGGCCATGTTTTGGCTGGCTCATAACAGGACTACAAAAAGTAGATGAGAGAAGAAGATGTTGCAAGCAGCTCTTGCATAATCTGATCCCCTCAACTTGAAAAAAACAAAAGTAAAACAAAGAAAAATAAATAAATAAATAAATAAATAAATAAATAAGCACGTGAATTAATAAATAGCTAATAAAATTTACCTGAAAATTCTTTACCCTTTTTTTTTTTTTTTTTGTTCCCTATCCCTCCAAACACAAAATATGAATATAAACTGAAAAAATACTTGGGCCATTTCTATACAAAATATTTGCTAAAACATTTTGTATTATATTCAAAATGCTTGCCACTCCTTTTTTTTTTTTTTTTTAATTTTAATTTATAAGAAAAATAACCCAAAAAAATAGAAAATTTCTTCATTTTTTTTAATTATTATGCAATATAGGGGATAAAGTCGAATAGAATAGAGTTAGAATAATTGAAATGATATATGATAACTAGTTAAGTAGCAAAATATGAATCACATGTAGAAATGTTGTATAATAATAAAGAAATCAACATACACATTTGGATATACAACAACATTATACATTTCAACTTTTATAGTTGGTCTCCCTTTTGCTCATAATTTTCCATGTAGAAAATGATGGATTCTCGTTTATGAATTTTTTTTTTTATTTTCCTTAAATTTCTTAAATAGGTGGGAGCTTGGTACCAAAATGGGTTAACAAAAAAAAATAAAGAAAAATAAAATAAGTTCAATAAAATAAGGTAAACAAGATAGAGTAAATAAAAAGAAAGTAAAAATGGAATATTAAATAAAACAGTCTATACCCACGTGTGGATGTTACACGGTGAGATTGCTTTATTCCACCAAACGGTGTAAATGAGAGAAAAGGCATAGATGCTTTATCCAGCACGGATATTTTAAGACAAGACAGATGAGATCCTGCAGACAGACATGCGAACAGGCAGCACATTCTACAATTCGGACAGGCCACATGTTCTACAATTCGGACAGGCAGCACATTCTACAATTCGGACAGGCAGCACATTCTACAATTCGGACAGGCCTCATGCTCTACAATTCGGACAGGCCTCATGCTCTACAATTCGGACAGATTGTTCAGATATCCCATTTTGTCTCTATGTTGCTTTAACTTAAGAGCTTCATAACGTCTCTTCTCAAATCCATTTCCTCGTACAACACCATCCCATCTATAACCAGCCAAAATGTTGAACCTGTTGTATGGGGACTGATATCTGCATGTTGCTTTGGATGCTTGTTCCTTTTGGCCCAAATAGATATTCATAGGATCCTCTTTTCTTTGCATATTCTTTAACTCTAAATCATAATCTGAATCATAATCATAATTTACTATGTTTCTTTTATTTATCAACTTATCATTTTCTTGCATAATTTTTTTTTGAATTTCTTTTTGAATCAGACCACTTTCCCATTCAAGTTTCTTCGAATCCTTTTCACTTACACCTTTTTCTTTTTTTTTTCTTTTTTCTCCCCCCTTATCGTGATTTTCCTTTTCCTTTTTCTTACCTCTTCCATACTTGTCATGCATATCCATTTTTTGTTTACTGATCCATTCTTCCCTGGAGATTATTTTCCCTCCCTTGTCTCTATATATGGTAGATCCTACTTCTTTCTCTTTTTTATCTCTTGATGTAGTTACAAATAACTCATTTTTTTTCTCTATCATCCTAGGCGATCTGATATATCCAATTTCTTCCTCATTATAAACATCCTCATCATTATTATGATCATGTTCAGATTTTCTTATAAATTTTGACACCTTTCCATCTGGTTCCCTTCTCGACGAGTATCTTTTCATCTGCCCGCATCTTGTTTTTGTGCTTCGTGCCTCTTCCAAGCTATATTCACTCTCACTTCCACTTCTTAACTTTCGAGGCAAAGACAAATCTGAATCACTTTCATAATCATATGATTTTCTAGGACTTGCTGTCTGATGTGGTGAACGACATTTTCCTACATGGGGAGGAATACACCAACCATTTTCTTTTTCATCAAGTTGTAATGAGTTATTTTTATAAGAATTATCATCTCTCGATGCTTTCTCACTACAGCTGCTGTTTTTACTCGAAGAAGTGTATGTTTTTCCACATTTTGGATTCTTTTGACTGTGTCTATTATTATTTTCTCTAATAAATTTGTTAATATTTGTGTCGTATTTGTTTTTATTTATTTTTTTAACCGTCTTTTCTGTTAACAATTCACTATTCAAATTCTCCAAAATTTTTTTTTTGTTTTCTTTTGATATATTCACTATTTCCATACTATTCTGTTCCGTAATTGTTATTGGGATATCAGAACTTCGGTCCGACTCCGACTCTAAAAAATTCTCACCATCAGAATTGAAATTCATTATATTACTTTGAGCTTCTTTCTCATTTTCTTCGCTATCATATATTTTTATATTATTTTTTTTACATTTCTTATCCTTTTTCGCTTCCTTTTTCATATATTTCTTCCTTAAATATTCATCCATTCTTTTTGCAAGGAGTATTTTTTACAACTGATGCTATGATTTTTTTGTATTACGTGATGTCCACACTGATATCTTAGTACAGCTTGGTTCGCACCATGCGCATATATATATATATATATATATATATATATATATATATATATATATATATATATATATATGTACATATGGGAGAAGCTGGTGCTGCTGTTTGAGCTTGTATGGTTTGTTACATGAAAACTACATTAGATGTATGCAGTGCACATTACTTGTACAAGCTATGTATGAACACATATAAATGCACAGTTTCAAGAGACACTCTTCGCACTTTTTAAAAATCATGTGTAGCTTTTTTAACAAAAAAAATCTTTATCTTTACCTTCTCTATGAGGAAATAATTTTTATTTTGTTTTGTCAAATTCCAGAATCATTTGTTGTAAATCCTCCCCTCCACAAAAAGACACACACACACAGGCGCATACTCACATATACAGCATATGTGTACACCATATTTCAGCACACTTTTCAAATTGTAAAAATTATTAAGAATATGTAATTTAAAGTTTACTCTCTTTATGTTCTAAACCTTCCACACCATATCTATATATTTGCCTGATAATTGTCCCATTTATAATTTATCTTTATAAATAACGCATGTTAAAAGGATCCTTTTATGTATTTTATTATATTCCCTTTTTTCCTTCAAAATGTTTTATTAAATTAGGGAAAAAATCCTTTTTTTTTTTTCTTATATTCTGTATAATTTTTCCTTGTTTTTTGCTCTTACTAGTTTAATAGGTAGTTTTTTCTTTTTTTTTTTTATGCCAAATTGGAGTAAATTTATAAATACATTTAACACTATAACGGGGAAACCATAAATCATCAATTTGACGCTGATGGTGGGTTAAATGATGGAAATGACATGCCAAATGAAAAAAAAAAAAAAGGAATAGAAAAAAGAAAAGAGTAAGAAAGAATAAAATACTTCTTCCTATGGGCAACGTTTTGTCGCCTTAAATTTTGTGTAAGAGTGAAAATTGAATTGCTCTCCTTTACATTTTTAATTATTTTTTATTTTCATTTTTCTATTCTATTCTATTTAATTATTATTATTTTTTTTGTTTATTTTTGTTTTAATTTGATTTTTTTTTTTTTTTTTTTTTTTTTTTTTTTTACTTCTCCACCTTAACGTTCAGGTAAAATATTTCAAGTTGCAGCCATCCCCTCAAGCGTTCATATTTTCACATAGAAAAGCTTTCTCTTCTCTTACTGTATGTGTATACATATACCTCAATGAGTAAGGAACATGTAATAGAGATATAGTAGCAAAAAAATATATTAGCATATGTTTTATGTGCGTATCCCTTCCTACTTAATATAAAAATATATGAAATCCAAATCCGATTTTAATGAAAGATGAAAATGAATATGAATATGACCCACAATCTCATTTCCCTTGTAGAGAAGACTCACCAGAGTTTTTTTTTTTTTATTACACATACGATTAACACATGAGCAGCAGTACTAGAGCAGCACATGTAAAAAATAGCCCCACTTGGCTGCAGAACCCAAAATGAAGAAAATGAGCATAACTAGAAGAAACTACAAAAGCAACTTAACATCATATAAATTTTTCTCATCTACAAAGTACGAGAAAAACACAAAATTTAGAGGAGAAGAATTCTATAAATATCACCACGAGCAGTATGTAGATAAAGTCCATTTAAGGCCAGACTTATATTTAAAAGATAACGAAGACAAGCATGCCCATGATAACAGATTAAAAAGAAACATGCCATTTGTTTACAGCAATGAAGTAAAAAATTTAGAGGAATTAAAGGCATGCCCACTTACTCTTGTTAATGTTAAAAACACAAATAATGAATCATTTGGTGTTGCAACATTTAATCCATATTCTCTAATTACAGCAAGGGTGATAAGTACTAATGCACTTTTTCCCGTAAACATAAATTTTTTTATTGAACGGATAAAGAACTCTTTGTTATGGAGGAACAAAATAATTAATGGAGAAAAAAAAGTGAAACGGTATAATACTACATTGGGAATTGCAACTCATACTTTAGATGATATCTCAATTGAAAAAACAAAGGTGATTACAAAAGGTGATGATGTGCGAATGAATCCAAGTGTGGGCATACCACGTGCTCAACCGAATGATCACGCTTCTCTTGGTATTTACAAGAATAATACAAATGCTCATTGTATAGAAACAGATTTAGATAGCAATATGTGCTATAGACTTATTAATAGTGAAGGTGATAACATACCTGGCCTTATTATTGACAGGTATGATAAATATATCAGCATTCAACACTTAACAGTTGGGATGGAGCTGTTGTCTTGTAATATTAATGAAGCAATTATAGAACTATTAAATCCTAAGGCTATTATATTTCGAAATGATAATAAAGAACGATTAAATGAAAAATTAGAAATTTACAAAAAAGTTGTTTATGGTAAACTACCTGAACAAGTAATGTTAACCGAAAATGAATGTTTTTTTTTAATAAATCTCATGAATTCTCCAAATACGGGATGGTTTTTCAATAGGAGAAATTTGAGAAATCTTTTATCACATTATGCATATGATAAAAAAATTCTTGACATGTTCTCTTATGTTGGCTCTTTTGGAATTCAATGTTCTAAAATGGGTAAAGCAAAAAAAGTAGTATGTGTAGAGAAAGACAACAAATTTGTACAGCTAGCCAAAGAATCTGCTTACTTAAATAATCTCACAAATGGTGTTGAATTTATATGTTCTGATGCAATAACATTTTTAAAAAACTGTAACGAATTATTTGATATAATTATTTTAGACCCACCAAATTTAATTCCGAAATCCAAGTTTATCGAATCTGGTTCAAAAAGATACATTCAATTAATTAATCTAGCTCAAAATTATATTACAGCAAATGGATTGATGCTAATTATTTTTACCACCAAATTATGTTCCTACCAAGATCATATTAAAATTATTAATGAATCTTTTGTACATACCAATAAAACTGTTAAAATTGTTGGCCAAGGACGAGCTTCTCCAGATAATCCAGCCAATTTGTCTCTCTATCTCTTTGCTGATTTTTACTGGTTCCTCCTGCAACTAAGCTATTGAAGTTGTTGTATATACTGACGTGTACATATGTATATGTGTGTGTGTATTTGCTGCTTGCGAAGGAGGAAAAACAAGAAGCATTCATCTAACAGGTTCGCAAAACACAAAATGCAACCTTTATTAATTGCTCAAACTATATCACATGGATAATCGTGCTGTCTTAAACAGTTTTCTCTTTTTTGTATGTATATTATACATTCAACTAAAGTATTTATCCAGTAGGATATTTTTTTTTTTTTTTTAGGTTCCTTTTCCCATTACTCCCAATTTAAGAATGTGCAAAAAAAAAAAAAAAAAAAAATTCTCTCGCTTTATTTTTTTCTCTTTTATTTCACATTCATGTCACCTGTACATGTACATAATTGTTTTTGTTTTATATTTTTATTCTTTTTTTATTTGGGTAATTTGACGAATTTGAGGAATTTGACTAATTTAACCAATTTGCGTAATGTGCTGCAGTTCTTTTAATGTCCCTTTTGTACTTTTTTTTTTTTTTTTTTTAATCGCTCCTATTCAACCTTTACTGAAAAAAATTCGAGGAAAATGAAAAAAGACCATACTTCGCCGCACTTCCCACAAACAGTAACTTCTTCATAAGCGGGATATTTTTATTTTCTTCCATCTTTTCATTTTTGTACTATACTCTTAAACGTTAAGGCTTAAAACTTTTTTACTTTTTATTAATTTCGCACATATACATCTATGGCGAAGGTTTAGGATATATGAAACGAATAAATAGTGCAACAAAAATGATGTACTAAAAATGAATTATAACAGAGGCGAGAAAAAAAGAGAAAAGAAAAAAGAAAAACATAATGAGCGATAAGTTTTAATTTTACTTTAAAAAAAAAAAGGAAAAATATATCATAAAGAAAAATGATAAGCAAGAGTATGTTACATAAAAAATCATGTCACAGCATGTGTTAAACTAAATGGGTACAAAAACGAAAAATATTCCCTATTTTTTTGTTGTTTTTTTTTTTTTTTTTTTTTTTTTTTTTTTTTTTTTTCCTTACAAAATGCATGTTAATTTGGGTTATTTAAAAGAGCTGATAATCAAGAACAAACGAAAAAAAAAATGAAAGACTTTTGTTGTCATGCTGCATCTCATGATGGAGAAAGGCGAAGACATATATATATGCGTTTGTTGCGTGCTTTCATACGCATTACTACTTGGCATAAAAATCTCACGTGGGCTATGTACGTGAGCTTTTATGTATTATTGTATTTTTCCCTTGTGTGTGTAAGTTTGTAACTACATAAGTACGTAATTACTCTAAACACTTAAGTGTGTTAATTTAAAATTCACCTATCTTCCAATTAATGCAATCCATATTCACGGCACAGTATTATAGATGCTACTAAATGGTGGTGGGCTCAATATTTATGCGCACAAATCTCAATACTATATGCACAAGTGCACATAGATTATACATATTCGCATAAAACGTATTATATTTTTAGGGTGTGAGGTGGAAGGATAAAAAAAAAGAAAAAAAAAAAAAAATCCATATACTCTCTCTCTCTAATGCAAAATGTCTTCGCAAAACAACTTATAATCAATTCGATCTTCCGATGAAAAAGCGTTAAGTGCATCATTCGCCTCCTGTTCTGTTAGTGCATCACCCCATGTTGTCAAAATATTCCTCATTTGTCCTTTGGTTAAGAATCCTGTAGAATTATTGTCAAAGTGTGCAAAAATTTTAACGAGTTCTTCCATATTATCCCTATCATGTATACATATAGTTAAATACTCTAGATATTGTTCATATGTTAAATTATCCCCATATAATTCTTTAATTTTCTTTTCATCTGTGCTTGATGGAGCTAGTCCCAATTTTCTTGCATTTCGTGATGCATCTTCTACAGTTATTTTCCCATTGCTACTTTTATCATTAAACATAGTTTTTGCTTCTTTTCGATCTACCTTTTCATCTAACTCTTCTAATCCTGCAACTGATTCATCGGATTGCTCGGACTCTTCAAAATTTTCTTCTTCAGATAATATTTGCTTTACTTCTGGTTCTGGTTGCCATTCGAACCCTGGTCCCCACATGAAATAGTTTAATTCAGTGTCATATGGCGCTATTGCGGATTCTGGATCCGGCAGATTAAAATAACATACGGGGCACTGTTTTTCCATTTTTACAGGCAAAATTTTGAAAAGTGAAAAAGTTAGGAGAAACGTAGAATGGCACAAAAGTGGAACTAAAGATGGAAAAAAAAGCGAGAAAGGACGAACAAAACAAAATAAATAAAATAAAAAAAAAAGCAAATACAGAGGAAAGCAAAATTTTTCTTCTTAAAAAATAGGTGAGAACAAAAAAAAAAAAAAAAAAAAAAAAAAAAAAAAAAAAAAAAAAAAAAAAAAAAAAAAAAAAAAAAAAAAAAAAAAAAAAAAAAAAAAAAAAAAAAAAGAGAAAAAAAAAATTTTTTTTTTTAAAAAAAAGGGGGAAAAAAAAAAAAAAAAAAAAAAAAAAAAAAAAAAAAAAAACAACAGTTGCAAAGTTGAGCTATGCTGAAGTTGTACTGAAATAAGAGTTGATGAATTTTCTCCCTTACAATAAAATCACCTTAAACACACATCCTTTTTCGGAGGAAGTGTAGAATGTTAATTACAAGTGTGTTAAAGATGAAACAAGTTTTTAAAGAATCCAAAAATAAAAAAAAAAAGAAAGAAAAAAAAAAAAAAGAAGAACGATGTAATATCGAAACGAAAAAACCTAATTTTATAAAATATTTTAACTCAAAAGGAGAAGTTTTACATATACCATTTTTTTTCTTTTTCTTTTTAATTGCAATTAAAATTTAATTTTGCCTTTTACAGCTGTAATTATAGAACAGGAAACTTTTCAAAAATAACATCACAAAAAAAAAAAAAAAAAAAAAAAAAAAAAAAAAAAAAAAAAGAAGAACGATGTAATATCGAAACGAAAAAACCTAATTTTATAAAATATTTTAACTCAAAAGGAGAAGTTTTACATATACCATTTTTTTTCTTTTTCTTTTTAATTGCAATTAAAATTTAATTTTGCCTTTTACAGCTGTAATTATAGAACAGGAAACTTTTCAAAAATAACATCACAAAAAAAAAAAAAAAAAAAAAAAAAGTAGAAAGATAGACTAGTACGTAATTTCTTTTTTTTTTTTTTTTTTTTTTTTTTTTTTTTAAAATAAAAAAAAAAAGAAAGAAAAAAAAAAAAAAAAAAAAGATGTTAATATCGAAAAAAAAAAACCTAAATTTAAAAAATTTTTTAAACCAAAAGGAGAAGTTTTTCATATACCTTTTTTTTTTTTTTTTTTTTTAAATTTTCAAAAAAAAAAAAAAAAAAAAAAAAAAAAAAAAAAAAAACAAAAAATTAAAAAAAAACAAAAAAAAAAAAAAAAAAAAAAAAAAAAAAAAAAAAAAAGAAAAAAGAAAAATAGAAACAAAAAAACAAAATTTTAAAAAAAATTTTAACCAAAAAAGAAAAATTTTTAAAAAACCATTTTTTTTTTTTTTTTTTTTAATTGAAAATAAAAATTAATTTTGCCTTTTAAAAATTTAATAAAAAAAAAGAAAAATTTTCAAAAAAAAAAAAAAAAAAAAAAAAAAAAAAAAAAAAAAAGTAGAAAGATAGACTTACAATAAAAACAACATAAACACACATACTTTTTCGGAGGAAGTGAAAAATGTTAATTACAAGTGTGTTAAAGATAAAACAAGTTTTTAAAGAATCCAAAAATAAAAAAAAAAAAAAAAAAAAAAAAAAAAAAAGGAAGAAAAAAAGAAAAAAAAAAAACAAATTAAAAAAAAAATTTTAACAAAAAAGGAAAAATTTTAAATAAACAATTTTTTTTTATTTATTTTATAAATAAAATAAAAAATAAAGTGCAACGTGGGTTACAACGGAAAAAAAAAAAAAAAAAAAAAAAAAAAAAAAAAAAAAAAAAAAAAAAAAAAAAAAAGTAAAAAAATAGACTAGTACGTAATTTTTTTTTTTTTTTTTTTTTTTTTTTTTTTTTTATGTACAACTGTGTACAGATATATTTTATATTTTCACATTCTTATGTACAGGAAAGTCATCTTTTTGCTTGTATAGAAAAATGTGTACAGGTGTGTTTACGTGTGTGTGTATTCGAATTTATTAACATATAAACAGATAAACATATATATTTTTTTTTTCTTTCTTTTTGTTCACAGTTTATTGCTTGCCCATATTTATTACACAAAGGTAATGTATTAATGTTGTGTGTGCAAAAATAGTGAGCTTGACTATTTTTTTTCTTATGAAAATTACTTTTTTCTTAAGGCTAGGCAGAAAAAAAAAAAAAAAAAAAAAAAAAAATTTGTTAAACAGCAGCAAAGAATCGACACTAACTAAAGTAGTTTATAAGCTAAAAATGCATATAGCTTTTTTTTTTTTTTTTTTTATAAATACTAAGGTGTGGTATACATGTACACCCATTTTAGCATTTCCTGTTCCCCCACTTTTGCAACACTTTATCATGTGAAAGAACTAAGAATAGAACTATTGCAGGCAAATAATGTTCTATATTTATTTTTTACCATTATTGCAAAACCGTAAATTGTATCTATTCCTTTTAGCCTTAATGCGGAATTTACCTCATTTTTTCCTATACCTACACACCATTACGCGCCGTTTTTCTGTAGGCCTATATTTGTGACGGTGTGATGTAGCTGCAGCCAAAAAAAAAAAAAAAATCTAAAAAATTTATTAACAGTTCAGGCAAAACAATATTATTTTATTGTAATGTTACTATAATATTATTCACATTCATTTTATTATATTAAAAAATCCTTACAAAAAAGATTCCTGAAAATGGCAAAATTTTTTTTGCGACTTGATAAGTTTATTTATCCTTAAAAATGCTTACCACAAAAAATTTTGTGCTCAGTTTGTGGCAAAAGGATGACATGTACAAAATGGGTATTTTTCCATATTTATATGTGCATTCTTTCGCACAGCATTGCATGGAAAATACTACTAGAAGTGTGATGTTCACACTTTGGTACTAAAGCTTTAGAATTTCCAATATGTTCCTAATAAAAGTGGTATGTATATAAAGCCAATACACTCTTACTGAGAAGCGCAAAAACATATGTGTATTCATCGTCCTACAAGAAACGCACAAATTTATGTCTGTTAAGAGATGCAACATTTTCCAATATTCATACGCGTTTTATAGGAGGAATTTATAAATATCAACTTTTACAAAAGAATATATATACACCTAATTCTTACTTTACATAAATAAAAAATTTGGTTCTTTTTTTTTTTTCCGAATTCGTGTAGCAGGGAAAAAAGAGAGGAAAAAAAAAAAAAATAAAAAAAAAGGATGCCAAATTGCAGTCTTATTCAACTTGCATTCCTGATCAAGTGTGTATAGCCTCAAAGAAAATATAGTGGCAATAATAAAAACAGAATTCTTGGAACAAATCTTTTCAAACAGATAGACCTTTTTTTCATGGTGATACGAAAGGTTATGGAATAACTCGATATAGCATGATGTTTTTTCATGTTGCAAACTTTATAGTTATCATTGCCTCCTTTAAAAGTTACATTGGCATATAAACTATACTTATTTCAGCCCATACTCATCTACTCATAAATACTGCCATTCTTTACACAAAATAACAAATGTATATAATACGTGTATTTTTCCTTGTTAAAAACTGCTATAAAAAAAAAAAAAAAAAAAAAATTACAGATGAACATCCTTTTTAAAAAAAAAAAAATTGCCAACATTATTTTATAACTTATCAAAAAGCATAATTTGAAGTTTTAACAATATATCTACTTATCATTATATATGTACAACTTGTGCTGTAAAAGTGTTAACAATGTGAATTGAAAAACTAGGATTATTTCCTCATAAAAGAAACAAATGAATAAATGCACAAAGGGATATTTAGAAAAAAGGAGGGAAATATAAAAAAAAAAAAAAGACATCGTGATATACAAAGATTAATATTTAAAAAAATACCAAAAAAATAAACTCTAAAAAAATAATGGACTTTGATAATTTTTTTTTTTTTTTTTGTGTTTTCTTTTTAATTAAAAAATGGAGAGATAAACAATAAATCACAATTTAACTTAAAAAACAAAAAAATATAAAAATATGAAAAAGTCATTCTTCCTTCCATAAAAAAAATGACAATTCCAATTGAACGCGTTTCTATCACCTCTTGTGTTTCTTAAGTATAAGCACAATTAAAAATAGAATTGCTGAAGAAAGAGTGGGATTATTTGATTTACAAATGATCTTCAATTTATTTTTTATGATCTCTATTCCAACCAGAACAAAATAATTCTCAAGTGCATTTGAATTATCAGCGTAACAACCAGTCAAATAAATCATGTCCTCTATATAGCACACACTTAATGCGTTTCCCTAAAAAGTAGTATAGTTTAAAGGGCCGATGAATTCATAAACACACACATATACATAGAAAGCATATTCTCAAGCAGCACTAAACAAATGATATTCTATTCACAATAAACCATATAAAAACAATTTGCTCGCATTTAACAAAATCATATGTGTGAGACATTACCAATGAAGAGAACAGAAGGATTTTTTCCTTATCCAATGTATCTATTTTGTTGATAATTTTTTCCTTTTTATATATATTAAAATTTTCGTTGTTCCAAAATTTAACAAAAACATCTTTTGTGATTTTAATGTTCTTCATAAATTTATTGATTGGAATTGGTAATCTCAACTCTATACTTTTTCTGAACATGTCTTGCATTCTGGAGAAAAAAAAATTGGAGGGTACGGGAATCAAAGTGAAAGTGAGGAAGAATATTTGAATAAGAAAAAATATCATTACAAAGTAAGATTAACATGCCGAATGAAAATTCATAATTAAGCTTAAGCTGGGTGTATTATGCACTAAAAAAAAAAAGGTTCGCGTAATCACACTATATGTATCTATGCACAAGGTTCCTGCTGTGTTTTAATCCTACCTGTAGGAAATTTTAATTAGAGGAAATCCCTTGTACATGTGTACACATTTCACGGCCATTTCCTGCAAGGAAAACAAATTTCAGGGGGAAAAAAAAATAATAATAATAATAATAATAATAATAATAATAATAATAATAATAATAATAATAATAATAATAATAATAATAATAATAATAATAATAATAATAATAATAATAAAAATATATGTATGTATGTACGTATGTATGTATGCATGTATATATACATGTAAATGCTTCTTTTCTAAAAGCATCAATTCGGGGTGCCCATTCGAATAAGCATTAACTAATCATCTAAATAGTCATTAATTAATCATGCGATAAAAAAATATTAGGGTGTGCGTTAAGAAGCACAAAATAAAATGAACCACAGTTTGCATGCCCAAATTTCTCCAAAACATAGACTTACGTAACAATTCACAGCATTCGCACATAGCATATTCTCGTAGCTCAAAAACTTGAATTTCAAGGGAAAGAGAATCTTATTGGATATCTGTATATCCATGTCATAGTAATTAACTAATTTTTTGTTCTTCAAGAAAATTTTTAGGATTCCATTGGTTCCGTAGTATTGCTGATTGATTGATATCTAATGGGCGGTAAAAAAAAAAATAAAGTAAAAAGTGAAGAAAAAAATGAAGAAAAAGGTAAAGAAAAAAAATAAAGTAAAAAATGAAGAAAAAAATAAAAAGCATAAAAAAATAATGCACAAGTGACCCCCAAATGGAAGAACGAATGATAAAATGACGATAGTCTAATATTATAAGCACTTTTGAAAAAATGGACAAAAATGTCAACACCGACAGTGGTAAACAAACTATGCTGGGGTAAAGGACATGCTTTTCTACTCTGAACAACCACCAGGGAAGATCCACACGCACGCATATATATATATATATATTTATGTGAACCTCAATGTTGCTGTCCTTAAGCAAGATGGAATTATTCTTCAATATCGAATCCTGCACATAAGATATATTGTCATGGAAAGTAAAATATTTGTTAAAGGAGTTTATACGAGTATTATCATTTCTTTGGAGTGGTCGTAGGGGTGGACATTTGTCTTTTTCATTTGCTTCTCCCAGGGATGCCTCATTCTGAATAACAGATGTTTCCTCAATTCCTGGTAAAAATTTACTTTCCTTTTTTAATATTCTGTTCTGAGTTAAATTATTCGTAAATTTGTATATGATATGATTTAATTCATCTGAATTAATTTTTCTATTTTTATTAACATATTTTTTTTTGGTTTTTAAATCAATATACTTATTCATACCGAGTATATCACCCAACGTTTGTTCTTTCGAATCTTTTTGTTTTTCCCTTAAAAATTTATTATAATTTAAAAAATCTTCTTTAATTGAATAAAAATTACTCTTCTTAATTAGGCTATTCCATAATGCATTATTTCCATCATTAACTGAGTTGTTAAATTCTTTAAACGTATTTTTATATTCATTCTGATTTTTGTTAACTTGGCTCATTCCTTCATTTAGATATGAATTAAATTCATTTATTATTTCGATCTCCATCTCGTTAAAACTATCGTTACTTCCTATAGTCTTTTCTGTCTTTCCTTCTACCGATAAATTCACCTCTAGGAGGGGGTGCAAACAGGGCGAAAAAATGAGAAAAAGTGCGAACAAGTGCGAAAAAACGAAAAAAAATGAGAGAAAAAAAAAAAAATAAAATAAATGAGAAAACGACGGAGGTGGCGAAGCAACAAAGTGCTCATTCACACTGGTGTCTGTGTTTGTATTTTTTTTTCGAATAGGTAAAGAAAAATTCTTCATCTGTATGAATGCAAAAAGTTCCTTATTCCACTCATCTCCGTTCCCTTTCAATTATTCACAATGCTTATATGTCTGTCACATATCACAACATAAAAAATGGGCTCACCATCTCTATCACTATCACCACCTCTATCTGTAGCACCGTCACTTCACCATTCCGTCAACCATTCCTCAAATGAAGATGAAAATTTACCTCTGGCATCCTTTTCCTTCCCGACAAGATCAAATGCAACTGTTTTATTACATGCCTGTTTATTTATATTGTCCAACTTTTGATTAGACCATGAGTTGTTTTCTTCTTGGATTGAAACATGCTCCTTTTTTTTATTATCTTCTTCAGTTTTTGTTAAGTCCATCTGGTTTTCTATTTTTTCTATTTTTTCTATTTTTTTTAATTTTTTTTTTTGCTTTTGTTTTTCATTATATATATCTCCTGAAATGGCATTCATTGTCGTAGTGATTACCTTTTTATCATTTCTTCCCAAGGGTAAGTCACTTGTTTGGAAATCAAGTGACTTTTCTTCTATCCTACCTTTAATGCAACCCTCGTTATATAATATATTGTTCCCTTTGAATAACTCATTTTCTGCTCTTTTCATACTCTCATCATTCGTAATTGGATGAATTTTTTTTTTATTCATGAGATCTACTTCTGTACTAACTTCTTTGTTGGATGAAGTATTTCTTACAATAGATGCAACAGTTTTTGTAACATTGCTAGAACTGTTTTTTGATAATGATTTATATTCATTTTTTTTTTCACGAAATTTTTTTTTGTTATTAGATCCAGATGGTAAACTAAAACTTCCATCATTTAGTGTACCAGAATCGTTATTTAAGTTCATATTCATGTTGTCACTTTTTTCTTTTGTTTCTTCACAAATAATTTGATTGTTTAAAAATATATTGTCCAAACTTTTTTTTAAATCTTCCCTTTGTATTGGTGTACTCCCTTGGTTTGTTTCTTTTTCTTCTTTTTTTTCATTAAATGTGATTGGGTTGCTTAGTAGGTAGGATTCATACCTAATGTTTATTTCTTCTTCTTCTTGCATTTCCTACAAAAGAAAAAAAAAAAAAATAAATAAATAAAATAAAATAAAATAAAAAAATTACAGAGTCTAACACACCACACATAAGGATATGTTCTCCAAAAGGAAAGGAAATATTTCTTCACTCTCCATCTTCGTTCTCCTATATTACATCAATAAATTTACAATAGAAATCATATTCTCCGTTTTCCAGAAATTCAATGGTTCGTCCCTTTACATCATTCAAGTATCTGCATGATAATAAGAAAAAAAATATTTCGATAAGCAAAGTGAATGTATTTCCTTTATGCTAGTCTTGATACACATATATATACATTATCATATGTGTAGTATTGATCTAATAATGTAAAAAAAAAAAAAAAAAAAAAATCTGGGGATATTTTGTATGCACGTGTCTCCTCACTTGATATAATTAGAATAGACCTTATCAACCTTGCTATGATTTACAAATTCCGTTTCAAGCAATTCAAATAGATTCTTCTTTGCATTTTTAAAATCTGAGACATACTCGTACGTAAAAAAAAAAAAAGATAAATAAGTATGTTTGCTACAAGTAGTGTGTGTGTGTGCCTGCGTGGGAGTCTTCGCTTGTATGTGTTTTTATGTGTGTTTATATGTGTTATTTAAAAAAGCAAGCACTGAAAAGTAGTCATAACAAAAAGAAAAAAAAAAAAAAAAATGCAAAAATATATGAACACAAACAATGTAATTTATTACCATTTAGTAATGTAGAATAAGATAAGGAACATCTATCTGGAATATGGATTTTCTTCTTCTGTATTTTGTTATATATTCTGTTAATAAAAGATTCATCTTTCAAATGATATCTTGATTTTATAATTTCAATTGTTTTAAATAAATTCTTCGATTCTGCAACTAAGCTACCTTTTTCTTTATTTGTGCTATGACCAAAGTATAAGAAAAACTTTTTATTTGTCCCTTCTTCATTTCTTTTTAAAAGTTTATATGCATATGTGAGGATATCTCCATTTATTGTCATATCTGCATTTTGGGGATTCAAAATAAGGGCGATACTAATAACCTGATGGTAGCAAGGGAAAAAATAAAATTATTTTTTTTTTTTTTTACAAAATGAAGTAAATTAATTTATCATCATTTTCCCTCGTTCATATGCTAATCGCACGTATGCCTGTGTTTGGTTTTGTACATCCACGTTTGCAATTTACGTCTTTCCAATTGTTCATGCAGACAAAAGGGAGGGCACATTCATTCGCACATTCGTCTAAGAATGCATACATACACGCATACATACATACATACATACATACATACATGCATACATACAAACGTACATATACACACTCACACATACGTACGTGTTTGTGTGAACGAGTATATACCTTAAGAGCCGTGGTTCGTGAAAGCGCAGGGTTTTTTATATTTCTCAGCGTGTTGTAACAAAAGTTAAATAACTCCTCATATTTTTTATGCCTAAATAAATGTTCCTTCAACTCCTTAAAATATATATGCAGATATTCAGTAGACTCTGTGCAGGTTTTAAACAATATCTTGTCATCTTCTGAAATCGTATTTTTATATTTTTTCTTACATAACGTCATTATGTGTTCTGTGGTTACTGTTTCCTTCTCACTTGTTTTATTTTTTGAAAATTTCCTAATCTTCCAATGTTCTAATCTTCCAATGTTCTAATCTTCCAATGTTCTAATCTTCCAATGTTCTAATCTTCCAATGTTCTAATCTTCCAATGTTCTAATCTTCCAATGTTCTAATCTTCCAATGTTCTAATCTTCCAATGTTCTAATCATCCAATGTTCTAATCTTCCAATGTTCTAATCTTCCAATGTTCTAATCTTCCAATATTCCAATCTTCTAATCTTCCAATCTTCTAAACTTACAATCTCCCAATCTTCTAAATCTTTATAATTTTTTTTTTAAATTGTTCCAGTAGGGAAAGGCATGTCCTAGTGAACATTATTTATAAAATTTTGGAGTGAATCTCAAAGGGCTCGATCGGAGGGACATTCTACTATTTCCCACTTTCCCTCTTTTCCGTTTCCCAAGGTTTTTTAAAAAAATCTATTCAACCATTGGCCAAACCAAGGAGATAAAAAAGTAAAAAGGTAAACAAGTAAAAAAATAAAAAAGTAAAAGAGTAAAAAAGTAAAAGAGTAAAAAAGTAAAAGAGTAAAAAAGTAAAAGAGTAAAAAAGTAAAAGAGTAAAAAAATAAAAAAGTAAAAAAATAAAAAAGTAAAAAAATAAAAAAGTAAAAAAATGAAAAAGTAAAAAAGTAAAAAAGTAAAAAAATGAAAAAGTAAAAAAGTAAAAAAATAAAAATATGTATGACACATATACATATACACATATATATGAATAGCATAACTAAGAGGTAGGACCCCAAGAGGGCTCAAGAAAAGTGAAAAAAAAAAAAAAAAATAAAATATAATAAATATAATAAACTATAATAAAATATAAAAAAATACTAACAAAACTCGTAACAAATAAATCGACGTATTCTGAAAGAAATAACCATGTGAACTACCCGAGTAATTGGTGACAGATGTACATTTTACCCAACTTTACACAATTTTTCATCCACACATGAGGACAAGTAATTGCATGTGCGAATATAAAGAGAGGAGTAAAATTATAACACACGTGTAAATCAGTACAATATAATCTCACACCTTTTTTTGTCCTATCCCGTGTGCTGAGTACATGTATATATATTTTCCCTTGATTACACCAGCACGACAATTTTCCTTTACATTTACACTTCACAAATTAAGACCCATATAAATCATATCCATTACGTTGTCCAGTTAAAAAAATTTGTTCATTCGTTCTGATTCTCCCGTACGTACGATTTATAATTATTTAGAATTGCGAGAAGAATATGCTGAAATGAGATAAAGCCCATTTCAAATCGCACACATAATTAAATTCACGTGTTCTCAAAATGATATACAAGCTTTAATTATCATTATCTTGGGGAAAAGGTAATAACAATCTAAACACAACCCGTCTGTTCACGTTTAGGTGCCAAATAAGAGAAAAAAAAAAAAAAAAAAAAAAAAAAAAAAAATATTCCAACTTATGCTAAAAAGTTAAATATGCATATGAATCCCTTCTTGAATATTAAAAATTTTTATCGAAATTTTTTGTATCTTCTATTGCACCCCGTTTTAAGATATTCTTCATTAACAGTTACGTCATATGTGTGGGTAGCAAAAATGCTTAAAAATAAAGATATGATAAAAAAAAAAAAAAAAAAAAAAATAGCAGATGCACTTCCCGTGGTACCTCGAATGAATTCAATTATGTTCTAAGGAAAAGGTGCTATATGTGCCTTCCCTCGAGGTACAAATGCACGCTATACTGTATGGACATATTTTACACTCTTAATGAGGAAGCAGTTGCATATACATTACACACGTGCACATCCACTTGCAATTCCAATTGCACATTCATTTGCGTTCGCACTAAAGAACTCTCAAATTTACACGCCCATTTTACATTCCCAGTTTGATCCGAATTTCTAGAAAGGTCCCCTTCCCAAACCCACAAAAATAGGAAATGGATACACATACAAAGTGGTGAAGAAGAAAAAAAAAAAAAAAAAAAAAAAAAAAAAATATTACAGTTATATGCATACATGTCAGTCCCTACATGCGTTGCGGTTAAAATGTATAAATATGGATAAACAGAAAAAGACCAATGTGGTGAAAGAAAATCCTTGGCTTAAACATAGGCACAGTCTGATTCACATTTCTAATGTTGTAAAGAATGAAAACATACAAGAAAATAGAAACGGGAATGGAAGTGAAATCGAAAAATATGAGGACAAATCGAATGAACAAATTTATGGCTCTTTGCCAACTCCAGATTTGGAAAAAATCAACATTCGAGACTTCGATCAGTACATTCATTACATTACAAAGGTTAAACGTTTTACTCTTCTCCTCATTGTTCTTCTCATTTTTGCCCTGAGGCATTTTTGGAACAGTCCATTAGACACCTGCTAACTTCTTGGCATCTCTACACATCACTCATTTCTTTCATCCATATACCCTACATGAACTCGTCTTAGTGTGCAGATTGAGGGGAAGTTATATACATATATATATATATATATATCTATATATATGTATATAAGAACGTGCCCACACAAAGCACATATACCAAGTGAGGAGAGAGTTGAAATGATCTAGTAAATTTCTGATGATCCCCAGAAGGCATGGTACAAATGATAAAAACATTTTCATATTTCTATTTCACAGATTAACACATTGAATGATGTAAATATTCATAACGTAGATGAAATTAATCTAGACCATTTTGAAAATGTTTTGAAGAATCCCTCCAAGTATATAGAAATAAGAAAATGTACTGAAAATTTTTCTCAAAGGGGAGCCACCAATTGGGACAACTTGGACACGATAAATCATCTATCGAGCTGTGACCATTTTGAATCACAATGGAAAAAGGACTACGACTCTTTCTTCAGCGATGATTCCAAATGTAACATGTCTACTCTTGTGCAGGAGCAGAAAGTGGTAAGCCCTCTGCAAATTGGGGATGTACCTGTACTCGTGCATGTACACACGCGTGGTATCTTACAGGAATTCTCAGTTCAGTTACATGCACATCTGTGCAAGGCAAAATTTAGTACATCCATCCGTGTATGCATACAGTACATCTGTCTGCCACATCTGTCTGCCACATCTGTCTGCCACATCTGTCTGCCACATCTATCTGCCACATCTATCTGCCACATCTGTGGGTACAACCATGCATATATACATACGCTACACACATGTAAGAATATTTCCACATGGGGGAACCTCCACATATTCGTCTATTCAACACAACGAACCCCCCCCCCCCCTTGCAGCTGATCGAAAACCTAGACACAATCGACAGAAGCATAAACGTACTGATATCCAAGGATTTTCAGAATTATCTGCATATAATAACTGTAATGAAGAATATTAGAAATGAAATTGAAAGTACACACGATGAAATAAAGTCATTAAAGACACACGTGAATGATATAAAAGGAATGTTATTAAAAAATATTCATTTAAAAAAACACAATGACTTGAAGAAAAAATGCATAAAAGTGAATTATGTTCTTAAAAAATTCATGTATTTTCAGACTCTACTGAAAGTGTTAAAAAAAAGTTTGCAAAAAAATAAAATTTATCATTGTCTAGCTGTAGTAAACAAAATATTTAAAATTTATAATTTTTTTAGAAAATTTTTTTTTTTTCAATATTTTCAAAAATATTTTTCTAATTTTAACATATTATACTTGAAAAACTTTATATCTCAGAATTTCCTTTTTTCATTTTTTTATTACACTTTGTTATTTCTCTTTCGATCTAAGAGAAGAAAAGGTCATCTTTATTCAGTTCATAAGTTGAATAAATGTCTTCGCCACTACCTTGTGCGTCCCAATGATTGGAATCACCTGCAGGGAAGTAACAGATCCTTAGAAGATGAGGCAATTCACAGGAGCAACAAAACCCGTTGTGGATTTGCAACAACACGAGAGAGTAACATTTACATGAGTTATTTTAACTCCAATTTTGACCATACGCTACCTAAGAATAGAAAATCATGCGACTATGCAAGCAAAGACACAAATATTCATAAATCAGAAAATCAAAGGGAGAAAAAAAAAATAAAGAACTTTGTAAAATTTCACAAATTGATGAACAAAGAGTTTATGCGCCTTTTGTACAGGGAAAAAAAAAAAATTATCAAGTACAAGAAAAGAAAAAATGATGTAAAATTTTTTGTTAAGCAATGGAATTACACATCGAACACATATTTTTGTAAAAAAAGAAACAAAAAATTCAAGATGGATGAACAAATTTCCCAATTAAACAAAATTTTCACGCCGTCTCTACTTTTTAACAACTTCTTTGATTCATTGAAACGTTTTTGTCGTAATCAAAATTATTTCATTCCCTTCGTTGATAACTTATTCTATCAGTCTCTAAGTGAATCCATTTTGCTTATGCAATGTGACCAGATTTGTCACATTCCTGAAGAGACCTCCTTTGGAGAAGTAAAAGGAAATAAACCCGATGGATCTTCTACCATAGAGGGAGAAAATTTTAAGCCAGAGGGATCTCCTACCATAGAGGGAGAAAATTTTAAACTAGACAGAAGTAACATCCACATGGAAAACATGTTAGATAAACATGGAACCCAAAATGAATTGAAATATTCAGAATGGAACAAAGATATTCAAAGTGCATGCAAAAATCGAATGAGATTAGGAAAAGAGAAAAAAAATAAGAATCAGTGTTATGAACGTGGAAAAATTCACACATTATATTTACTATCAGAAAAGAAAGGTAACACGAATAGGCATAGTAACAAAATAATAAATAGCATTTGCGAATATCTAGTTATAAAAAAATGCAAAAGAAAAAAAAATTTTGAATTTCATGAAAAGGAGACAATAAACATGTTGCACAGACATATAGGTCTGTTCCCTACTGTAAATTTAATGCATTTTTTAAATAAATTTTTCAGTAAAATAAAAATAGTTTACAGTAATATAAACAAATGGACTTCATTTTTAATAAGAAAAACAATTACAGTAATTTTGGATGATGCTTATATGAATACTTTTAAGATACATATCCCGTTTCTTATATCTCATGGTAGCTATTTTCAACTTGTTAAGAAAAAAAAATTCTTGAATATGATGAAACATGTATTTATAAAGTATTGGAAAAATTACCAAAATATACAATACTTCCTTTTTAATAAATTCTTAGAAAAATTAAATGACATATTAAATGAAAGGAAAAAATATAATCTACATTTAGGAATTAATCAAATGATTTCTATGCATCGGACTATTCTTCCCATCTTTTTATTCATCCATAGGAAAAGATATCAATTAAGAAAGATCTATTTGCACATTTTTCTTTTATCCATCTTCAGCTTGTTAAGAAATAAAAGGCAAGCCAAACATGCACACAAACTGATTTCCTTATCTCATAAGAATCCTACAAATGTAAGCCGACTATACAAACAACCCATTCGAAATAATTTAGTTAAAAAAAGCTTCAACGTAAGAATATGTCTAACCAAGAACTTCCTTACTTTAATCAAAAAAGTAACCTTACTTAACTGCATATCCAAACGAAGGAACGAACAGAAAATGAGGATTAGAAAAAATGCTTTGGTTTCTCTTTACCTATGGAATAAAACGAAACACCAAACATGTGAAACTCACATTGGGGAAGATAATCTAATCATGGAAAGATCAAATGACGAGACAAATAAAATAGATAACCAATTCGACAAGCACACAGGAAAGAATTTACCAGTAGAAGAAGACCCCTTGAGAGAATATCACCAGAGGTATTTACCGTCTACACCATATAAAAACCTTTGTGTGACAAATTCATTGCTCATTTCGAATCAGCTGTTTTATTTGTCAGTGAAAAGGAGAAAATTATTATTAAGACTAGAAAAAAAAAAAAAAAAAAAAAAACAGCAAGATATGGTCAATTTTATTAAAATAATAAAAAGGAAGACAATGTTAAAAAAAAATTTCAAATTCATGCATATTCCTGATGAAAAGAAATATTATAATAAGATCACAAAATATATAAAAAGTGAATCCATTATTGCTATAAATAATTTTTACGAATTTAAAAATATACAAATGCATAAATCATTGGAATTAGAAAAATGGAACATACTTGATGATATACCATATGAAGTAAACACACAGTTAGAAAAATATTTCAAAATAAAAAATAAAGATACAAATAAATTATTAATTAATAATAAATTATATTACTTAACTAATAGTAGTATATCATTTCTATGTATCCTATTTCAGTACGTTCATTTTATGTTATCATTGCCTTTAATATCAAATGAAATTGTTACAAAAGTTCTCAATTTTTATGACAAACAATTTTTTACAAATATTCATCATTTTATTATTAATGGACATGCAGTTACTAATAGTACTCTTAAGAGCATCACAATAAAAATACTAGCACTCGTCATTAACACAGTGGATTTTACAGAGTCTATTTTAATTCAAATATATTCCATTTGGTACAAGCTCGGGGAGTTTTTCCACAGGGAAAGGAAAATAATCTCCACTGGAAATAGCACAAATACAGGAGTAGTAACAAATGTGATTACAGATACAAACACATCAATGCACAATGGAATGAAAAGCAGAGATATCAAACTGAGTCAGTGTGTGCAGAATATTAATTCTCAATGTATTGATAAGGATTCATTTCGGACACCCAACGGGATGATTATCCAAATTTTGGGAGATGTTAAAACGGACTCATGTGGCAATAAAATTTTAACAACTATTTTTCCTGAAACTGAACAAAAAACGCATAATCCGTTTGACACTTCCTCTAGAGATAAAAATTGTAAAAGTGAAAAAAAAAATACTGGTAAGGGAGAAAAAAACAGCATTTATAGAAACAACGTGAACTCTATAAATCATAGCGAAATAATGATTCCCATAAAAATAAGTGAAAAACATATTTCTACAGAAATGTTACAAGATGTGAAATCCCATGAGGTAAGTAGCGTATTTGTAGGATATAAAAAATGCATAACACATTTCTCCAAGCTTCACCGGTATTATATTCCTCATGATATTAAATTGTTCAGACAAGAATGGCAAAACGCTAGTGCAAACTTTAAGCGTGTGTTAGATAAGTCATTCCTTCTGAGAAAAAAATTATCTCAAAAAATAGTAGACATTTTATCTACTCGATTTGATTATTACACGAACATTTGGCTAGCTTCAGACAACATGATAAAGAATCAAATTGTGAATTCCCTGAACTATGAGTGTGATATATTGCCATATGGGATGCAACTTCGCTCTACATGCAAGGTAAAACCTGTGTCACCTCCTTCCTGCGAGACATAAACGTCTCAACATACACATGTGTGCATCGATGTATACATAGATGTATGCAATTGCTCACATATGGGCCCCACAAACACACACAGACCGCTTTGGAAAATTGTCTCTCGTCCCCATTTACGCCACACGCAGCTGCTGACAACCTATCTGCCCGAGGAAGATACAAAAAGCATCTATCGAGAACTGTTCCAAGATATAGTAAACAGATTTAGCTTAAGAATTAATGTACTAAAGGGAAACGACAAATATAAACAAGTTATTACAAGACTACTACAAGATCATTTAACAGAAAAATCCGAAATAGATCAACTAATTTTGCATTATTACAACTATGAGTTTAAGGCAAAAATAACTCACATTATTAACAAAAATGTAGGCGATAAAATAATAATAGACATAACCAACGTTTTAATTATTTTGTATAAAATCCCTTTTTTATGTGAAATTATTGAAACATTTTTAAATGATTTTTTACAAATTTGTAAATCCCATTGGTACGTAACTATAGACCCATTTGTAATTCTAAGTAAAAAATGTAAAAAATAGTCACTTTTAAAAAAGTTTAAATTTTATGTTTGGGTAATAAAAAAGTAAAAGAGTGTACATTGGGGGGGTGGGAGAAATAAGTTTTTTTTTTTTTTTTTTTTGCACTATATATTTTGCACTATTTATTTTGCATTACTTGCTTTGATTTATTTAATTTGTTTTAAATATTTTAAGACTTTTTTTTTTTTTTTTGGTTTAACGCCTGCACGTTATTTGCAGCATTTAAATGTTCTTCGCATGAAGAATTTATAAAATCTACAAGTACACATAATCATTATTTTAATTAAATTACACTTTTCATCAACCTACTTTTGTATCACCATTTTATGATAATCTCCACATTAGAGACACATTTACAACGCATTTTTATGATACTCTTCTAAAAATAACAGCACCAAAACCACTGATCAACATTTAATTTCATCACTTGTTGCATCCAACCAAAGTTTATATCAACTTTAATCCTCAATCCTGCTTCTGCGTTACCATCTCAAAAATTACAAAACGGACGAAATACAAAACTACTTGAGGGGGGGAGGGAAAAAAAAAAAATAAAAAAAAAAAAAAAAAATAATTGCTAAGGCCTTGTCAGAATTAGCATTATAAATATGAACACAATTAGATATATAAAAATATGGTTCATGTTTGTACTACCTTCTTTAGATAAAAATTTTAACCATTATAAACTTATTTTTCCTATACACACATACACTCAATTTTGGGTTCCTTTTTTCTAAGTGTCATATAATAGAAAGAACAATTTTATTTCCCATTTCTTTTATTCTTCTATTTTTGTTAAAGTTTCTTTGAAAATGGTGTATACGCATAAGTACACGTATACTCCGAATTATATTTTACACATATGCATACACATAAAAAATAGGCATGGTATATATATATATATATATATATATATATATATATATATATATATATGCAAACCCCATGCAAGTACACATGGTGCACAAAATACAGATATATCATATATACATGCACACATAATCACGAATATGTCTACGCGCATAGATATTCGCACATACATACGTGTAAATATGCATGTGCACGTTTTTGAACAAGTTGCCATCTTTTCAATATCGTCCATTTCACTCCACTCCCGTTTTTTCTACTTAGCCTTCTTCCTCCTTTTCTTTATTTACACTCATACCTCTGAGTGAGTTACTACTACAGTGCATAAAGTTATCAAAAAATAAATATTTGCATTTATATCCTTATACATTTTTTACCTTTACAATTTAATTTTTTTTTTTTTTTTTTTTTTTTTTTTTTTTTTTTTGGCGTTCCATAAATAGATATCCACACATATAAAATGCATTCGAATATGAACATGATAATATAATACTATGGAATAAATGTAGACCGAATACGTTGTGTAATTGTTTTTTTTATAACACTTAAGCAAAGATGTAAGAGCGTGAAATCATGTATATATACATATATATACATGCACAACAAGAAAGCGGATATATACATATACATATGTATATATATATATATATATGCGCACACAACTCTTGTATACAGATCCTGGAAAACAGTTCAACGGTGCATGAAAAGGGCGATGAAAAAATGGTTAGGAAAAAAATTCGTAATTTTTTTTTTTTTTTTTTTGATTTATTTATTTATTTTTTTTTTTTTATTATTTTATTTATTTATTTATTTTTTTGTTTTTGTTGCTGCTGCTTCGTTTGGTGCTGTGCATCCGTTTGGCTCTTCGTCATCTTTGTTGTTCGTTTTTGTGATTCATTTTCCTCATGTTATCTTGCTTCCCCTCTTTTAAATATACACATGGAGATGGGGATGATGATAAACGAATCATCGTGCTTCCTCAATTCCCAATTTGAACGCATATGGACTCGAGCCTTACTCATAGTTTTAGAAGCACTTTCTGTGGACGATGCTGGGTCCTGATTCATCATACTCCTCCTTCGTAATCCACATTTGTTGAAAAGTAGAAAGAGATGATAATATAGATCCTCCAATCCATACAGAATATTTTCTCTCTGGGGGAGCTACAACTTTAATCTTCATTGTTGAAGGAGCAAGGGTTGTGATATCTCTGGTTAATCTCTCCCCAATACCTTCATACATGGTTGTTCCACCTGATAATACAATATTTCCATAAAGATCCTTTCGAATATCTACATCACATTTTTTAATAGAATTAAATGTTGTTGTGTGGATTCCGGAAGCTTCTTTTCCTAAGAAAGATGGTTGGAATAGAGCTTCTGGGCATCTAAATCTTTCATTTCCTACAGTAATTATATTTCCATCTGGTAATTCATAAGATTTTTCTATGTCACTACTTTGTTCTGATGTTTTCATTTCTTCATCAAAGTTTAATGCAATGTAACATAATTTCTCTTTAATATCTCTAACAATTTCTTTTTCTGCGGATGTTGAAAATCCATATCCTCTTTCGTGAAGAATTTTCATCAAATATTCTGTTAAATCTCTTCCAGCTAAATCTAACCTCATGATTGCATGTGGTAATGCATATCCTTCATAAATTGGAACTGTGTGAGAAACTCCATCACCACTATCCAAAACAATACCAGTAGTACGACCAGATGAATACAAGGATAACACTGCTTGAATTGCCACATACATAGCTGGAACGTTAAATGATTCAAACATAATTTGAGTCATTCTTTCACGATTTCCCTTTGGGTTTAAGGGAGCTTCTGTTAATAACACTGGATGCTCTTCTGGTGCAGCTCTTAATTCATTGTAAAAGGTATGATGCCATATTTTTTCCATATCATCCCAATTTGTTACTATACCATGTTCTATTGGATATTTTAAGGTTAAAATTCCTCTTTTTGTTTGTGCTTCATCACCAACAAATGCATCTTTCTCTTCCATTCCCACCATAATTCCTGGGTTCTTGGGTCTACCAACTATACTTGGAAAAACTGAGCGGGGAGCATCATCACCTGCAACACCAGCCTTTACATTACCTGATCCGTTATCTACAACTAATGCTTGAACTTCCTCATCACCCATTTTGTTGAGAAATTTTAAAGTGAAAAATGTTTTTTTATTTTTATTTTATTTTTTAGATACAACTAGGTGAGCTAGTGTTCTATTGCACAGGTATACATGTGTGTGCGCACGCACTGAATTATGTATGTATACGTTTATATATGTTTGTATCTGTGTGTGTAAGTGTGTGTGTGTATGTTAGGTTCGTATATAATTAAACTTTTCCTTATTGATATTTGCTCGTACAAATGATGTAACAAAAGAAAAAAAAAAAAAAACGTTACAATAATGCGTGAGGAAAATAAATTAATTTTATGCGTTATTTTGAATTTAACATAAATTACATTTTACATTAATTTCATTTCTCTTAATTTGCATTGCGCATCAGTTGCACTTTCTGATAAATTGCACTTAAAATAATATTCAGTAAAATGTGAAAAAAAAAAGAATAGAAAAAAATAGAAAGAAAAAAAAAAAATGAAAGAAAGAAAATAAGAAAGAAAGGAAAAGGAAAAAAAAAAAAAAAAAAAAAAAAAAAAAAAAAAAAAAAAAAAAAAAAAAAATAAAAAAAAAAAAAAAAAAAAAAAAAAAAAAAAAAAAAAAAAAAAAAAAAAAAAAAAAAAAAAAAAAAAAAAAAAAAAAAAAAAAAAAAAAAAAAAAAAAAAAAAAAAAAAAAAAAGAAAAAGAAAAAAAAAAAAAAAAAAAAAAAAAAAAAAAGGCAATTAAATAGTTGCACGTTTGTCGCTTGAATATGTAAAAAAAAACAATTTCGCAAATATGTAAATATACAGCTGAAAAGAAAAAAAAAAAAAAAAAAAAAATGATTGATGTACGGAGTGTGACTATATTTATGTGCGTAAACCCAACAAATAATTTACTAATACGGAAAAAAAAAAAAAAAAAAAAAAAAAAAAAAAAAAATAAAAAAAAAAAAAAAAAAAAAAAAAAAAAAAAAAAAAAAAAAAAGTGTTCAAATCTACACTCTTTTAGATGAAAAAATGAAAAAGAAGAAAAATGTGGTAAAGTGAAAGTGTGAAAAAAATGTTACAGGAGTGTTGTGTAAAACTGGCGAAAGCAAAAATTATGTACGCTAAAAAAGATGGAATAAATTGAAAATGATCTGTGACTAAAAATTTTCTTTATAATTTTTTCAATTTACTTTCGTTTTTTGGAAGCGAATATTTAAGTGTATAAGTGTACAATAAAGTGAACATATTATATGTAAACGAATACATATGCATAAATGAATATACAAACAAATGTACAAACGAATTAAAAACGAATTAAAAACGAATATTTACGCATATACTATAATGTATATTTGCGCGTACATATAAATATACACATATATGTACTACATGTTTGGCACACGCACATGTGCACATAAAAATGTAAACACAAACACGCCTCACGAATATTAAAGCTTTATTTTTTTTATGTTCTTTTTAAAGGCACACGGGAGTGATGTGTAATTGCAGTTATTTTCCTCTTTTTTTTTTGGTTCCTGTTTTATTTCCCTTTTTTTTCCCAATTTTTTAAAATCATCTTTTTTCGTTTTTTCACCATGAGCAATGTATTTTTGTTTGTTTATTTTTAGTTTTATTAAAATATATGTTTGCATGAATATATTTGAAGAATTATGTAAATAAGTGTAAATATACATATAATATATACAATTTAACTTGCGCATATATCGCACGAATGTCCCAGTTTATACGATTTCACAAATCACATAAAAATGCATGTACGCACTTGACTATGTTACAGCAATTGTTAGTAGCGTTATGGCAAAAAAAAAAAAAGAAAAAAAAAAGAAAAAATAGCGAAAGTAAATAAATGAACAAAATATGAAATGTGCAAATGAACAAATATACGAAATGTGCGAAATAAGCGAAGGACAAAAATTAGTGTGTACGTTGTGTATTTGTTTTTTTTTTTTTTTCAGATATGTGTTGACAAAATGATATTAAAGATGTTTTATCCATTTTCTTGCAACCCACCATTTTTTTTTCTTTTGGAATTGTGCTAAATTTTTTAATGAAACAATTTTTTATGGTAATGTTTTTTTTCTTTTTTCACTGACCAAAACAAAGTTTGGTTTAAAAAAGCTAGATTTTTTTTTTTTTTTTTTTTTTTTTTCTCTCACCAATTTTATACACCTAAATGCATATAAAAAGCAAATGAGTATATGTCCATTCAGGTAAATGTAAATACTATATCATGTAAACATGTATTAATTTAGCTAGTTTATTGTTAAAAGATGTCAAATGTATATGGCAATTAGCAAGCTAGAAAAATAAAAATTTTTCAATAGCCACAAAAAACAGTGCGACACAGTAGTTGAATTTACCTGGACGGTATTTTTTTTTTTTTTTTTTTTTTTTCAAACAACTAACATGATGTAAATATCTTCTAAAAAAAGCTACATTTCTTGAACGATTGTAACATAATCTTTTTGAAAAATATAAAATTTCAATTTTGCTTATAATATTTAACAATAATTTTATTGTCTCATTTTTCTCCATTCCATCTATAAATTGTTACTAATCAGTCGATAATTTCTTAAGATTCACATGTTTGTCTTTATTATTCTATTATTAAAAATGAAAAAAAAAAAAAAAAATTGGCTATTTCTTCGAGCCATCCTAATGTATATTATCACAAAAGTCAAACCTACAAAAGGATATGACAAACTAATAAAAAAAGGAAAATAACACAGATATAATATTTTGTACGTTCGTGTTGTAGACATGAAAAACATTCACGTATATAAAATGTTGCTACTTAGGTTGTTTTTTCTTCTTCTTTTCTCGAGATCCACTGTACATTTAAAAAGCACAGTTTTGTATATTGCATTTATTATTCGAAGAGGTAGGCACACGTAATAGGGAAGAAACATGTATCTATTTTAAGCATATTGCCATTTTTCCTTTTTTTTTTTAAAGTTTATGTTTATAAGGTAGTAACCCTAATATGTCAAAAAGTTCACACACATTTGCAACTCCCCTTGTGATTGATTCTTGTCATATAATTACTTTGTTTTTATAGTTCCGAAATATATCTAATTTGTTTACAACATATATTTGCCCATCCTATTTCATCACACATTCGTGCATATTTTGTATAAAGCATGTTTGTTAAAAAGGCACCCCTTTTTATTAGGGAGTGCACCATAGCACCGGCGAATACTTCCCAAACCCAACCCTTTTGTAAACACACAACTTTTCATGAATGACAACATGAGCACTGATAAACACAAATGGAAAGGGTAAGTGGAGAAAACTGAATAAAAGGAAAAAAAAAATGTCACAAATATTATGCATTTTAAACTACTGCTCACAGGCGTATAATGTGCATACATACACTTATGAATAAAATATGAAGAGTCAACTTAACTAACCCCTTCTTATAATGAATGAAGAAATTGTTCCAACAGACCCACATCAATTCCACAGGTACATTTAAAAATGATTCATTTTCATCTCTCCCCTTTTGGACGCGTATATGGTCATATACATGTTCATAAAGTTTGGCTTCGTGAACAGTCGTGTAATATACCACATGTGTACATATAACTATGTCTGAATGAATATAACATAGTCCAAATGATTGGGAGAGATTGCAAAAAGAAGAATGAAATGATGTTTTGGAAATTTCTCGAATCTACTTAATTAATACACGTAAAATGACACCTTGCGAAATTGATGAAAATGCTGAAAAAAAAAAATTATACATAAATATATATATATATATATATATATATATATATGTGTGTGAATTCTTATTTCAGTGTATATACATGTAACGTGTGATGCGTAACGTTTTCGTGCGTAAATGATTCGAAAGAAAAGAAAAAAATAGAATATAATAAAATATGATAGAGTAAAATATAAATGGTGCACTGCTCCTTTTAGCTCTATAGCTTCATTTCAGCCCGTCGATTCCCCTTATCAAACAAATTGACTTCATATTTTTTGAACACGTGGTAAAGGCTCTTCGCTAGTTCTTCAATGTGTTCATCCGTGTGGTAAGGCGAGGGAGTTATTCGAATTCTCTCTGACCCGCTAAAAAATAGGTAAAACAAGGGAATCGAAAAATGTATTCAACAGTGATGTATAGATGTAAGAATAAATGTGCACAGACGTAAAAGCACACATAGGTGTACATGTGTTGGAGGGCTGAGTGGTGGTGGTGGTGGTGGTGGTGGTGGTGGTGGGGATATTTGCAGAAAAGTTGGTAATCCGTGTGTGCATTACCTTGGAACAGTGGGATAATTAATTGGTTGTATATAAATATTATGCTCTGTTAGAAGATCATCACATATTTGTTTGCATTTTTCGGCACAATTAATCAAGGCTACAACAATGTGTGAATCATTGTCCATGATATGTATTCCTTGTTGTGTCAACCTTTTTTTTGTTTTTTGAACAACTTGACGAAATTTATTTCTTAAATTTATATCATTTTGAATTATGTAAATTGCCTCAGCAGATGTGTTAATATTAACAGGTGTTAAAGAAGTCGTAAATATAAAATGGGGTGAATAGGATCTAATAACATCAATATAATATTTGTTAGCACAAATGAACCCCCCTAAGGATCCAATAGCTTTTGATAAAGTACCATTAATTATATCTATATGATCACACAGATGTAATTCTTCTACATACCCAGAACCTGTTTTACCATACAAACCAACAGCATGAACTTCATCAACATAGGTAAGGGCATTATATTTTTTGGCCAGCTGAACAATGCGTGGAATGTTAGACATATTTCCTGACATACTATAAATGGATTCAAATATTATCATAATTTTTCTATATTGATATTTTTTATCCATTCTTAATTTTTTTAAAATATTTTCTAAATCAACCATGTCATTATGCTTAAAAATGTATTTTTCGCATCTCGATTCTCTGATACCATTAATTATAGATGCATGATTCATTTGGTCAGATACAAAAACAAGGTTTAGCAATTTTCCTAACGTTTCTAACGCCCCAACATTGGCTATATATCCAGAGGTAAATAATAATGCACTTTCTTTATTAAACCATTTGGCTAAAATATATTCCAAATGTGTATGATTTAGTAAACTTCCTGAGATATTCCTTGTTCCGCCACTGCTATTCCCAATTTTTTTAAGCGTTTCTATTCCTACATCTATTACTTTTTGATTATTTGACAAACATAGATAATCATTCGAACACCATACAACGGTTTTCTCGTTCGTTGTCTTACTCCTAGTAGCATTTAGATTCCATATATTCCACATATTTTCATCTTCTTTCTTTGAAGATATGATAAGAGTGCATCCTTTATTTAATAATTTACTTTCTTCACCTTTGTTCCTATGTCTCTCATCCCCTTTGTAGCTAAGATTTTGTTCGCTGCACTGCATATGTTCACTTCCATTAGTAATACTATTCAATCCATTCATGGGCAAATCAAAATTTCCCTTAACCCTGTATGTGACATTTCCTATGCATGGCTTGTAGCCAAATTTTTGATAAAACTCGTAAAAACTGGGAAGAAATAATTTATTATTTTCTATATATACATTTGGATAATATTTTCTGCATTTATTTAATATGGTAAACACTCTATATCTCTTGTCCAAAAAAAGTTTATTTATAAGTTCTTTCAAATCCTTAGAACATTGATTATGAAATAGTATATTGGAATCTCCTTCTTCTGTAAGTAAACTGCTTTGCTTATTTTCTACAATCGGATGCATATTCGTTCTTGTGTAGTTTATATTCCACCTGTCGCAGAGACAGGCTTCATGTGAGGTGTGTTCCTCTTCGTAGGTACCATGAGCTTTAGTCCTAGTGTTGTCATAATTTCTGCGAAAGTTAGTGGTGATGCCATAACTACTTCGACAAGTATTTCCAGTGCCAATTTTATTAGGACTTCCTTCCTCATCACATTTTGCTGTCGTTTTTATGTCAATTTCCTCATTATCAGTATCCAAAGAATCCACTAGATGTCTTGATATGATGTTAGATTTTCTGAGAATTTTGAAAATATTTATCTTTGATTTGTTGTCTATTATTATTAAGTGTTTTTCATTGATAGCCTTTCCTATTGGACATAAATTAGACATTACTGATAGAACAACATTATTTTTATTTTCGTTGCTGTTATAAAATAATTGTACATTCTTTATAAACGGGCAATATTTTTTAATTTCGTTAATGCTAACCTTTAACGTTTTTTTCTTTCTCATTTTGTCTCTATAGTGAGTTTTGGCTGTTTTTTTTTTTTTTTTTTTTTTTTTTTTTTTTTTTTTTTTTTTTTTTTTTTTTTTTTTTTTTTTTTTTTTTTTTTTTTTTTTTTTTTTTTTTTTTTTTTTTTTCTTTTGTTTACTTATTCTTTTTGCAACCTCTTTACACAAGACAGGGCTGTGTTTATTTACGCGGATAGATAGATATCGAGAACCCTCGAAGAAAACAATTCAGTTTGGTTGAGCGGTAAGTGAAGTATAAATATGTACACATATATCTATACTTGTGTGTGTGTAAGAGTGTGGTAGCATGGAAATGTCCTCTTTACAATGTCTTAGTTAACCCACAATAAATGTATAATCGAGAGAAACTGTCGAATTCTAGCGCAGCTTAACTTTGTGCTCTTAACCATCATTCCAATTATGCTACTTCTAAACTGCTAGAAAAAAAAAAAAAAAAAAACTTCATAAATGCTTAGAACTGTGGGGTTGGAATTTCTTAAAAGAATATTAACAAAAATTATGATGCAGAAACGGTTATTTATTCATTCTCTTATTTTGCAATAACTGTTACGAGAGTGCCACAAAAGTTAAAAGCAGTTTAGGTAACTTCCACTTGGTAATGAGGATAATAAATTCTACACACTACAACAGAAAATACAATTTCAGAATAAACAAATAGTTTAACTCGTCAAAAAAGAAGTGGGTTTTGAGAGGATGAGGAATGACTCCTTCACCAAAGTGATTTATGTCTGTCCCTTACAAAAAGCATGAAATATAAAACATAAAAAATTTTCAAGAGAACATAAAAATAGTACACAGGTTTGTGATATGTTTTCTTCCCTTTAAAGGGTATGTAGATAAAGGAAATATGTTGAATGTTAATGAATACCTACAAAGATGATTGTGTAAAATTTTATACTTTGTGTTAATATGCATTTGTTCTTTTTTCTATCGATGGGGTGTATAACAAGGAAGTTCCCAAAAAAAATACAAACTTGGTGTATTATATAGTGGCACGTGCTGTGGCTTATACATTTTATAAAATTTTTAAAATTAAAAAAAGGAAAAACACACTTCTTATAAATTAAAAAAAGGAAAAGCATACTTCTTATAAATTAAAAAAAGGAAAAACATACATCTTATAAATTAAAAAAAGGAAAAAAATACTTCTTAAAAATTAAAAACGGAAAAATATTCCTTTTAAAAAATAAAAAAAAAATGTATCACTACTGTAGAGCTGCACGAATAGGAAAATAAAAAAAAATAAAAAAAATTGGTTGCAAATTGAAACAAATAGCAAGCGTTTTTCCTCCATTACATGTATTCATCTTGTTATGTACAAAAAATGGATACTTTTTTAAGAAGCATAAATATTCGCTCTCCACGCTTTTTTAACATCATTATTTGCAGAAATAAAAAAGCAAAAGAGAAAAATTAAAAAAAAATATAAAATATAATGGATCTTTCCAACATACGGCTTGTTCCACGTAGCGCAATGGAGAAAAAGGCTTTTTCTAATGACGTGTGTTATTTATGTTCATACTTACACATATGTGAATATATTTTTTTTTTTTTTTTTTTTTTTCTCCCAAGTGGAATTCTCCTTTTACCAATCTCCCAACTTCCGATGTCGTCATTTACACGTTTAGATGTAAATATTTCCTATGAAGTTGCAAATTGAAGGTACATATGCATGCAGATCCTCGAAACCACAGCTATCATGATAGATATGAGTGTGCCTTGGTTTTTTTTTGTCTCTCTTGCTTACGATATGCAAATACCACTATATTCTTCCATTACATCATTTATTATAATGCTGAGCGTGAAACATACTTAACATTTGCACAGGTTATCATCCAAAAAGCCAAAATCCTGCATGTGTACATTTGCGTTTAATTCTACTTCTCCTCGAGCTCATCGATATAACGAGATACTCTATAACAAAAACACATAGCAAAAAAAAATAAATACTTCTCCCATGATCAATAAATAAGTGCATTTAAATTATTTAAAAATGAAAATTTCACAGGGTGCAACATGTACGTGCACATTTCGACAACTATATATATATATATATATATATATATATATATATATATATATATATATATATATATATATACGTATACATATGTACATATATGTACATATATGTACATATATGTACACATATAAACTCATCAAAAACGAATACCAATGTGACACTCTAGTCATGTGGTCTCATTTGATCTACTTCATAATCATATATACACCTATGGCATGCATCTGTAACTGCACAAGGTTACATGTATTGGCTCACTTACAAGTAGTTTAGTAAAGTCCCCAACATGTGAGACAATACTAGAAGTAGGAGAATGTAAAAAGCAAACAGTTCCTTTTCCTTGCTCTTTCTGCCAGACGAGTGAAGTTGTGTATGCGAATATGCATATATATCTGAGGTCATTATATAATCGTGCATATATTTACATATACATGCATGGTGGACGAAGTACGCATCCCTGTACCCCACTTGGAGAAAATTTTTGTTGCTGCCTCTTTTTTGTGCCTCTTTTTTGCGCCTCTTTTTTGTGCCTCTTTTTTTGCCGCCTCTGCTCCACGCACTTACTTGCGCACCAGAGAAGTGCCATAAATTCCTCCGGCGAAATAATCCGTACACCTCTTGGGCATATTTTTGAAGGCTGAACATATAAGCTTTGTGCTGATATCTTTATTGAGTTTTATTTTATATGTGTTACCATTTATTTGTATCGAATAAACATAAAACTTCGTTTTTATCATATTTTTCATGTATGTATGGAAATTTTTCAAAAAACATTTGTTAACTTCATGAACAGGAACATTTAAATATGCTAAAATTTTTTCGGAACATTTTTTGGTTAAATCATTTGATCCATTTGAACATAGTTTTTTTTCAAAGTCAAAGTCGAACAAAGCATTTATGTAATAAATGAATTTTTCACTAAACCTTAGTTCTTTTCCTTCTGGGTTATAATTATTCTCTTTTGTGTATTTTGCGTAATTTTTTCCATTTTCTCTTGTATCATCCAATTTTTTAGAACTAACATCCTTTAGCTCCTTATCTCTAACTTTTTCAACATCATTTGGACGCATCTGATTTATAGGATTCTGTATACTTAGGGAATTTACTTCCTCTACAGATTCAGCAAAGTGTTCTACCTTAATGGCTGTCATTTCATAAATACATAAACTTCTTACCTGCTGCTCAACTACCTCTCGTACTACATTGGAATTCATATAATCAGGTTTACTTATGCAATATGAAGAATCTCTAATAAAACAAAAACGAGGATCAATTGTAAAATTTTTGTGGATACTGAAATTAATTTCATAAGCTATGCGTTCCTTTAAATCAAGTAAAAAATTTTTCATGTACAAGAAAAAAGTGTAATTAAAATATTTGCCAAAATCTAAATGATAATTTATATGAACAATATCACTTTTGTTACTTATTCCCCAATATAATTCAAACGTATACAAATGGTAGTTATCCTTCTCTTGATAATTTAACATAGCATCATATGGTACCAAATATGTCAAGAGACTGGAATGAAGAATCGTTGTATTTAATTCCTCATGTGGGTTGTATATTTCATTTTCATATAAAAAATTGTCACATATAAATATTAAAGCAGATGCACTTGTATTTAAATATAAATAATTCATAAATTCATAAATATTTTTTAAATTATCTTTATATTTTATATTTATAAAAAGGACACAGTTATTTGTTCTTAATATATTATCATCCCCATGAATTATTTCCCCCTTTTCTTTACTCAGATTACAATGTACATTAGATAACTTTTTCTGTATTTCGATGAAATTTATTGCTGAATTTATGTCTTCAAAATTTGTATTCAAATAAATACCTGGGCTTTGTACCTTGTATTTTATAAACCTGTATGGAAGGTGCACAATTATACCGTCTATTAAATCGTTTGTTGGTAATATTTTCAAGGTACCTTCTACGAATGCTTTTGGCATATTGTTAAAAAGGTTCCATGGGAGAAGTAACACTGCCAGCATGAAAAATAAACGAATCTGAAAAGTTACACTTCCCATTCTGATTCTCACTCCTCATTTCACTGTTTAGCAAAAGTAAGTTATTGTCTTTTATCTTGCGCTATCTCGAAGAAGGGTCTGTTGGAGGATGCCTTAACTTCTGCGTTGGCCCCGGTGTTTCTGTGTTTTTTTTTTTTTTTTTTTTTTTTTTTTTTTTTTTTCCCCTTATGGAACGTATAAATGCGCATTCATTGACGCCCCCACCCTGTGGGAAAAACATATGGATCGTGCAACTCTAACGTGAATTTTTTCCGTTAAATGCTTAGGTAAATGTTCAGGTGCTTTGGCCGACAGGTCTAAGCACACACAGCCTGTTCCATCTTAACTCAAAAGTGTGTGTTCCACACTGGGTGTGGAAAAGCAACTGTGAAAACAAGACGTAATGAATTCATTGTTGCGAATATTTTTTCAGCATCTTTTCCCTTATAGGGAAAGAGTGTTCCAAAATGGAGTACAAATGAAATGTAACTGAATAAAATGATACAAAATAAAATGACACAAAAAATGAAACGAAATAAAATGATACACAATAAAATGATACAAAATAAAATGATACACAATAAAATGATACAAAATAAAATGATGCAAAATAAAATGATACAAAATAAAATGATACAAAATAAAACGAAACAAAGTAAAATAACGTGTAAAAGGGCGCTAAAATTTTCCATAAATTTAGAAAAAAAAAAAAAAAAAAAATGCACACGCATGGCTATTCGTAGGACCTTCTATATGACAAAATTTAGCTTAGTCATGCAAAGTGGACATGTCCCATTAAGCAAAAAAAAAGGGGTCGTGAAAAGTTAATATGATCAAATGTGTTGATATTCAATACTTTCAAAAAAAAAAAATAAAATAAAATAATAATAATAAGATTCTCATACTTAGTTTGTTCAAAAACATTATTGTGGTATATTTTTGTAGTAGTAATCAATAATATTCTTTCCCATGACATTATTATTATCACTACATATGTTAAAGAGTGTAGTACCATTCTCATCAGTTACGCTTAATATATCTTTAAAAGCAGTAAGATCATAATTTGAATTGCTCAAAATGGAATAAATAAGTTTCTCATTATTCAAATATACATGAATTTCATCAGTAGATTGATCAAAGTTTATTTCATTTATCTGATACAAATTATCATCATTTGTACAATAAAATAAACAATATGTTAAATACAAATACAACAAATCATTGTCGTTGCTGTATGTGATATATATAAGTGGGTGGGGATATATACTTTTTCCTATATATGGAGAAATATGTTTACTAAATAATTTTTTTATTACTTTTATATTTCTTTCAAATATAGATATACTTAATAAATTCCCTTTCTCAAAGCTGTTAATATTGATGTCTATGTTTTTTTTTTCTAAAAGAATATTAAAAATTTCATAATTTTGTGTTATTAAACTGTACAACAAAGCATTTGCGTTATGCTTATCTTTTTTATTATAATCGATATTCTTATCAATTAAATATTTCGAAATCTCTGTATTTCTGTTAAGAACACTTATAATTAAGCCATTCTGTTCATCGTTGTTAATACTATTTATTAAGTTTGTATTTTCAACTATAAATTTAACATTGTTCATGTTGCTTCCATAAATTGCAAAATGGAGAACATTATTTTTATTTGCATCCAAATAATCTTTAATCATTTCGTATTTTTTCCCTTTCTCTTTTCCCTCTATCTCTATCCCTTCTTTTCCTTTTTCTTCTTCCTCTGTCCTTTTTGAACTTCCTTCTGTCTCTTTCCTTAGTAACCCATCCATAGCTGCTTTAAGTTCTTCAACACTTCTTTCATTTGAGCATATGAACAAATTTTTTATGGAAAACAGTTCCCCCATTTTTTTTTTTTTTTCTTTAAGTTAGACGTTATTGTGAATAGCGTGGTTATTTTTTTTTCGCACTTATACGTTTGACTATACCGTTCGGTATGCTTTATTTCGTCTTTTTTTATTTTTTTATTACTCCCCCTATATAGTAATTTCCTTTATAAATTCATTGATGCTTTTTCACCAATTTTTGATATTATGCGATACTTTTACCTGATATTTTTTTTTTGACAGTTTTATGAACGTTATTCAATTTTCTTAGTATATGTAAAAATGGCTCAACGGTATATTATACTCCGCTCAGGAAATTCTGCAACAACTACACGTTTTTTATTGATTACTACTCTTCTCTCCTTTTATCTCAAAATGAATGTATTTCAAAAGTGGGCTATTTGATTAATTCGTTATTTTATTTATTATTATTTTTTTTTTTTTTTTTTTATCTTTACATGTAGAGAAGAACATTTTCATATATTTCGTGGAATAGCGATTTTGTTATTATTTATAAGGGAGTAGGGAAAAAAAAAAAAAAAAAAAAATCTGAACAGTTCAGGTAATTAGATATATCATTTTTTTCCTTCACTTTCCTGAGTTACTTTTGTCGTTGATTCCTAAATTATTCTTCAAAGAAACATAAGTCAAATTAAAAGAACGAGAAAAAAGAGAGTTTTATTCTTCAAATTACAAAAAAATATACCATTTATATATGTTGTATATATGTACGTACGTATGTATATGTATATATTTAAGTTTAAGCAAGGTGTGGTAAAATGTGGTGTATGGTTAAACAACAAAAATTTTAAATAGAAAAATCAAAAGGGTATTTTTTTTTTTTTATATGCATAAATGTAATAATATACACTTCCTCGTGTTTTCAAAAAATTCCCACAAAATTGTAGAGTATTCACTATAACAATCAAAAGTTTCTGCTCAGGGTAAGAAGGTCGAAATGAGGTTCTGTACTCCTGTGTCAGATGTATTAGCGGTGTTTGCATTGCCAAATATGAATATGCGAAATACGTCCAATTGGTGAAAATAAGCAAATGTGTAAGTATGCAAAATTTGTATATATGCAAAAATGTAAGCATTCTAATATTATACCAAATGTTTGGATAAGCAAATATGTAAATACATACACGGAATGATGTAACTCTGTAATGGCATCAAATACGCTCCCTTTGCCCCTCCTTGAAACGCTCAGAAATGTTAGGCAATGGGATAATGTCATTCCACTATACACAATATTTAGTAACGAGAAAGTGGGTTAGGATAAGAGGGGGGTCGTGGGTCTAGAAAAGTTCGTGAATATTTTGGGAAAAAAATTTTACATTTCTCAAAATACAATGTACAAATTGATTTTGCATAAGCTTGTAATAAAAAAATTATAATTTCTGTATTTCCATCCTTGTACAATTTAATCGTTGACGGAAAAACGTGGCTTTATGTATTAAAAGTGCCACAAGTCGAAAAAAAAAAAATAAACAATACAAAATAAAGTAAAATAAAATCCTTAAGGCGATTGCTAAAATGTGATATGTACCCCAACCTTTTTACTAGTGGACACTCTTTCATAATTTCTGTACATCAGACGTAAAATAAAAAAAGGAAAAATAAATAACCCCCCAAAAATAAAACTTCTAACAGTCTTGTAGTTTCCTTATGTCATTGATATGCGATGTTCCTCTCTCCTTCGATTGATACTTCAACTAAATTGTCCTTTATACCATAATATATACATTCACACATGTATATATATTCAGATATATCATATTTTCATATATCTAACAAAATGTCATATATGTCTGCAGATGTTAGAAGTTTACTTTAATCTGTTTCTGCCAGTTAACCCGAATCCACTCAAAAAAAAAAATAGAATTAAATGTAACAAGAAAAATGTTGTCACCATATATCTATCCGTTTACATCCATATCGGTAAAAAATAGAACATAAAAAAAAAAAAAAAAAAAAATATATACATAACATTAACCTTATCATTTTTTCAAATATACTCATAACTTTATTTTGTTCCCTCAGTTCCTTCTTTAGAAAGTACTGTCATCATCATTATTTTTATTTAACTTCATTTTATTATTTAACTTCATTTCATTATTTAACTTCATTTCATTATTTAACTTCATTTTATTATTTAACTTCATTTTATTATTTAACTCCATTTTATTATTTAACTTCATTTTATTATTTAACTCCATTTTATTATTTAACTCCATATTATTATTTTTTTTTTTTTTCGAATAAATAATCAACCTTGCAAATCTGAGTATGCTTCATTTACACATAAATATTATTTTTTTTATGTCTTGCACCACCTGGGTGCTCTAATTAGTGACTGAATTTTAAGTGCTGTGAAATTAACTAGCAAATTCCTCTTTCCTTTATAAATTGGTATCCTTCATCTGGAACGGCCGGTTTTGTAACTTCTGTGAGCTTTAGACTTACGGTTCCTGCCTTGTGCATGTGATTTCTTTCTTGATGAATAACTAGAGTCACTTGATGCAGAAGAATAACGCGATCGTCTTGATGATGATCTGGAGGAAGATGATGACGTGGATGAGTCATGCGAAGATGTTCTTGATGTTACACGAGATGATGAACGAGAACCAGATTTGGGACGTGAACGCGATGAATATCTTGAATCAGAGTTAGATGGGGAAGAAGAATTTGAATATTTTGACGACTGTGCAGATAAATTACGGTGTTTTGTATCTCTAGTGGATTTGCTTTTATTTAATTTATGGTTGTCTATATAACCACTTCCACTTCCAGCACTACTGTTGCTACTACTATCACTGCTTTCATCTGATGTGTATGTCCCTGAAGAAGATGGGTTCACTGAATTGTGTTCACTTCCTCTTCTTCTAACATCTGATCTATTCATAATATCATTAGTATCATAATTATTATTTGCATATTTATTTAACATATTTCTTTCTTCCTCTATCTGATCGAATATACTTTTTTCTTGTGTATTTTTTGTATTTTTAGCGTCTATATAATGTCTTTTATTATTTTGAAAATAATTTTTCTCTTTGTTTTTTATATTTTTTTTACGACTAGAAAAAAATCCTTTTTTTTCAATTGGTTTGGATTCTATGTTAGTGCAAATATTGGCATATTTCGCTGCTTCTATTCTTTCATTTTTTAAATACTTGTTATCTCTTAACAAGGTTAATATATTATTTGATATTTCTCTTATTCCTACCCCCTTGTCTTTTAAATCTTCCAAATGGGTAAAGTGTGTAAGCTTTTTGATGAGTTCTTCATTGTCCTTCACGTCACTGATGAAATATTCGCATCCGTTTTTCATTACATATTCGCATAATCTTAATCCCTGCATGATGGATCAGACAAAAAAAAAAAAAAAAAATCTAACAAGCTGTGAAAATGAATGTAAAACGTTTTCACAAATTAGCACAATTCAAACACATACAAAAAAAAAAAAAAAAAAAAAAAAAAAAAATTCTCCATAACTACACCACATCAGTAAGAACTAACCTTATATATTCTTCTCCATTTTGATGGCTTTTCTTGAATAGCCTTAAAGACCTCACTCATAACTCTCTTGTAATAATTTGCATCATACGTTGAGATGGACAAATCATACAAAAGGCTATTTGACACGCCATAATTTTTGTTATTTAGTGCTTCCTTTAAATTTTTTTCGAATTGATTTGATTCTAAATATCTACAAAGGGGAAGGAGGGGTGGGGGTGGGGGGACCAAAACGTGGTATGAAAAACATGCAAGTTCATTAAAATTTATTCAAATTTTGTGTCTGTCTCTAAAAGAGTGTTATTACGTACACGCATATTCACCCTCCGAAAAAGGGCTATTATTATCATTGTTATATTGCTATTATTGCTATTATTTGTTATGCATATGCATGTATTTTTCTATGCTTTCTGAATTCCTTACTTCTGTAAATAATTGTTTATGCTTGACACCTTTGAATTAACCTTTTTAAATATTAACATCTGCCATAGGGAAATGGTTATTTTGATGAATGAATAAAGACCCAGAAGGCGAAGGAAAAGGGAGGGGGAAGGGAATGAGGAGAGGATTTCATTATATGATTAAGGGAAGTGTAATTTTTCGAAAAAGCATCACATACACACGTTGGTGATATTTCAAGTTGAAATGGATTTACTCTTTTTTTCTTATCTTACCTTTCCGGAAAAATGCAACAAAACAGAGATTCGAAAGTGAACGAATTTCTTATACTTAAAAAATTCACAAAAATTATAATATAATAGTGAGATAGCGTTCAGTTAAACGTGGATAAGCACGTGTGTGTGTTTGCGAATAAGTGTTTATTTGTATGCATTTATGAGTAAGAATTATTTGTATGCATTTATGAGTACGAATTATTGGTGTGTATTTATTGAAAGCATTTATTGGACGTATTTATTGGACGTATTTATTTGAAGTATTTATGGGTATCTATTTATGTGTGTACGTTTATGGATGCAAAATTATAGGTATACACAGATACGTGCATGTATATTTACTTGTATGCATGTTCATGCACAAATATGCCATGCAAAAAAAAAAATGTAAATATACAAATACTGATTCCAATTTCTGCCTTGTATTAATGGAGCAGTAAAAATATGGAAAAATAGTATGCAACAATGTGGTGCAATAAAGGGTGTAATTTCATGGCAAAAGTTGCAGCACAATAAGTAGAGAGTAATAAAATGGCTGTGGATGAAGTTCACATAATTGCGAGGAGTAAAATTGGGTGTAAATTATATTTCACACAAAAAAAAAAAAAAAAATGTATTGGAAAACGAATTTTGTAGCTAATTGTAGAATACAAAAAAACAAAAATATATATATACATGTGTATGTATTTTAAAGTGTGTTAAAAAGAACTATATTAAATTTGGCACGAAAAATAAATTAGGCATTAAAATAAACTTAACATTAAAATAAATTAGGCATTAAAATAAATTTGGCATTAAAATAAAGTAGGCATTAAAATAAAATTGGCATTAAAAAAAAATTGGCATGTAAAATAAATTTGGCATCAAAATTAATTTGGCAAATAGAATAAACCAAGTAAACAAAGCGAGTTCAAACACAATTAAGGGACATGCGAAATGGCATGTGTTTTTTTTTTTTTTTTTCTTTTTTTTAAAGTAACACTGGGAGGTTCGGAGGACGTCATTACAAGAGATGGACAAATATAGTCCTAACAAAAAATATTTATCTACGTTATGGTTAAATTTCCATCACCTTACATTAAGCATGCTACAGAGAAAACTTTATATAAATGTGTGTACGTATGTGTGTATACATAGATGTACGAATGTGTATGTGTACGTCCGTAGGGATGCATACGCATCTGTGTATAATAACCCCTCTTTTCCTGTGAATAAGCAGAAAAATTTAAAGTTCACATAGGGCTTTTAAAACATAATCGATATTACAAACAATCTCCTACAAAACAGGTATTATAAAAAGGATATACAAAAAAAAAAAAAAAAAAAAAAAAAAAAAAAAAAAAAAAAGGTTTTATCACTTTCACCCAATGCTGTGAGCATTCCATAATTATCTTGGTATGCTCATATTTTACATGTTCGTACTTGCGCCAATATTGTGTGATATGACTTTTGCTCCCTCTCACATTCGCAATTGGCTTATTTTCCCCATCAAATGAAAAAGTTATGTGGAAAAAATTTGCTTCTTTTTTTCCAAAATGTGAGTTTTCACATATACATGTACCTCTACATATGCGTTAACTACTGTTGATGAATTGTTCATGTAAAAAAAAAAAAAAAAAGGGTATTATGAATAAAAAAAAGGATGCCTTAAATTTCGTATATGTTCTTACGAGGGAATGCCGTTTTCTTATTTGCTATACTACAACAGTTCATTTTTTTATTTATTTTTTCTTTTATTCATGATTCTGCCATACATTTTCCTCATTTATTTTATTTATTCGGGTAGTATATTTTTTATTATTTTTTTGTGCGGAAGAGGCGCTCTCAAACGGGACACATAAAAAAATGAGTGTGTTTTACATACAAAAGAAAAAAAAAAAAAATTATGTCACTATTTGTGTGTTGCGCCTCTAAATATATAAAAAATTGAGAATTATATATTTTTTTTGACATTATTCTGTAACATCTTTCTGTAACGTTTTTTTTGTGGATCTCCTTCTCTCCCCTTTTGACAAATATTAATATTTTTCAGTCCACTAACTTTTGGGCTTAAAATTAAGAAAAAAGTAAACAAGTGAGGGACAAAGGATGCACGAAAGTGTATGCACATGCACGTTATATATGCGTGTATACATATTTTCATGTTTTTTTTTTTTTTTTTTTGGTTTTTTTTTCTTTTAAGTCCCCATTATCCTAATTTCACGGGGGATTAGACCAATATACGGATGGAACAATGTTGTGGAAAAATATTCCAATTTATAGTGGAAATCCATCTGCCTACCTAATGTTTTCGAAAACATGGACATATGATGAAGAGAAATATTTTCAGGGATTCTTTCAGCGTTTCCTTTGAACATTCCATATGTTCATTTTCATTTTCCATATTAATCAGACCACCAAATGAATCTCTTCTTTATCATATCCACAAACGTTCGTAAGATTAAAAATGTCCTTCGTGGAAATAAGTAGAACTTTTAAGATTTAAAAAAGTGCAACATTCCCCTCATTGTTTACTAACCGTTACCATGTACAAATTCGAACAGCTAGACAATCGGACAAATACACATACACGGGCTTGCACAAAATAATATTTACACCTGTCTAGAGCTGTAGAAGTATGTCAATACAAAAAAATGTACTACAGTGTTTTTACCAGGGATCCAAAAAAAAAAAAAAAAAAAAAAAAAAACCAGTTTCCATTGTACCACCTTTTTTATAGAAATGGCTTTATATTTACTTAATACATGGTCTACATTTGATACTTCTTTACAATAATGCATTCTTTTCTTTTTGGAAAAAAGAGGAAATATTCTTCTTTTTCTTTTTCTCTTTTTTTTTTTCTTTTTCTTTTTCTCTTTTTTTTTTTCTTTTTCTTTTTCTCTTTTTTTTTTTTTTTTTTTTTTCTTTTTTTTTTTTTTTTTTTTTTTTTTTTTTTTTTTTTTTTTTTTTTTTTTTTTTTTTTTTTTTTTTTTTTTTTTTTTTTTTTTTTTTTTTTTTTTTTTTTTTTTTTTTTTTTTTTTTTTTTTTTTTTTTTTTTTTTTTTTTTTTTTTTTTTTTTTTCTTTTTCTCTTTTTTTTTTTTCTTTTTGTTCATGAATACATGTTCCCATCCATCTGTTCATGTAACCTTCTTAACACATTTTGATTCTTATCAAAATTGTCTTGTGTACCCCAAAAGTTTAAGAAAAATAAATTTTAATCATAACACAACAGAGGGAATTTTTATATTATGTAAAAATTCATAACGAAATAAAAATTTAAAAATACCAATTCATGTGCATAATTTACAACGGCATTTGGTCATGTGTTCGTGACAAATATACATACATGGGGTATAGGTGTAAAAGGAAAAAGTAGAATGTGGTATGTATCCATGTATATGTGTGTGTGGGTAGGTAGGTAGATGAATATAAATTTCTTCCCTCTATAAATACACTTTTATTTCTCTCTTTTTTTTTTTTTTTTTTATCTAATAAGAACTAAGCACCCTTACATTTTATGGTAAGACTAAAAATGAAAATTTCTTTTCCACCATTGTGCCAAAAGACACTAATAGTTAACATGTGTATGTTCTTCTCATTGCTACAAATAGTTCTTGTTAACATGAAAGAAGAAGAAAGGGAAAAAAAAAAAAAAAAAAAAAAAAAAAAAAAAAAAAAAAATTTATTATATTTTTTTTTTTTTTTTTTTTTTTTTTTTTTTTTTTTTTTTTTTTTTTTTTTTTTTTTTTTTTTTATTTTTTTTTTTTTTTTTTTTTTTTTTTTTTTTTTTTTTTTTTTTTTTTTTTATTCGCAATTTCATCGCATACTGTTATGTAAGCCAGGATTATAAGTTTCGAAAATATTCTTAAATAACAAAATAGACGCACGGAAAGGTATAACTCAAAGAGGTGATAAACTTTAAAATTTCAAAGAATTCAAGTGAACTCAGTGAAATAATAACTCATAAACCTTTTTCTCACAAGTGTATGTTCCCTGCTATGAAACCTACCAGTATACACTTGTGGGGGAAAAATCCTTAAATTTGTATGCAACTCAGTGGGTAAGCAGCTGAGTTGATAAGCGGACGAATCGGCATGAAGGCACCACATATGAAAAGACCAAAACAAATAGAGACCCAGAAGAAAAAAAGAATGCCACCATGGTTTCACGTGTAAACAAGAACGGCCAAAATAACAACACCAGATCTTGCTCAAATGAGAGGAGCGCTAGCAAGGGAAATAAAATGGGTAAATCGAAAGATCCTCACAGAGATTGCCTGAAGGACATCTATCAATGGTACATCGACAATAACATCGAAGAGAAAAAAAAAAAAAACAAAGACATAGAAAATAACAAAGATAGTTACTTTGAAGATGCAGAGGTGAAAAAAAACGTAGAGGAATACATAAGTGTGGTATGCAGAATCAAAAATGGTGGAAACGAAAAAGATGGTGCGATAAATGGCGAAAATAATGAAGCCGATAATGTAATAAGAAAAGTGTCTAAAAACAAATTAGTCATTGATACTTTTCAAATGGGAAACAAAAGTAGTCTTAATTTTGAATACACATATGATCGAGTGTACGATCTAGAAAATAATAACCAAATGATATTTAACGATTATATAAAAAACAATATAAAAAATATATTTCAAGGAATTAATTGTAGTATATTAGCATATGGTCAAACAAATAGTGGGAAAACATATACTATGCTAGGAAATTTTCATTTTTTAAATAAGTTATTTCATCTGTGTAAAGAAAATGAAAGTAATAAAATAGATTTACCTATTCCTAATGATATAGCTATTACATATGAAGAGCTAACTAATTGTATAACAAATGAACCCAATTATGTAGGTTTAATTCCTCATTGCATAAATTATATTTTTAATTATATAAATCATCATAAAAATGAAAATCCATTACCAAATGGAAGAAAAGAGTTTGTAGTTACTATGTCTATACTAGAAATATATAACGAAATTATATACGACTTGATAAGTGGAGAAAGTAACTTATCTGTACATATGATTGACTCTAATAAAAACGAATTTGTTATTAAAAATTTAAAAGAAGTTGAAATTGAGAATGTCATTAATGCTCTTCACTATTTAGAAGAAGGGGTTAATAATAGAAAAATTGCATTCACGCATATGAACAAAGCTTCCTCCAGATCTCACTTAATTTTTATTATTAAAATAAATAGGTACATTCGCGCAACGAACACGGTTAGATGTGGCAAGCTATGTCTCGTCGATTTAGCTGGAAGCGAGAGACTCAAGCAAACAAAAGCAACCGGTTCTGTGAAAATTGAAACCACCATGATTAACAAAAGTCTAACTGTCCTTAGTAAAGTCATTAATGCCTTGGCGATCATGCAAATCAAGGAAAAAATGGACAAAGCCAAAAAGGCGGAAAAAGTGGAAATAGTGGAAAAAGTGGAAAAAATGGACAAAATGGACAGAAATGAGGGCGAAAAAAACAGGGAACAGGAGGAACATCCTTCTGATGCTCCAAACGATGAAGAGTCACTCGAAGAACACTTGTGTCCAGGAGGAAACAAACAAAGCGTCTTAGATTCAGATGAGAAAACAAAAGACCAAGGAACAACAGGAGGAACGGCTTCAAATGTACATATCCCTTATCGAGATTCTAAATTAACTAGAGTATTGTCAGACAGCTTAGGAAACAATTGTAAGAGTATTCTTATATGCACTCTATCACCTAAATTGCAATATCTGAACGAAACTGCATCTACTATAAAATTTGCACAAAGGGCTAAAATGGTGAAGGCGAAACCAGTGATACGTGAAGAAAAAATTGAAACAAAGCACACAGATGAGGAAGGAAATGTGAAAAAAGTGAATAACGAAAATGATTACAATTCGAAGGAGAAAAAGGTAGATATTTTTCTCAATTTTGATCAAAATCATATAACGAAAGATATCATATTTTTTTCCTTCAGTTTGTGCATTTTTAGCTATATTTGTGGGTTCAAAAGTACTGGTAAGATAAAATACTTAGACTTCTTCATCGAGTCCTATAAAAACAAAATTGACATAATAAAAGATCAATTAAACAAAGTGAGTACAGGTATTAACGACGTTAGTGAATGTATACTAAAAACATTTGATGAATTGGAATCATTAACCGAAGAAGAAAAAGAAAAATATTTAAAAACACATCAGAAAAATGGACAAAACAGTGATGTAAATGAATGCCAAAAGGGTCAGACAAAAAATCAACACTTTCAAAAAACTCAAGGAAAAATTTTGTTCGATAAAGGACAAATGATAAATAATAAAAATTCTGAATCTGAGGATAAGGAAGTTCTGCCTTCAAATATCAAAACGTCAATTAATAGGGATGAAAAAGGAACTGGCAAAAAAATAGATCATCAAAATGAGAAATTGCCCATCTCGTTAAATGGTGGTAATAACCCTGAACATGATCATCAGGAGGAGGAGGAGGATGACGCATTGATAGGAGACATTCTAGTAAAGATGAAAAATGATATTTGCAATATTTTAAAATTTAATTTATCTAGCTTAAAAAGTAACTTGAAAGGAAACACACAAGTATGCGATGAAATGATTGCCATAGTAAACACAGTAAGGGAAAATAATAACATTTTTTTATTAAACTCATTAGATCAGCTTGGAAAAGGAGGTACTGCCAACCATGATATTGAAGAAAAGAACAAAACTGAAAAGGAAAAAAATAATCCATCTTGTAAAGCAACAAGTGATGTCCATTCTAATGTTTCTATTCATGCAAAGAACAAGACATATGTGAAAGGAACTATGAGGGACACAGAAGAAGGAAATAAGAAAAGCTCGAAGGACAAATTATGTATTACTGATAGAAAGACAGACGAGAAAGGAAGTAATAAGAACCGCAAATCAAAAGTACATCAAGGAGAAGATCTAAACCAATTAGAAATATTTTCACCAGAATATTTGGCGAAGAATATACTAAGTGTGCAGAATATACAGAACATTTTCGATTATGTGAATAACAACTACACCAAATTTATAAGTGATTTTACAACTAATAAAAGCACAGTGTTTACAAATTTTGATTTGAAAGAAAATTTAGATAGACAAAGCATTGAAAAAAACAACACCATATATAATTTCATCCATTCGGCTACAATGTTTCAGCACAGTGGAACATTAAAGGATTTGAACAGTAACTACTTTTTTAATAAAATTCAAACGGAGTTATTCAATAATTACAGCAACCATCACAATGCAAACTTCAGATGTGTCCAAAGTATGCACGATTCAGGTGTGAATAATATCGAACATGTGCTAACTTTACCTCATGAACACCAGAATGTGTCAAATCTGAAAGTTGGCATGAACGACAAAGATCCACCTTTTAATTACACAGACACCAATAACAACTTAAACTCTGATGATCACATATCCTCTAAAAAGAAGAATTATTATTCCATAAAAGACATTCAATCAACGGAACCATCAGAAGTTCTTCACATCACGAGTAGCATCAGTGAGGGTGTAAAATTTACCAGTATCAAAGAAGGATCTGAAATTCAAATGACACCCAAATCAGTGAATTTTGCTGAAAAAAAATGCTACATTAATGAGAATTGCATTGGATTAGAAAATAATACTAAAGAAAAGAAAGTTAGTATCCATGAAGGAGGTCATGGATTAAGAAATGAAGAAGCGGGTAGCTTAAACAATGACAATGAGAAACACAAATATAAAGCACAAAAATCTATGAAACAAAAAGAGTGCCGTATGGTTAATGCCATTCATGTGTCCCAGAATATGAAATATATAGACGAGTTCTCAAAATTGATAGAAAATGCAGATTTCAAAAAATTGTATGAATATTTAACAGAAAAAGATAACAAAAATGAGGGAAATTACTTCAAAACGGGAGAAGATTTATATAATACAACTTTTGAAGAATTGGAATCAAGGATCAATACAGAAATAAAAAAAATAAATGATTACGTAATGGTTGATATATACCCAGCTGGGGAGAGCAGAGCAAAACGAGGTAGTAGTAAGATGAGTGGGAAAAAGAATAAGGGCATGAATTCAGAAAATGAAATTTGCTCCAAGAATAAAATCAACTCTAGTGTCGGTAATAAAATCAATGCTACTGTAGATAGTGCTAATATGTCACAACGAGGTATTATCAGTACGCAACAAATTGGTGACGACAGCAGTGGGCAGTTAACAGATGTCAATCACTCGAAAGATGCCAATCACTCGAAAGATGCCAATCACTCGAAAGATGCCAATCAATCGAATGATGCCAATCAATCGAATGATTTCAATCATACGCATATTTCCTACTTGGAAAAAAAACGAACCACCAATTTGTTCTTTAAAAAAATAATAGACATCATTAGGTACATGTTTCAGAAAAAAGAACCCCCCAAAGAACCTATAGAAATTAACATATGTGACTTGATCGATAATGAACTTCTTTACAATAAAAAGCTATTAGAAAAAAATTTAGATTCTTATAACATCCGAAATTTTCAAATTAATAATAAAAAAGTTTATCTCCTCAACGAATCCGAATATATTCATCTCAAGGAGTTAATCAGTTACAAAAACAAAATGATATCCTTTTTGAATTGCGAATATAGGAAGTTCAAGTTATCACTATCGTAAAAAATCATGTTATAACCACCATGTGCGCTTTTCTTTTCTTTTCTTTTTTTTTTTTTTTTTTTTTTCACAATTTTGAATTTTCTCTTAACACAACCGTATATTTAATTTATACAACATTCTAAATTTAAAAATTTCTTTCTTCTTCATCATATTTCATCACAAATTATTCGTAAAAAAAATATATATTTTGGGGGGTCAGAATGGAAGAGTGGCACACAATTGTCATATAAAATTTTTAAAATATCCTTTTTCAAAAAAAAAAAAAAAAAAATAATTTTTTTACATTTTTATGGCAAATTTACACCTCTTCCCTTAATACTCTCTTCCATGTGAATATTTTCCTTGAGGGGATTTGTTTCACCATGTATATTGTTCTCACACACGATATTCTGGACATTTGCACACACCCCTTTAGGTAACCGATTCGGTTCCTCATGTGTAGTTGAAATTATCCTGGACATTTCGCCCTCATTATTATCATCATCATCATTCTGCTCCCGATTGGGGAGGCCCCTACGATCGTTTATACTAAGCATCGGGTTCGTCAAATTGGAAAAATCTTGATAAAGGTAATCACATTTTTCATTAACATAATCACGTTTATCATTAACATAATCACGTTTATCATTAACATAATCACGTCCATCATTAACATAATCACGTCCATCATTAACATAATCACGTCCATCATTAACATAATCACGTCCATCATTAACATAATCACGTCCATCATTAACATAATCACGTCCATCATTAACATAATCACGTCCATCATTAACATAATCACGTCCATCATTAACATAATCACGTCCATCATTAACATAATCACGTCCATCATTAACATAATCACGTTTATCATCAAAGTTATCATCAAAATTGCTGTAAAAATATATATTATTTAAAGTTAAAGAATTCGTATCACTTCTCTTTTTGCTGCCAATCCTATTATGGTCATTATTTGCATTGCAGGCGTTGCTACTCATATCGTTATCTTTCCGTCTTGAGTCTTTTTTGATTTCCCTTTTCTGAATATTCTCCTTTATCTCTTTGTGTAAATCATTGTATCTGCCATTTGATTTTTTATTATTTTTCAAAGCGGATGAAAACATTTTTTTGTTTTCAAATTTGATGTCATTATTTTCAGTAAATACTTGTTTATAAAAGGAGAAAAATTGTTTCTTGTAAATTGTATCAAAAAGGGTTGATTTTTTTTTTTTTTTTTTTTTATAATTGGATTCTAAAACTTTCTGAAAAAAATTATTACTTTTCATTGTTATCCTCTCATTATGGTAGTATGTGTTTCTATTCTTCTTCTTCCATTTTTTCTTCACAATTCTATCCACACCATTCACCACATTACTATCTACAGCAATATCTACAACACTGTCCATATTGCTACAGCACTCACCTGTGTTCCTCCTTTTGTTCATGTTTTTACTATTTTCATCATCTATCATATCTAATTCTGTTTTCAAGTGACACAGAACAGAAACACATATATCCCCCTCTTCTTCTCTTTCTCTTTTTCCACTCACCTCTTGATTCATTAAGTCGAAGTTTAACTTGAATCGCTTCTTATTTTTGTTGTATCGTTTGTAGTACTGCAGGGAGAGAAAAAAAAAAAAAAAAAAGAAGCATTATTTAAGGAGTAGATTAAAAAAAAAAAAAAAAAAAAAAAATCTTCTACATTGGAGCGATACACGGATAAGAACCACATCAACAAGCTAATCCCTCTAAATATATACATGAACAATATTTATTTTGTTCATGCAAATCACTTACTTTAAGCCTTCTACTAATACAAGATCGATTATTTTTTTCTTCTTGTATTTTATTATTAAGGTACATAATCTGCGAGATATTTAAATAAAATAAAATAAAATAACAACTTTAGTGCATATATGATGTATAACAAAACATATAGTCATTCTATTAGGCAATATGTTTTACATGTTTATGTGCATATTAATATATGGTAGCTAGTACTGTATTGGTAAAATTGGTAACTTACACTTCTGTTTAGTTCTTCTAATTCTTTGATTAATTTTCTGTTATTGTCCACCTGCTGCAAATAAAATCGCGGTATGATAAAAAAAAAAAAAAAAAAAAAAAAAAAAAAAAGCAATATGAAGTGTTAATAATTTATCCATGAGTGTATTCCTGGCCATAAGTATATTTCTGTGCATTTTTGTATATTTCATGAAATTTTCCACATAAATGTGGTGCATATATATATAGTATTGCATCTCCTCGATTGAGGGAGAAAGACTAGGAAAACCTAACCTTTTGATACAAAATGTTGATTGTATCCAGTTGCTGAGATAATCTCTCTATTTGATCCTCCCGAAGTTTTAGAATTCCTTCGAAAATGAGCAAAGTAGTAGCAAATATGAATAGGATTTCACATTATGAATGCACTTTTTAATCCTCGTTTCACATAAGAGTGTGATGAAAAGGATTGTTTTTTCAGTTTTACTTGTGTTGTTGGACTCAATTTCATTTTCCGTTGTTATTCTCTAAGAAAGGAGGTGATGGTGGTGGTGCATATGTAGGTGCATAAATATGTATAGACATGTAATTCCACATATGTGGAGGCATATTAAAAGCATTTGTTCCACATGTTGTAGCATGTTGACATATGTTACATATGAACAGGAGTATACAAATCTCACATAAATATGGTTTCCTTGCTACTTTGTGTAAACACAGTGCAGTAACTCCTCAAGGGGAGATGATAATGATGAAGATGATGACAGTACCATTTTATCCAATTCATCCTGAAGATTTTGTATTTTGTTATTCTTTAACTTTATCTGCTCTGTAATTTTAAAATGAGGAAAAACAATTGTATCGCCGTGAAGGATAGCATATTATATTTACACATTTTTTTTTTTTTTTCATGCTATTTTTAAGTCTCATACGGGTGTACTATTCATTTGAATGCTCCTATTTTTGCTCCTATTTTTGTTCCCATTTCTGTACCTACCTGTATATATCTTTTTTAGCTCCTCTACATGTTCCGCGTAAAAGGTACTCTGAGGGAAAAGGAAAATGTGTTCATGATGTGATAATATAGTTAACATTTTATTCTATTTTGCATAATTCATAAGTATTTGCAATTTATAACTTTTCCATTTCATATTTTTTTTTTTAAGACCAAACGAACCTTATCTTCTAAGATTATGTTTTCCCTCTTCAAGTGGGATAAGTGCTTCCGTTCCCTCTGCCTCAGATTAACAATTTTGTTAATTTTGTTATTGTAGTGCTGAAATTCGAAATTGTGTATCAATCAAAGAAAGGTTTAGAGAAAAATACATATTTTTTCTTCCTCCTCCACCATAAAAGGGGAGTATAACATTTTAAAAAAAAAAAAAAAGAAAAAGAAAAAGAAAAAAACTATCACACATGTATGAAGACATGTCTGAATTGGGAACAGATAAACTTCATTATATACTAGCCTCATTTTTTTTTTTTTTTTTTTTTCTTCTAAGGTTCTTACATTTTTTATAAGGTTTATAGTTTTCCTGATTATGTAAAAGCTCTGTTTATATTTTTGCAATTCATTATGACAATCCTGCATTATCGAAAACAGGTTGGAAAAAAGGGGAATGAGTGTATTCTACCAATTAATAAATGATCACGCTTGTGTATTCATAAGTGCATGCATTTGCATATACATTTATATATACATAACACAATGATATAGAAAACAGAGATCGGAGGTGTATTTTTTTTTAATATATCCAATGGGTAAGTTGATGGATGCTATATGTCCCTTTACTGGTAAGTACAAATATAAAGTAACAAAAGAGAATGGCTCTTCATAAAAAAAATAAAATGTATTAACAACACATGTGTATGTAGAATTCATTTGTGTATCAAAATGCAAACAAAAGAGAACAGTACTATGTAAAATATATTACATTATTGTCTGCTGCATTTTTTCTTATTCCCCGTTGCTTCTCATTATCTAATCGGAAAAAAATAAAAAAAAAAAAGGAACGAATTAATGAATACTCATATATATAATGGATGTTCATAAAGAACAATATATACAGATCAGCTTGTGTAGTTACACACATGCCGTATCTAAAACTTAAATATTCACTATTTTTTTATTTTCTACAAGGTGAGGGATTCTCCTCAGGATATCTCTATTCATTCTGAGTTATGCAAAGGTATGTGTATGCATAGAAGACTTATGTTTTTTTTTTCGTTTTTTTTCTCCTATCTACATACGATGTCGCGTTGATCATTCACTCTAATGATGCAATGATATTTTTATATATAGTTACACATGTAGTTGCACGTATAGGTACACGTATGGGTGCACATATAATTACACATATAATCACACATATTGTTTTTTTTTATTTCCCTTTCCCATCATTCCTTTTACAATTTATCAAAAATATAAAATCTCACATTCACATACTTTTAGATTCATTGTGAATAGCTACAACTTTCTCTTTATCTTCATTCATGAGCTCTAGGTAAGTATACTGTAAAAGTTTTAGTTTAGTTGTAAAACATTAGAACACAAAGATTTTACCCAGTTCTTCAAAAATACAAAACAAAAAAAAAATTTGTTATTTTTTCTTATTGAGCCAATAGATACATTTTAAATTGTAAAAAGTAAATGTTGCCAAGTTGTTTCACCACATGATGTACCTATTCTATTTACATCAAAAAAAAAAAAAAAAAAAAAAAAAAAAAAAAAAAAAAAAAAAAAAAAAAAAAAAAAAAAAAAAAAAAAAAAAAAAAAAAAAAAAAAAAAAAATAAAAAATTCCTCGACTGATTGATTAATTGAATTACTGCGCAACTACATAACTTCTTAGCTGCTTAGTTGTTTTTTTTACGTACATATAAGCACTAGTATGCAAGTGCAACAAGAAATAAGATGGAATAAATATGAGAAGTCATGTTTGTAAATTTTTAATCATGGCTTAGAAGAAATGTGTTAACTGGTATGCTCTCCTTAACAAACAACTAAATGGAAGGAAAAAAAAAAAAAAAAAAAAAAAAAAAAAAAAATCGCATAAAATGAAGAACGAGAGACGCAAATAAGACCACACCTCATACTTCGTATTCCCAATGTTATATCACCCACACATACACACTTTTTTAACATGGGAGATGTGGCATGAAAAAATAATGTATGTTTGTGCACATGCTTGCACATGTAAAATTTATAGATTTTGTAGAATAACAGAAATTTTACAGAAAAAGCTTTTCCAAATTTGTAAGGTTTTAAGAATGTGCATTTATAATTTTTTCAGTGTATCTGTCATAAATATGCGACAAAATATGAACTTTTTTTTTTTTTTCTTTTTTTACGTGTTCATTAAATTTTATCTATAAACAAAGGCAAAATACTGCCTTCTCATGACAGAAACTTTTTTTTTTTTTTCATGTAAAGGTGTAAAAATGAATTAATATCTGGAACGTCAAATAGAGAAAAAAAAAAAAAAAAAAAAAAAAACTTGCAAATTGCACATTTTTTAAATTTAGCAAAAGATTGTCAAAGGAGTAAAAACGTATAAAATGGGCCAAGGAATGGAGAAAATATAACCCATAATAAACCACACAAAAAATACGTATATACATAATTAGACACACTTGCCCCCACATGTGCGCATAATCTTACTACTCTTCTCAGGGTGAGGGGAACCCCTCCCTCCACTTTCTAGACGAATGAAGGAGTTCTCACTTATTGGTTGGTTCGTAGAGTGGAATTTCATTGTAAAGAAAAGGATCTTGTAAACTATGCGGCATATCTATGACATTTTTGTATTTTTTATTTTTCTTATATATAAATGTTGGATAGTATAAATAAATTTTGTCCTTAAATTTATTGAACGCCCTTCCCTTTGCATCAGATATTTTAATAACTTTATTTTTATATCCACCAATAGGTCCCTTAATAAATAACAAATTTTGCAAGCTGTTAATTCTAAACAATTTGTTATTACTACATTTAACGAGATTTTTTTCACCAATATGTGTATTCATTTTTTTATTTCTGAAAACAATGTTTATTGTTTTTCCCATAGAGACACTACCTAGACTTCTGTGAGCTTTACTTTCCGTTCCATGGGAAGCATTTTTTCCACTAAAATTCCATTTTTTCATAGCACCACAAAATCCTTTATTTTTTATGCTTGAACTGATAAATAAATTTTGACCAGGGGAAAAATGTCTAGGTGAAAATTTATGTTGAACAGGTAAAAAACAATCACTAGTACACTTAAATTCTTTTATTTTATGTATAAATCCTAACTTTCTTTTTATATAATTCCCAATATTATTTTTACTCTGTTTTATCACATTCATATTACCTATACCTATTTCTAAAGCTTCATATCCATTCTTTGTTATATTCTTTTGATTTAAAACATAACAATTATTTATCTTAACTACTGTTACAGCATGTTTTACACCCCACACATCCCATATACTCATACACCCAATTTTATATCCTAATAACCCTGTCCTCCTACTATTCCATATAGGATACACCTTTTCTATCTTGTCATCTTCTTTTTTTTCTTCATATTCTACTTCATCTTCTTTATATATTTTATAATTATATTTTTCGTTTAACACTTGTAATCTTCTGATCCATTTAGAAGCATAAAACGTTCTTCTCTCTCGTGTGAACAACCCCAAGTTTACAAAAATCCACTTTCCTCTTCTCAGTATTTTATGCATTATAGGGAAACTTGCCTATCTGCCTTTTCCCCTATGCCACTCCGCCTATTCTAATGCGGTCAACCTGCAAATCGACGCGATATTTTATTTTATTTTATTTTTTTCTCCCTTTATGCTTTGATTGAAAGGAAAAAGTGTAATTCCCATTTTATCACACATAACAGCTAAATGAAGCAACTTTTCACTTTCGACGCTTTTTCCGGTTCGCTCAATTTTTGGCGATTTTATTTTTTCATATTTATTTTGTCATATTTATTTTTTCATATTTACTTTGTCATATTTATTTTTTCATATTTATTTTGTCATATTTATATTGCCCTATGTATGTGCTGGGTTGTTATATAAATCCCAATGCCGGCACACTCCTAAGGTGAAGAAAAAAAAAAAAAAAAAAAAAAAAAAAAAAAAAAAAAAATGCCCATTTTCCTGCAAAAAAAAAACCTTTTTTTAATAACCTTTCAAAAAAAAAAAAATTTACTGTCGTCGCTTTTTCCGGTTTGCTAATTTTTTTGGATTTTTTTTTTTTTATTTTTTTTTTTTTTTTTTTTTTTTTTTATATTTTCTTTTTCATATTTTTTTTTTTATTTTTTTTTTTTTAATTTTTTATTGCCCTATTTTTGTGGTGGGTTGTTATAAAAAACCCAAAGCCGGCACACCCCAAAGGGGAAAAAAAAAAAAAAAAAAAAAAAAAAAAAAAAAAAAGAGATATGCCCATTTTCCTGCTAAAGAAGAACCTTTTTTTAATAGCATTCGAAAAAAAAAAAAATATCCTGTAATGCATCCTGTATATATACTTCACTCCTAGTACGCACATTTTTCTTTTTCCTACTTTTTATTTCTCCACACAATTGTACAGTAAGAGTATAACAGAAGGGGAAATCCTATAAAATTATACTTACATGGATAATGTAAGAAGAAACATTGTTCTTATAAAACGAGGGTTGTCAGCTGTATGCAGGGATAGAGAGCGAGAACCCAATGACCACTGCCAAATCGACAAAATGGAAGACACAAATTTTTTAATCACTGCCAAATTGACAAAATGGAGGATACAAAATTTTGAACCTCTCAACTCTCCTTTCATACCTTTAATTTCCCATCCACTTTGCACCTTTTTACTTTAAAAAGAGAGAAAAAAAAAAAAAAAAGAAAAAAAAAAAAGATCAATTATGAAAGAAATTCATTTAACAAAAATTTATGAGTGTCGTCCCAAAAAAAATATACTGGGGTGTGTATTGGTCCATTTCTAATTTTAAAATGATCATTGATGTATTCATTGAATGGTGATAATATATTTGGATTCCCTCATTCGTCAGACCTCCATTTGAACAAGCACATAGTTGAAGATACAATTTTCTGCCAAAATTGTGCGCATATGATGAATTACGCATGAATCTAAATATGCCCCTCATGCTTCTACAATCTGTGTGCATAACACCATTGCAAATGATTCCATAATATGAATGCATTTATATATATGACACCACCTCCATAGTGTTGTAAAAAAAGAAAACGAAAGAAAAAGGGAAAATGACGACGAGAGCAAAAACTAAAACGACGACAAAAACAAAATATTATAAAACTATATTTTAGACCCACGTGAGAAATACCAAATGGGCATCCCAAATGTAAAGGTGTGTTATTTTTTCCAAAATAATGAATTGTTTATTTCTTGAAATTGAAATTTATCATTTTTGAAAACCTCCGCTGCTGTTTTATTGAAAGGGTCATCTGCCGAGGGTTCCTGAAAAAAGAGCATTACAAAATGTTGCCGTGAAAAAAAAGAAAAAAAAAAAAAAAAAAAAAAACGCTTAAATCTATGTCTGCATAAAAGAAGAGAAAAAAAAAAAAAAAAAAAAAATGAAGCAGTTATATACATTTAATAGAAGCAGCAAACCCAATATCAGCATTTGTAAATTTATTATTGGATTCCATTCGAGTTTTAAAATGTTCAAACAGACATTTCCCCTTTCATCAATATTGGGATGGAATATCTAAAAATGAAAGAAAAAAAAAAAAAAAAAAAAAAAAATGTATGTCCACAAAGTTTGTTCTGTTTTCTTTTGTTTTGTGCATGTGTGTGATTTTTTTTTTTTTTTTTTCCTCCCACGCCCCTATGTATATTAATATTCTCCCTTATTTTCTAACACCTTGTCACGTGCTTTTCCTCTAAGTGACCTTGGTTAGACAAATAATTTTGGGTGGTGTGATGGGATACGTTTCCTTAAACTTGATAATAAATTCGATGGTCTTTCCCTTGAAATAACTTTCCTTCGGTGTTATTGATATTCCAATTTCTTTCAAACAGTTCTCATCAATTTGATGCAACGAGACACCTTCAATTTCGTCCAAGTCAAGGAGTTCTTTGGGGAAAAGAAAAATTAGCAGGAAATGCAAAGGTGTCATAACCATGAGTTGTTGTGAAGTTTATACAAAAATGTAGTAAAAATAAGAATTAGAAAATCGTACATAAGGAGGTTAAATTATGAGAGCATGGTTTTTTCTTTCTTTTTTTTTTTTTTTTTTTTTTTTCCAATCCTCCAAAATGTTATGAAGCGATTAAATTTTGGGAGGGAAGAATTTCCTTTTTTCTTTTATTTTACGCGTAAGCACTTATTATGTAAAACCTTGAACTATACACACAACATATGTGTGTTGTAAAATATCGACAAAACATGGAAGAAGCTAAAAAAAAATAAAAAAATCTTCCTCTCTAATTTAGCTACGCCATATGGAAGTTTTCAAAACAATTGTCTTTAATTTCATTTTTCTAAATGAGCTATATATGTACACATACCTTTTTGAAGCACTAACTCGAAAGGCTTTAATTTCTTCGCATTTTCATTTGTCATTTTACATTTTAAATTTATTCCGCGGGGAAAAACAAAAAAAAGAAAATCCACATAAAATGGGGAAAGTTTATCAATAACAAAAGTGAATAAAGAATTTCATGCTTTCCATTTTCTTGACAAAACGGAAAAGTGTTTTTTTTTTATTATTATTATTTTTTTTAAACTTTTTTTTTAAACCCTTTTTTACATCCTCTTTTAGCCCTTTTTTTTTTTTTTTTTTTTTTTTTTTCTTTTAATTAAAAAATAATTACACTATTTTTGCAGATAAAAAGAAGAAGACTTGGTCCACTGAGTGAATATCGTAGCTCCGAAAGAAGGTCATTTCCTTGCAACAAATTAAATGGAAGTGAAATAAATGGAAGCAGAATTATTTACTTCTCCGTTATGCCTAAAGGAGATCCAGAATGTGATCTGCTCACTGTGTTAAGATGTTGGTGCATTCAACTGGGCTTGACGGTGCACTTTTGCATTAATCAAGCCACATGTGTTTAACTTCATGTGTCTGTGACATATTATACATTAGGCCTATTTCATATATTGTGCTTAACCACATGCAACACATATATCTATAACATACACTCTCTTCATATGTAAGATAATGAAATGCACTGGTTTTGTGGGCATATAAAAAAAAAAAAAAAAAAGGGCCAAAATGTAACTCAAAAAGGGAAAGAACTGAAGAATTAAAGGAGCTCAAAAAGGAATTACTGTCACAATTGCCCATCTTCTGTGCGACCCCACTTTTCCACTTACATCCTGTTGTCCCAATCGCTAATATTTGTGTAGCATAAAATGATGCGATTTCCTTAGCCAGTAGCAGAACATGAAAAAGAGAAAAAGTTGCCTTATGCTGTGGAAAAATATACTGGATGGAGAAGTGAAGAGAAGAAATTATCGAAGAAATGTCATGACAACAGTTGGAGATTATAAAAAGAAAAACCGATTTGAAATATGGAAATATAGCAGTTGTGATACATACAAGGTAGATTTATCTTTTGATGAAAACTATAAAACTAGTAAAGATAAAGAATTTTTGCTCAGCAGAAGAATAAGCAAATATAAAAGCATAAAAAGTACTGATATAAAATATATTTTTTTATTTCTGCATTTTAATGAATCATGTAGTAATCATTTTATTTGCAAGACTAATCCAAGTAACCATATACCAATTCAAGTACTATCCAAACTGAACTACTTACTTTTAATAAAAAAAATATTATTAAATGATACTTCATTAAATAGGTACATAGAGTATATATATTTTAATTATGTATTGCCAAAAAGTGAAACAAACCTTACCAAATCGGATGCACCATGCAGGATTAACAAAAACAAGTTTGGTGATTCCCCCAAGGGAAGTAAATCACTAGATAAACAAGTTTCTCATCAGACTGAATATTTCTCCATATCTGATACATGGATTGATCAAGAGAAAAATGGAAAAAAGAAAAATATCTACGATGGAAATTCACACAAAGGGAAAGAAACCAGTGGGGTGAAATGGCCAAGGGAGAAAAGAATATACCAAGAGAAGAAGGGAAATTTCTGTTTAAGCAAAATAAGGGACATTTTCAAAAATGAAGAATACCAAATTGTAATACATAGTAATATAAATAACAGACTTATAAAACATATATATGTAGAAGAACTAGATAATCAAATAAAGATTCAACTGAATTACCTTTACATGTTTGATAATCAAATGATGGATAAAAAGATTCTCTTACAAATGTACACTTTTTGTGAATATTTCATAAATGAAATGGAAAACCAGACAAATGAATTTTTATTTTTCTTGGATAGATTATGCGAAAAGATGTTACACAAAATGAATTTCATAGATTCAATCTTTATTTTCTATATTCATATCAAATTTAATTACTATAATCATTTATTTTTATACATTTTAATTCAAAAAGTGGAATATTTTATGCACACTGTTTTAACAATCCTAAAGGAAAATAATGAAAAAGCTAAACAGTACATGAACAGAATAAAATATAACCAAAAATCACTTATTCTATTTTTTCACTCTTTAAGCAATTATTTTTTTTACCTCAACCAACCACAAAATGTATCTAGATATATGGACAAATTAATACATATAAAACGCCTAATTTATAGCCAATTAGGTATTACACAGGTTCTTCAAATTTTGGGAAAAAATTACGAATCATACACTCTTCTTGATTATACTTTAGCACTTTCTTCCTTCTACAAGTTAGGTATAAAAAATGACTTGATCAAAAAAATTTTACTAAATTTTGTAGATAAAAAAGTATTACTTTTAATCAACCATGATAGGAAAACTGATACTACAAATAAACTTAGTCATACAAAATCAACCATTAATCAGAAAAACATACAACAGTACACGTCACTTTTGAATATCTTTTCAAAATGGTTCATTTCTTTTGAATATACTGAAAAAGAATACAACAAAGTTATGCGAATTTTATTAATTCTTTTTGAAAATGCACTCTGGATTGTTTTGAAATTGTTTATAAGTAATAATAAGTACCATTATCCTTCGAACAACAGTGTAAAGGATTTCAACTATCTCCTCCTCAGTGGAAATTCTTCGACTGAGAGGGATGAATCTGATAGATCATTTCGTTCCAATAATAAAATTTCTATAAATGATACACTAAAGGGTTGCAAATATTTGTCGAACGAGAAGAATACTATGTCCATTAACACATTTACAACGGAACATGTGAATTATTTTACATTCATTAAGCTACTACAATTGAGGAATAGATGGAAAAAGGAAAAAAAATATGGATGGGAAGAAAATCCTTCATTAGATAAGACCAACATAGTTAATACTTTCACTGGATCCTATTGCACCAATAATTTTTACTTACATCAGATCGAAAGTGAAAAGAATAACAACTGTGAAGATGTTTACTGTGTCGAAAAAATTAGAGATAACATAAAGTTCATTGTAAACTGTCTAAATTCGACATACAAAATAGTTAATCATTTCATTGTAAATTACAGTATTAACGAATTGGGGAAAAATTTCAATAAAATTCTTATTTACAACTTTGTGAATAAAATGATTTATGAAAAAAAAAGCACCAAATATTCTTCCCCTTATTTGAATCATCTATATAGAAATATCATGAGTGAAAGCACATTGCTGAACTACACTCATGTCGGGGCAATAAACATAAACCGATTGTTTATGTGCAGTTACATAAATACTTTTGTTCTCTCTGATTTTGTGGATGTATATATAAATCGCTTGGTGAGCGAATTGGCTAGTGATGTGGTTACATCTGATTCTGTTCAGAATATGCATAGCGAGATGCAGTTCCATTCCCAACTGTTTGCAAACGCTTTGGGGGCCATCCAAAACTTGAATCTCCGAAGATATGACATTTTTGAGAACATTTCCTATTTCATCAAAAGAACCCATTTCCAAATAGATGTGGTTAATATAGGGAACATCATACACTCCTTTGCATCTATCAAAATGAGGGACGTAAAACTAATCGAGTTTCTGTTAAACCAATTTATTTGCTACACAAATGAGATGAATAAGGAAAATAACAAGGAGATAAGTGAACAGACGCTTAGTAATATCGCCATTTCTTTATTAAAACTTGATTTGCCGAATGAAAAATATAATGAAATTATTTTTAGGAATTATAAAAATGTGAAATCTGCACAAGCTCTTATAAATATTACCTTATACATTTGTTATTATAATTTTATAGACAAATTTGTGCAGGAAAAAAATTTTACTCACTTTTTTAATCAAATAAACATAACAAATATGAACAATTTTACTGTGCAAAACCAGACGCAATTACGATTAATTGCTTTTTTAACACTTCATGTTTATCATTATACTTTTGGATATAAGCATAAATGTTATGATGGCCAGAGATATATACCTTTGGATACATTTATTACACATTTGAATGAACTTCAAAAGATCACGTTAGACATACAAAGGGGTGGTAGTAACCTTTCCAATGTTTCTTTTTCCCAAGGACATGTACAAAAAATGCATAATTTTGTGACCATTTTAAACAAAAATGAAAAAATGAAGAAAAAAAAAAAGGTTTTCGTCAAATTAAATAAATTCTTTTACAAATCAAAAACTGCTTCGTTTACAACATACACGAGAGATCTCAACAGTTTCTTCTACTACAAAGACGGTTTGAAAAGAAAAAAAAAAATATATATTACCCCTTGCCACTATTCATATTGTAAGAAGCGTACCAATAAGAAAAGCAGAAAAAGCGTTGAAACGAAGAAAATTTATAACTTTCCATACTTGAGAAATGCAAAAAGAAACTTGACAAGTCCTTATTTATATCCCACAGATAGAGATAAATTTCTTATAAACATGTTCGAAATTTTTAGTTATAAACATATGAATAATAATATAACAAAAAACGCGAAACCCCTATTGAATGAGAGACATTATTTGAATCTCAATTTTGTCGCATCCTTTCCCATATTAGAAAACCATATTAAAACAACTTCCATGTTGCATAATGAGATATACGATATCATTGCCTCCTTGAACTTTGAAAAACAAATGACAAAGGAGTTGTCACACTACCCATATTATGTGGACATAGTTCTCACCTAGCATTCTGCTGGATGACTAAACAGAAACATTTCTACTTCTGTTGTATTGTCTTTTTTTGATCCAATCTGTAGAAGCACCTTACATTGTTGGGTGTTTTTTTTTTTTTTTTTTTTTTTTTTTTTTTTGCTATACAAAATTTTCCGTTTTATCGTTCTAAAACTTCCAACTATGCACAATTTGTAAAATAGTTTACAGTCCTATGTACCAAATTGCACAGCAGTTTAATTCTTCACTTCTTCCATCATGCACACAAATACACATACATAAAACATCGTATATGTTTGTGTGGATGGCAGTGGATTCAATATGATTCCTTCTTTGTAAATGGATATTAAGTTTTTACATGTAGGTGTCTAGTTATTTTACATTTAAAAAACAAACACAGGACACGTCCAAGTGGCGTATTCCAGAATTTTTTAACAAAAAAAAAGTTATGTGATCAAGTAGTGACGTGATATCCCTTTGGATTCGCTATCCTAGCACGAGTAGTGTGCACACATCAGCACATGCACGCTACAGCAACGGGTTTGGAGGTTGCAAGGGGTTCATTTTACCATTTTCCCAGGAAAGTTATCAGATTTGCTAAACATAGCATCCGATTGTGCCTTCTGGTCTTCGATATGTTTTTTGCTTAATGAAGTATTAGCAATGTTATTGGGAAAGACGTTAAAGGTAATTAAGTTGGCTGATTTATTTTGATATTCTATCATTAAGTACTGATGGAGTTGTCGCAAGTTTTCGCTTTCACACCACAACTGACGCAGCATTATTAAATTGATCATGTCCTTTTCTAATCTGCTGTATGCATAAAAGTGGAATTGATCATCAGGATTGTTACTGCATATATGACACATAACCAGATCTTTTTTCAAATCGCTTGTTTCATTATTTGTTTGTATATCCACATTCTTTTTAAATAATAAAAGTAGTTTATTCAATGTAGTTTTTCTCTTTTCATATATTAATTGAGCATACTTATCTAATTTTTCTAAACTCATATTATTCACATCTTCGTTAATATATTTTTTAATCACTTTTTCTTTATCTGCTGTATATTTTGATAACAAAATATTATTTAATATGTCTTGTGTATCTTCATAAAGGTTACTTATATTTAGTGTGTTTAAACAATTATCCAACATGTTATCTGCATTTTTTTGAAACATATTCGCATATTCTGCATTTAAGAAGCTATTTTGTTCTGTATTATTTTTGTTACACATATTACCTGTTTGTGAATTCTCATTTTTTTTACATTCTACAATGTTTACAATTTTATTGGGATCAATTTCTGCACTCCTAATCGTGTTAAAATGGTTAAAATTGTTTTGACTAAAGCCATAGTGAGGGTTCGACAATTCATTAGAATTTTTTTCATAATTATTACTATCTTTTAGTTCGCACATATCGACATGCACATCATCCAATATCTTGTCGTCCTTCACATCACTTATATTATCAAGTGAGAGAACACTGGGTACCAAATTCATTACATTCATTGATACATTATCAAACTGAATGCTTCTTGAATCTGAATTCATATTTGTTATATTTATTGACGTATCTAAATTAGATTTCTCCATGTTTATTGTATTTTCTGTCTCACTATTAATAAAAAGACTTGTACCTTTTGTACCTCTTTCCTTTATCTCAACAGTGGAACTGCTTCTACCAAGTTCATTATTATCATAATTTATTGTATTGCTTATTCCAACACTCGTACTATTTAAATATTGATTGTTTTTATTTTTACCTTTAATGTTAAATATATTTTTAGAATTTTGTCCACTTTGGGGAAAAAACTTACTTGCGTTGTCTGATGTGTTCGAAATAGCATCATAAAATATGTTATCACTTTCTCTGTTTTTGTCTCTTTCATTTACTTGTCGGACGTGAAGGCTGGAAAACTTGTCGTTTCTCCTGCCACAATTGGCTGTATTAGCAGAATTGTCCATATTAGCAGAATTGGCCATATTTGCAGAATTGACGAGGTTAGCGAAAGGAGGAGAGGCCTTGAAAAATGACTTATCCTTAAACTTCTCACGATCGTTTGAAAAATTCGTGAGCTTGCTTCCAGCACTGTGTCTGGAAATCTGCACGTCAAACCTCTTTGTTTTGCTAGAGATGGCATCACAACTACTTCTATTCTTCACTATACCCTGTTTTAGATTTTTTCTGTTTCTTAGAAACACGTTTTTGTTATTGTTATTAAGGCTACAATTCATTTCATCGAGGGAAGAAAAATCCGATGTATCTGAAAAGGTGTAACCATGTTGAATATAATTTTGCTTCTTAGAAATGCTATCATAATTTGTATTATTACTTTTAAAATTTAGAAGATTTTTTTTTTTTTTTTTTTTCTTTTGTGTTATTCTGTCTATATCATTCACTGAGTTGTATTTTATCTGATTAGATTTTGTATTTTCTTTACTTTTCATGGCATTTTTGCCGTTCCTAATTGGATTCATACTTCCATTAGCATTAATATTAGAGGTAATGGTACCTCCCTTCTCCTTTAATTCATTTGATTTGATATTCGTTTTGTTACTTGGTATGATTGTATTTGACATCATCGTAACAATTTCTACACTGGAGGAGTTGTTTAATTCTCCACTTTTGGAATCATGAATACTTATTTTTTCGTTATTATTATCTTCCTCTTCATTAGAATTCATTTTATGTTTAAAATTTTTAACTCGAGAGGAGTATCTTAATGTATTTAAAGTTTGTTCACAGGAACTAATAGTGGGAGAAACGTTTGCTATCATGATACTTTTGGATTTCCCAACGAATATATCTCTTAACACTTTTGTGAGCTCAGAGTCTCTAAAAGGAATGTGATTTTTATCAGAATCCATAGCTCTTATACATTCTTTTAATGCCAGAAGAGATCTATTTATATTTGCACCATCCGTTTGAGTTTGTTTATTTTGAGCAACGGTATCTGCTCCTCTTTCACTTCCAGCTAAATCTATAAATGCTATTTTTCCTATAGAAATATTTTTCTGTATATCTTTCAAATCGATATTTAAAATTGCATGTGATCTAGATGATTCATCATTTTGAGAATTCACTCCAATTTTTCTTAACATAACACCATCAATCATTCTTGAAATTAATTCTTCTTTAGATAAAACTCTTAAAATTTTTAAATCCTTTACAACTACTTCCTTTTTTCCATTTTCCAGAGCAGCAACCATTTTTCTTTTCTGCAATAAATCATACAATTTCCCACAATATATTTCATAAAATGATATATATATTCCCCTAGTATTGTCATTATGGTATAATGTTAAAAAATTAAATATATCTTCTGCTGCGTATTGAAATATTCCTGGTGTTTCACTTTGACCATATGGTTGTGAGCCTAACATAGTATATGTTTTTCCACTACCAGTTTGGCCATAAGCAAAACATGAACACACACAATTATTTTCAAAAATGTCTATAATTAACGGTTTTATTGTATTTACATATACTGTAAAATTGTCTACTGTTTCATCAAATACTTTATCTACAGTAAATTCATGTCTTTCCACATATTTAGTCATGTCTACTTTATATCTAGGCTCGTCTATATAAATTGTGCAATTGTCCTTAACTGTTATAATATCATTGTCTTTTCTTTTTTTTTCTGATTCACTTATTGGTCTTTTTCTAACAACAACTTTTATTTTCCCATTCATGCTTTTTCCTCTACTTTTGGATTTCTGACCCAGATTTAGGCTCTTCTGAGGATATATCTCGCTCTGCCAAAAATGAAGAAATGTCATATAAGTATGAATTTACTCGTGTCGATACAAAGGTAAGAAGTTGTACGCACACATGTGTTTACACAAAACTAAGTCAAAAAAAAGAAAAAGAAAGCTACGGTTATATTTTCTCTTTCCATTAGTCTATACATATTATGTCTAAAATCAGAACTCCCTCTAAATGATTCCTAAAGACAGGGAGTTCTCATTTTTGTCTCTCGCATTACCTTATTTTTAATCATGGATTGCCTCTTCTGCTGCAAAGTTATTTTATGCATGTTATTCAAATTTTCCAAGAAATGTAATGAATTGGTGTTACGTTACGATGGATCATCAAAAGTTAACTAGAAAAAATGAAGAAAAGGAATGACGAAAAAATGAAGAAAAAGAATGACGAAAAAATGAAGAAAAAGAATGACGAAAAAATGAAGAGAAAAAAATTCTTGAGCATACTTATTATACACTTGACGTGCTCCAAATGGTGTCAAACGAATTAGTAAAACTCCTGTCATTTGAATAATTACAATAAAGGAGTTTTTATTGCGTGCTCGTGTACGTGATAATGGTAGTGTTGCAAAGAAAAAATTCTCGAAATACTCAAAGATAAGCACGGTCCGTGTATAGGATACACACTGGCAATTGGTATGAAACCTTATAAGTTAAATGTAGGGAAACGATTCTAAGCGTTTCATAAAAAAAAAAAAAACAAAAATATAATATAAAATAAATAAAGGATGAAGAGAAGGAAGAATAATAAACGAGCAAGCAATGGGGGTGCAGACGAATAAAAGGTTCACACGTAAACTCTTGGTAAAATGTGGTATTCTATAATCCCAATCAAATTGTTAATTTCCTCTCTTGGATGGGGGCGGAGGCGGCGAAGCATTTGTGTGTGTAATTTCTTCGTGTTACAATTTTTTGCACAGTTTTTTTTTTTTTTTTTTTTTTTTTTTTTTTTTTTTGCATGTACATATAAATGTGGAAATACTACCAAACACATGTACATAAGTATGACACATTCATCTGGTCATAAAACTTACTATTTGACCTATTTTTACAAAATGATACATTTTAAAACCACTACAAATTTCTCATGAATAATCATTTCTTATATTATAAAAATTATTACGTGGATTTTCTGACATGTAATTTCTCAAATATTCTTAGGGAGAGTTTATGTATGTGGTAGGGGTAAAAGTAACTTCAAAACATGATAAAATAGGGATATGTTCGCATATACATGTCAAAAGAATGTGGTGGCTATGGTAATTAACATCTGCGTTATTTGAATAATTGATAAAACTCACGTGGTGGCACAACTTTTCACCTTCACATATTCACACACTGATATATACGTACGTGTGGGAGGTTACTACGTGTGAGTGTCTACCACATGTGACTACCACATGTGAGTGACTGCTATGTGTGCATACATAAGTATGACTACGTATTCATATATGCATTCACACAGAGTATGCAAAATGGTGAACTTCCCCCACCAACACACACATACACACACTCAAATCCTATACAGATAAGCTGAATTGGTGCAAAGGATACGCGTCCAGCGTGTGTCAGTTGGACATAACTTGCTCACTTTGGCTTTGTTCAAATAAGAATTCAATTCAATTTAATATATTATCACTTAATATACACAAGTTAAATAAATCCAATATGATGGTTCCTCCTTCTTCCCTTCATATAAATCATTTTCAGAAATGCACAACTGTTAAAAATGTACATTCGTAAATGTGACCTTTATTACACGAATGGGGGTGAATGGGAAATTTTTTATTTCTTTTGGGAAGCGCACTGGGGAAATAATTAAAAAAAAAAAAGGTGTAAAAAAATAAAGAGTAAAAATACAGAAAGAGTAAAAATACAGAAAGAGTAAAAGTACAGAAAGAGTAAAAATACATAAAGAGTAAAAATACAGAAAGAGTAAAAGTACAGAAAGAATAAAAGTACAGAAAGAATAAAAGTACAGAAAGGAAAAAATTTAAAAAAAAATGAAACTCAACAAAAAGAAAAGTAACAGGAAGAGAACGGGAAAAAAAAAATGAGATGGAAATGAAAATAAAAAAAATTATACACTTTTTTTGGAAGCGAAGGACGAAAGGCTTCAGTACCCGAAGTTAGTAAACTGAGTAAACTCGCAAAAAGAAAAAACGAAAAAGAAAAAATGAAAAAGGAAAAGGTAAAAAAAAAAAAAAAAAAAAAAAAAAAGGATTTTAATTTTGCGGAGCACCTTGTATTTATATTTTATTATTTTATCTTCTTTTTTTTTTTTCTTTTCCATTTAGAAATAAAACTTGTTACGTGTTTTTTACTCTTTACTCTTTATTCATTTTAATTGTTATTCTTTTTTTTCTTTTATTTTAAAAAATAATATGGACTTATTTAACTTGTTCACATAGACAAAGGGAAAAAAAAACTCAAGTATTATAATCTTTTTTTCAAATTGTATTCATTTTTTTTTTCCCCCTTCTTTTAAAAATATGAACTCTTTACACATTATGGTGAGATATTTTTTTATTATGCTTTTTGCTAATTGGACAAAAACAACATAAGCTCTTAACGATATATAACTCGATACAGGTATTCACATGTGTTTAAAAGTGTGTACAGGATTTCATGAAAATTGGTGATACGCACGTGTGTCCTCAACAACTTGTTGAAAGGGAGAAAGCTGTGTCTCATGTTATAAGTGTACATGTTCACAATTCTACAATTTTATATGTGCAAGTTCACAATTCTACAATTTTATATGTGTACATGTTCACAATTCTACAATTTTATATGTGCAAGTTCACAATTCTACAATTTTATATGTGTACATGTTCACAGTTCCATAATTATATGTACATGCTCATGCTTGAACATTTACACCCCAGAGAAATCGTCCAACTTGCCCTCTTCCACAGTTTCCCCGATACTCCATTAATATTCTGACTTGTCCTTTTTTTACACACCGCGTGAGCGTTTTTTCAATTTTTAAAAGAGGAAGATTTATGAAATTGCAGGTGAGGTGTGGAAAAATGGCACAGTGAAAAAGTACCAACTTGGGTACTCGCCAAAGCTTGAAAATTAAAAAAAAAAGTTCCACTCCTACGTCCACTCCTACATCCACTCCAACTTCCACTCCCATTTCCATTCCTATATTTTTTTTTTTTTTTTTTTTCCACCCAGCTGTGTTTGTCCCGTGTATGTACATATTATTTACGCATACCCCATCCAAACTCGCACACAAAAATATATACACACATGTGCACACCCAATTTAACTGTTTTTTAAAATAACATGGACCTGTACCCATTTCACCAAAAAATAAACACGCATAAGGAGGAAAGCTATGCTAATTGCATTATTCCCATGAATTTAAGGGAGCACTATAAAAATTATGAACACAAAAGTAGCCATAAAGAAATAAAACAAGTTGTGCGAAAAAATGCAAAAAGAGTACGTGATGTGGTATTGACAAGTTGGTTAATCGAACGAATGCATCCATTTGATAGTGACAAACGGGAAGATATAAATACATGTAAGAGCAATGGTGGAATGTGCGATATTTTATATGTAGATTTTGTTTACACTCAATTGATAAGACACACGTATGTGTTACTGAGTTTTCTAAAAGTGAATAAAAGGAAAAACAAAACCTTTAATTTTAACAAAATATATAAATATAAATATAATTATAAGTCATGTGAACAGAGAGAAGTAATGGAATATATGGGAAATTATGGCATCCATATCAATGCTGATGCTTTGGGTTGTTTTCAATTTTTTACATATTATATGGGGGGGAAAAAAAATAATAAAAAAATGAAAACAGATAAATGTGAAAATAAATCCAATTTTAACATGTGCATATATATACCAACAAAAAAAGAAATAGATATTTTATTTATTATTCACAAATTGTATAAATATTTTTATTTTAATTTATATGTTCCAATAACAACGGAGGAAGAAAATAAATTAATATTTTTCCCATTCGACTTGACAAATAATTTATTAATCAAAGACCACTTTGGTATATTCATTCCATACTTATATGTGCACTACAATTCAAAAGGAGAGATAAATAAGGACAAAAACTTACACCTAAATTCTTCCAATTTAGTTACTGATAACATATACAATTTTACTTTTAACGATCATGATAATATATTTTTTATTCCTCTCATTGCATATAACAAATATGGTGCTCGAATTGGCAGTGGGAAAGGTTACTACGATAGAGCACTTAAACCAGGTGATAATAAAAAAAATAACATAAAAATTTCCATATCCTTCGATATTTTTTTATATGACATTGATTTTTTAGAGAACACGGACATCATTTTGGACTATGTAATAAATGAGAAGGGTATCTATTACTTCCAGTTCTGACTATCCCATTTTTTTTTTTTTTTTATTTTTATTTTTTTTTTTTATAATCGCTTTTTTTTCCTCCCCTTGTACATGTTCGTGGTCTTTTGTTTGTTCGACATCCTTTATGTCTCTATGGAGAGAGAAGAAGAAAAAAAAGGGTGAAAATGTATAAACAAACAAAATGTGAAAGAAGTTGCAAGGACAACATGCGGAAAAAGCATCACTATGAGCGATGCACAAAGTAAACATTTTTATATTCCAGTGTGTGTACTATATGAAGACAATTTTATACCCCTCTTCAAACACTTCGCATTTTAAATCGTTATCTTCAGAATGGAAATCCAGCATATCTGCATGTCCAAATAAAAAAAAAAAAAAAAAAAAAAAAATCAAAGAAGGATATGCAACTGAACGAAGCACATATTGAACCCTTTCGTTATGAAATCCTATTTGAGACATACATTTTATTAAAAATAAAAAAAAAAAAAAAAAAAAAAAATGTGAAAAATATGAATGTTTAGCTTCATCTGAAAGTACCTGACTCACTGAAAGTGAATTTTTCTCCATTATTATTCTTCAAATGAGTAGGCAGGAAAAGGAAAAAAAAAAAAAAAAAAAAAAAATCATGTACACATGTGTGCATAAATTGGAATAATGTGCCTACAAATTCGTTATAGTGATTAAAATGTAAAGCAATAAAATATACAAATGTGAAAAAAATAAAAATAAAATATAGTAAAATAAAACAATTCGTTACCACTTTAATATGTGCAACCAACTCCTGTAAGATTCGCTCCTTGTTTTCTAAATCTTCCTCCAGTTTTTTCGCTTCTTCGATGAAAAATAAAAAAATGTGGAAAATTTTAGCAGCACATTCAGCAAAGCTATCTGTGTGTGTGTGTGTGTATGTTTGTGTGCTTATCTTAAAAAGAAAAGTGAAAACTTATTTTATTGAATAAGTTTTTTCAATTGTGTGGACGTGTGAGCATACCTTTGTTGTTCATATTCTGCTCTTCAAATGGTTCATCTTCATCTTTCTTCTTATGCTCGTTACTAAAATGGGAATAACGAAGTATAAAAAAAAAAAAAAAAAAATAAAGTATATACATATATATGCCACTGCTTACATAGGGCGTCCATTTTTACCTCATGCTTGGGATTGTTATAGAAGAATATTGGCATAAAGAAATAAGATGATAATATAAAAAAATAATAAACTTTTATATTACCCGCGTCGGTTGGCATAACTAATCAACAAGTTAAATATAGATATGTTCAAATTGAACGGATAAAATATGGAAACAATTGTCCACATTTTTTGCCTAGAATATTTGTGTTTCAATTTGTGAATATTTCTTAGTAAGGATTCAAAAAAAGCCAAATCGCAAAAGTTCGAACAATATATCGAATATGTCAAACTGAACAAATCTCGGTAAGTAAAATTTACCAATTCGGGGAATAAAATACAGTTTAATTTTTCTAAATAATCCTTTTTTTTCTTCAAAAATAAAAGTTTCGATATACTAATGTACAATAATATTTTGTCTTTTTTCCCTAACGATTTACATTCATCTAAGAATAATTCCTTTAAACAATTATTCAAAAGTAATGAACTATTCTTATCATTTATATTAACTTTATTGTACTGTATGCTCATAAGGTGAACAAACTGAGACAAGCTTGATGGAGACATTGTGGCCGTTAGCGAATTCGTATTGAGATTACAAACCTGGATAAATACTTCCTCTAAATTTTCAAATAACGTTTTACAAAAAATATTATAAGGTAAACAATTGAACATGTAATTAATTATTATATGCAATATTTCTCTTTCTACAAATGTTCGAAAATGCTTATTTCCAATTCCTTTTTTATAATTTTTTAACAATTTTTTAAGAGAACAAACTAGAGCGTTATTTGTTAAGTATATCATAAAAACGATTTGATAAGTTATCATATTTTTTATTTCTGATTCATTAGAAGAGTCATTTACATTTCCCCACTGGGTCAGCATACACGATGGAGACTCATCTTCCTCATTTTCGATGATTTTCTCATTCTTATTGGAAATATTCTTTCCTTCTGTATTCCCTTTCATCTTATACTCAAAATCGTATATATTAAAATAGTGATAAAAATGGGCATTGTTGTACGTTAAATTATTTCCCAAATCGATGGCTAGTTCGGTATTGCTTTTTCCTTCTACTTTCCTTCTGCACATGTTAGTGAAGGAAGAACTGTCTAAAGGATATTCATTCTTGTTCATCATTTTGAGTTTATTCAAAATGTCAATGTCTTTTTCTGGATCCCTGTCATTGAGTTCAATTTTTATCTTTGCTGTGTTTATTATGGATGTTAACAATTCGACATACTTACAAACATGTACTACTGACATGCGCTTTTGGCTTTTATATTTTATATACTTTAGCATGAAAATAAGTAAGAGATGTAAACTATTTGTTCTAATAGTTACTTTACTATTCAGGTAGGATACATTTAGAAGGTACATCGAAATGGTGCTTAATATGAATCTGTTTAGCTTTTTTTCAAAAAATGTGGTGACATCTTCGTCTATCTCATTATCATTAAGACAGCTATTTTTTCTCTTTTTCAAAATTCTGCAATAATAGTTAAACATATTTTTATGACACATCCAATGGAAAGATTCTTTGTTCGTATTTCCTCGTCTACATCTTGCATTAATGTCCCAACCACTTTTTCTAATGAGATTCGGTTCACCCTTTCCATGATCTCTAGTCAAGGTAATCCTCTCTGCGTTACTCTTGGAGTCGATACAACTAAAGTAAAGCAATTTATCCCTTATATTTAAGGAGGATTCTTTCGTTACTAGCCTCTCACATATAACTTGAATCAGATGATCCAATTTTTTTTCATTCAAATGTTTTTCATTTTTTTTTCTATAAGCTTTACATAAAGTATAAAGTAATAACTTTTTATTATCTCCTATATGGTTTATCAAGTTTGTGCTGCTCACGTTTTTATGTTCTAGATGTAGGGACGCTTCAAGGCTTTCATTTTCATGTCTATCCGTTTCTACTTCCCTACATTTTCTTCCGATTCTGTATGCATCTGAAAACGAGTGTTTCCTTTTTACTCTATGCCGTATAGTAATTGGCCAACTTTTGCTTAACACTGAGTGGAATAAAGCATTCATATCATCTTACTTCTTGGAAAGCTCAATATATTTCTGTATGTGCACAGTGTGTGTGGTGTGTGTGGTGTGTGTGGTGTGTGTGGTGTGTGTGGTGTGTGTGGTATGTGTAGCATGTATAGTTTTTTATGATGTGTCTCGTTTGCATAGTGTTTGTAGTGGTTCATTTTTTCTGATTCTCTTCACTAAAAAAAAAAAAAAAAAAAAAAAAAAAAAAAACTAATTTCCTTCACAGTCTATGTTTTACCTCTCATATACAGACAGGGAGACAAAGCCAACCAGCAAAAGTTTTTATATAATGTCACCACATTACTAATGATAAGTATTGTTCCATGGAAACAATCCTTTATCATTGATATATGACCAAGTGAGCAATATTTATACATGACAAATCGGTTGAACAGGTATGATGCTACTACACGTATGTTTTTTTTTTTTTTTTTCGTAAAAAAATAGGGAAAAGTTTATTGTTCCGGATTTGTATACATTTTCCAAAATATTTGTAGATGACTAATCAGTGATGATAATTAATTACAAAAAAAATTTCCTTCACCTTTCAATATGATATGGTATATGTAGGATTTGTTGTAGATGGGATGGTGTCACTTCTCCATTTGTTAATATAATGTGTGTTTGTATGTTTCTACTTTTACCGACTGTTTAACTCGTTTTACACTTTTTTTTTTTTTTTTTTTTTTTTTTTTTTTCTCCCTTTTCTTTTGTTCTTTTGTTCTCCTCACATTTATATTCTCCTCTTCTTTACATCTGGGAACAGATAGGTCACCATGTCAGCCTCTAGCTTTTTGGGGGTTCCGAAAAAAAAAAAAAAAAAAAAAAAAGCAAAAATGTGAAAAAGTCAAAGGAAATAAATGCGTATAATTGAAGAGATAAATCAAGTGAAACTACAAAATGAAGAAAATTCTGTAACAATTTCTGTATTTTTGTAATTGTTAGTATTTACTTCTTTTTTCTTTTTTTTTTTTTTTTTTCTTTTTAAATTTATACTTCCCCCCAATTGTTAAAATACTGCAGGTGGTATTGAGATGACCTGGCTTCCATACTCTTTTTTTGGGGGCACCTATAAACTTCTCATTCCATTTATATTATTATCACTACTTATTAACAAAAAATATAGATTTTGAAATATTATCAAGTCGTGTCCTTCCATCCATGTATCTTACTTTGCCGGAAATTATTTTCTCTCTTCACATTTATTGCGCTGTTTTATATATTTCACAACACCTAATCCCATTTACATAATCTTTTTCTCTCCTTTTTTTTTTTTTTGGTGTACATTGGCTGTGAACCAATATATATCTTGTAGATTAACCCCAATATTTTTTTTCTTTTCATATTAATTAGTCATTTCATGGAAACACGAAGGGAGGGATTGATAATTTATGTGTGAATTTTTCTTTTTTTTTTTTTTTTTTCCTCATTTTTTTTTTTTTTTTTTTTTGTTGCTAATAATTAGAAGAGAGTGAAAATGCAGACTACTTTTGAATTATTTTAAAATAACCTGAAGAATACCTTATAATTTTTTTCATATATATTTTTTTTATTATTTATTTTTACTTTTTTTTTTTTTTTTTTTTTTTTTTCCTCTACTTTCAATTTTGGTTAAATGATTATGGGGCGAAAGTGATATTGGAAGAAAGAGTTAAGGAAAAAAAGGAATAAGCTGAATTACAAAAAAGCAAGATAAAGAAGTCATTCTCTAGATAATTTCACGAATACATGAATTTACGTATATATTTGGATACTCAATAATAGCAATCTTTTTCCTTCCTCGTCCTTTTCTGGCATACTTTTTTTTCTACCTGCATCTACTGCTCAGAAATCATTCTTTTCAACAAAAATGCCTCCAAAAAAAGAAAACACTAAAAAATTAGAAAAAGAAAAACAAAAAATTGTGGAAGATAAAACTTTTGGATTGAAAAACAAAAACAAAAGCAAAAGTGTCCAAAGGTACGTAATCAAATTCTTGAGGGTTTCTCATACACACGGCTATATGGTTTACACATGTGTGCATTTGTTCATATACTTATAATTTCTATTTTCACGCGATTTTCCCATACAATGATCAATTGAGCATATGTGTATTTATAGTTATTACACTTTTTTTATATATTCATTTTTGTATTTACACATGTAATGACGTATCAATGGTTATACTTTTTTCCAAACACTATAAAACAGGGTAATAATTTTCTACACTACACATGCATACACATACCCATCCATATACAAACCTACATGTCACAGGTACATCAAAGGAGTTCAACAGCAAGTATTTCAAACAAAAAAAAAGCCAGACGAAAAGAAAAAAGAAGAAAAGGAAAAGGAAAAATTAAATCAACAAAAGTTATTGCTCAATTCTATATATCAAAGTATAAAAAAAAAAAAAAAAAAAAAAAAAAAAATAGATATCTAGAAATTTGTGTGCTTGACTGAATGGAAGATTCCATGTGACGTGATAATTTTGCACTCATTCGTTTGTTCATTCTTTCGTTCTTTCACTTTTTTTTTTTTTTTTTTGTTGTATTTCCCACCTTTTAGAAACCGAGAAAGTAAAAAAAATAAATGACACCGCGTCAACATACGATCCGAAAAAATCTAAGGAATCACAAAAAATAGATATCTACACAGATGTTAGGGATAACAAAAATGACAAGGAAAACGATACAATAGATCAATGGGATATAAATAAGCTAACCGAGGTCATAAATATAAGACATAAAAATGTGAATAAGACGGATATAATTTGTAAGTACTTTTTGAGTGCCGTTGAAAATAAGGTAAGAAAATGGAAGAAGAAAAAGAAAGAACAAGAAAAGTACAAAAAGGGAAAAAATGAAAAAATGCTAAAATGCAAAAATAGTTATAATATATTCAGTTGTACCCGGTCCCATTATACATCTCCAATTATAAACCATGTAAAATAAGCATTTTACATCACAATGAAGAATTGCACCATGCAAATATCAAAACTTTAAACTCATTTTTCATTTTCATCAACTTTCACAGCAATATGGATGGTTTTGGGTATGCCCAAACGGAGGAGATAATTGCAAGTATAAACATTGCTTACCGCAAGGTAGGATATAAATTTTAGAAACATTCAAAAATGTTTAGAATCTGGGGCGTCAAGCCTAGGAAAAAAAAAAGAAAAAAAACATTTCCATTTTAATGGAATTAAAAAAGAAAAAAAAAAAAAAAAAACATGAGATTAGATATAACCTAAAACTATTTGGACATAATTTAACTTTGTTTCCCATTTTTGAAAAATAATTCTGCGCTTCCTAAAAAATATCGTCTTTTTTTTTTTTTTTTTTTTTTTTTCTTACCCTTTCTCCAAAATGCAGGATACGTATTAAAGAAGAACGAGCCAACAGAAAAAGAAAAAGATGATATACCCTTAGAGGATATTATTGAAGAAGAGGTAATGAAAATATTTACTTGGAATAGTATGCAAGAAAAATTTACATATAATTTATTCTCACGTACCAAGTTTTTGTATCTCCAAATATGAAATGAGATTTTAATATTTTGACAACTCAACTATCCCAACATAGAACACACGTAAAAATACCCCAATTTGATTATATCCTTTATATACCATTTTACAGAGGGCTCAATATATAAATAACGGTACTGCTATGACTTTAGAACTATTTAAAAAATGGTTAGCAGAGAGGGAAGAGAAAAATAAGCTTAAGAAAGACGAACAAAAGGATAAATCAGAGAAGAAAGGGAAAACCAACATGCTCTCAGGGAAGGAGTTATTCACCTACGACCCAACGTAAGACATGCATGCCTACCCCCACCCTGCAAATATGCACACACATACACACATATGCACACACATACACACATATGCACACATATACACACATATGCACACATATACACACATATGCACACATATACACACATATGCACACATATACACACATATGCACACATATACACACATATGCACACATATACACACATATATATATATGTATATGTTTTGAATACACGAATAAACATTTTGTGTGTGTCCCCCGTTTATATATGTGTCTTTGTTGAAATGCACTATTTTACCTAAGTGCAGGGTTCAAGCATTATTTCACTACATTATGTGTACGCCTTTTTTTTTTTCCTTTTTTTTTTTTTTTACAGATTATTTGTTGATGATGATAATGCTGCAAACACGAATGAGTATGATGACTTATTTTATGATGATGATGATGTTGAGCAAAAGGAAGATACGCTGGAAAAGAAAAATTACGTTAATGGTGGAGTAGATGAAAATGGTAAGGGGACTTAATCTGCATTTTCAAGCTGGTGTCAATACAAAAATTTAACATATTACCGTGTACACTCCCCCGTAGATCGTGAAAAATACGCATATATTTTATATTTACTCATTAATACACGGATTTTCATCCCATTCATCCTTCTAACTTTTCAGATAAAAGAGAAGATGATGTTCCCATTAACACTGATCTCTTTATTGACGAATTGGTATGTCTTTACTAAACATAAGCAAAGTATTTAAAAAGGTGTAGTTGGAGACAAAAAAAAAACATTCGGCATTTTATATATATTACTACACTCTGGAAGCACAATAATCATCAGCGCTCAAACTTAACACATGAGAATATCCCCACATAAAAATGAATTACTTATAAACATACATATACTTACCTATTATTATGCATATACAATATTGTAAAAGAAATTTGTGGTCACCTATTTTGCTCACCTATTTTGCTCACCTATTTTTCTCATTTTTTTTCCTCTTTTTTCGCATCAGGATGACCTTGATCAATTAGATTAAGCATATGGAATTTGGACAAAGTGAAATGTTTTTTATTATATTATTTTTTTAAATCTCACAAATAGCCTTATGTGTTTAAAAAAAATTTAGTGTTTTAATTTGACGATAACAAAAAAAGAAAAGAAAAAAAATAAAATAAAATTGTTATCTTAAAAACATTTTAAAAAAAAATTTAAATAAAATTGTTACAAATGTGTAACCAATTAATACAAATGTGTACCCAATTAATACAAATGTGTACCCAATTAATACAAATGTGTCACTAATTATTACAAAAATTTTGTTATTTCTTTACCAGCATTTTGCCAATTTTTTTTTTTTTTTTTTTTTTTTTTCAATTAAACAATGAAAAGGTTTCTCTCGTCTTTTTTATTCATCTTTTCATTTCATTTTAAAGAAATATGATAACTTATAGGGGTTTATATCATCCTACAGAAAAAGAAGTAGATACGAACATTTTTTTTTTTTGCCACATATGCTTTTGAGTATGCGCACAAATTTCACATATTTTATGCCTTAAACATGGTGTATTTAAGGGAGATGAAAAAATGCAAATACATTTAAGTAAGAATGATAGTAGTGAAAGAGTACAACATTTAAATAAATATATATAAATGTATGCATATATATATACTTCTATGAAAACAATATAACTTACACTTTTTTCCCTCTTTTTGCGCGGTCGGTCATCTGAGTCACTCGAACTGGACCTAGATATGGAACATTTTCTTTTCTTTTTCTTTTTTTTTTTTGTATGGCTAGAAGATGAGTCACTTGTAAGAATGTCTTCGCTATCAGAACGGGCATCTTTATGTTTATTCTTACTCTTGTGCTTACAATGTTTTTTTTTTTTTTTCTCTCTCTCTCTCAAGCGTGTTTTCCTTTTTTTCGAGTCATCAACTGATGAAATTTCATCACTATCTTCATTACTACTACAAGTATCACTTTTACTTTTATATTTATTTTTATACTCCTTTTTTAATTTTTTTATATATCTCTTTTCCTGTTCCTTTATTTTCTCCTCTCTGTTCCTATTTAGTTCTTCTACATATCTTGCATTTTCATATTCTTCCAATATTTTATTTCCTTCTTGGTTCTTAATTCTGTCTTTCAAATCATCCCATGTTGGTCTGCTATCTCTGTTTATTTTGTCTTGTATCGTTGGCCTGATGGACAAGGTTTTTTTGTAAAATTTTGTACATATCTAATATTTACACACATTAAAAAACTATGCAAAATGAGTTTTAATGTGCAATCTTTATGCCTACAGATGGCCTTGTTTGTCACAACAAAATCACAAAAACAAAGTGTCAATGGCTCAAGGGAAAAAACTAATCTGTGCCATTTTGTGCAACAAACGAATGAGCAAATAAATTGGAGAATAAGCACATGAATGAGCAAATACGGATGTATTATTCTATTTCATTTATTTCCTTCATTGATTAGCTTTTTCATTTTTTCTTTTACCCTGTGTATTTTACCCTCTGTATAGGGGCTATTAACCCCTGGGGTCGAAAGCCTCTTTGTTTTGGCATAAATGTTTTTTTATAATCTCCAAAATGGAAGAAAAAAAAAAAAAAAAAAAAAATGTCCCTTTCTGTACAAATACATGCAATATTCTTAACTGTTTAAAAGTTTAGCTGTTTTTTTTCTTTTTTTCTTGTTTTTTCACTACTTATATTTTTAACGTGCGTTAAAGCGAAGAAGAAATGATGGGCGGAGGGAAGGGTTTCCGTAAAAATAATTTAAAAGTCGACAAAGTGGTGTGTTCCGTGTGCACACTGAATATGTATATTACACACGAGTGAGTTTTGAATAAATATGTAAGTGGGTTTATATTGGGGCTTATATAAGGGATTGATGGCATTGTAACAAAGGTAAATCCAATTATACACAAAAATAAGCACACTTTTTATATACAGAGTGGTGGTACAAACATTTTCGTTAAGCAGTTTTCCAGTCATCTAAAATCCTTCTACCTGTAAAAAACAAACTCAAACGGAAACTCTACCCAAACAGGTTGCTGTACATTAAAGATTTTTGTTTTTATTTTTTTTATTATTCCTGTATATGTAACCTTTAGTTATAACCTTTAACCCCCACACAGATGTACATTATTGGCAACATGTTAATATTTTCTTCATAAAAAATTAAATTAGCATATAAAAATGGGGTTGAAAGCACGGAAAAAAATATGTAGACACGTTCTATATCCTTTTTTTTTTTTTTTTTTTTTTTTTATAATCTCGAATATTTCATAAATGGGAGTATAAATCCTGTGAGATGTTACATATAAATATATATATGCTGGCTGAGATAAAAAAAAAATAAAATCATATAATTGCTGCTAGGTAAGGAGGTTAGAACAAATTGGTATATATATGTGTGTAGTATGTATATATATAATACTTTCACATGTATAAATTGACTTATTTATCCCTCTTTCCACTTATTAAAAATCATGTAAGCATGTGCAATGTGACATTTTTCTGTTGAAGCTTTTTCCATACATACACACTTTTTCAAGGCACATGCGCATTTTAAAATGATAAATTTTTTTTTTTGTATAAAATTAAAAAACATTGCATGCTGATATTATTTTTCACGAGCTCAAAACTGTTTGCTGTATGTATTTGGTCATTTCTTTATATTTGTACTTTTAAAATTTTTTACATACCTTCAAACATACATACACACAAACATACATACGTAAAAACATACTTAACTTATGTTTTATTATCTCCTCTTCATCGATTTTTCTCCTTAAAGCTTGTAAATTTTTGAAATGTAAATTTATTTAACTTATCCCTTAAAAAAGGGTTCAAAATGTAAATAAAAAACAAGTCCTTGGAGTACGACTTATTAGCATTCTGCCTGTACAGTCATACATTGGGCACACATATATATATACATACAAGTATGCATATATGACATATGTGACATAATATATATATATATACATATACGATTTCATACATTTTATGGGCATTTGGTAATCACGTTTATTATTATACATGCATATTTTCGTATATATGTAATAAATTGTACTGTGTTCAGAACTTCTCTTCCCAAACAATAATGCATTACCACCACCCCTCTTCGCACATATATGTAAACCTGTTTACATTAACATGTTTATTGTAAATGTTTTACTTGTACATGTATATATATATATATGTATAACGTACATATGTATACCTATTGATGTACGAATGCATATATTTATATGTATAACGTATATATGTATACCTATTGATGTACGAATGCATATATTTATATGTATAAACACAGCCCTTTGCACAAAAAATCACTTATCTGCACAAAATTAAATCATCAAAAAATCATCCGCAAATCAGCTTTTTACTGTTTTAACCGCTTTACCTTTGCCCATTTTATATTTTTTAAAAAAAAGAAAAAAGAAAAGATTACTTGCTATTTAACAAAATTGCTTTCCTCAGCTACATTTATTTATTATTATTATTTTTTTTTTTCTTATTTTATTTCATTTTTTTTTTGTTTTTATTTTATTTCAGTTTTTTTTTTTTTTATTATTTTTTTTTCCCTTTTTGCAGAAATTTTTGAGGGAAGAGCTTTCTATTAACTTTCATTTGGAGTGCATTTGACCTTGTTTTTACGCAACTTTTTCATTTTGTTTTTATCCGTCCTCTTCCAAACATTCCCTATTATATTATTTTCTCTATCATTTTGCTGCAAACAATGTGTGTATATATATAATACATACATATATGTGTATATTCACGTGTTTAATGTAATTGTACCGTACCCTCACGCTTTTTCCCCAACATGCCCTTTTCGGACGCGTTTGTTTTTATGGAGATCACCATCGCCCTCATTTTTTTTTATATTTAAGCCTAGGTGTTATATGTAGTAAAACCATTCTCTCTTTTCTCACATTCTTTCTCTCCTTCAGTCGCACATTTGTTACACATCGATCGAACTTTTTTTTTTTTTTTTTTTTTTTTTTTAAATTACAATAACATATGTAACATTATGTATACATGTTTTTATCCTTATATATGTGTACGCATAAGAAAAAAATTACATGCATGCAATTATACACGCAAAATAAGTTTACTCCTGCGCATCATAAGATACATCAGTTTTCTTTTCTCACCCCTCAATTCACAAAATGAACGCTGCTGCTATAGAAGTTATTAACAAATTAAAAAAAGAAGATGAAAGCAACAACAAGTGTTTTGATTGTGGAGTTCCAAATCCTGACTGGGTGTCAGTAAACCATGGAGTATTCCTATGCATTAACTGTTCAGGTGTCCATAGAAGTTTGGGAGTACACATAAGCATAGTAAGAAGTATAAAAATGGACATATTCACAGATGAACAATTAAAATATATAGATAAAGGAGGAAATAAAAAATTTCAGACATATTTAGAAAATTATGGAATTAATGATTTTATACCTGAAAGAAAATATAGAACCAAAGCAGCTGAACATTACAGAAAAATTATGAGATCCATCGTTCATAATTCAGACCCACCATCTCCTTTATCTCTCGATGAAGGTAAGGACATAATAAATTTTGGTCAAAATGAAAACATGAATTTTAACGAAAATAACAAAAGTCATCATTATACAGATGATCAGCAGAATTTTATCCCATCACTTAGTACATCCGATATTTTAGAAAATGTCTCAGCTACCTTTTCCAATTTTATTAACAAAGCACAAACTATGACAACCAACACAATAAACAATTTAAATAAAAATGAAATCCTCGAAACAACGAAAGATACACTAATGAATAGTAGTAGTTGGATTACTGAAAAAACAAAAAAAATTGCCGAAAACGTCAGTGATAATCCATGGTGGGAAAAGGGGCAAAGTAAAATAAAAGATGTTACTCAAAATGCAAGTGGGTGGATATCAAGCATCTCTTCAACAGTTTCTAGGACCAACAGCAATTTCTTTTTTGCAAATGAGTTTGGTGTGAACTCTGATAATGCTACTGGAAGTACAAGCACAAATACAAGTGCAAATGCAAGTGTAAATTCGATGAATGTCTCAGCGGGTGCCAACCCTCCCATTAATAGTGGAAATAGCGAAAATAACGAAAATTTTAATAATCGAGCTCCGAACAACAGTTCCGCGTTTATTAGAAGCGACACCAATAGGAGTATTAACCAAAAGTGATTACAAAATCAAGTTTTTGTGCCGTATACACGAAAGAACTCAATATATATATATATATATATATATATATATATATATATAGATCACCCGTCAATCAGAATACATTAAATCGATATTTTTCCATCTGAGGTACGTTCACATATGCATACATTTGTGAGCTCGTTTGCGTGTGTGTCATTTTTACTTAAATATAATATATTTTTCCGTATGTGCACACAGAACTATTTTGTGTGAATCTGCAATTTTCACGTATGCCCCAGCTGTGCCCAAAAATAAGAGAAGGAGCAAAATGGAAAAATAGTATCATTGAGAAGAAAAGGGGAGAAAGATGGGAATATAACGATAACATTTAGTAATCATAAATTATCATTTTTTTTTTTTTTTTTGTATTTATTTGCGAATTCAGCAAGCACTGAAAATTAAGTTCATAACAACAGCAGAAGCAGCAACTAGCACAACAACTAGTAGAACAAAAAAAAAAAAAATAAATAAAGCAATTTGCATGGTAGTTCCATATATGCTACTTTGATATGTAAGAAAAATTAATATTTATTTTTTTTCCTTGCTTTTTTCCCACCTTTTTCGTATTATTCCTTTTGTTAATTTTTAATATTTTTAAAAATATTTTCTATGTTACTATACGAATATTATTTACTTCTTTTATGTATAATAGCATTCCCTTTTTTTTTTTTTTTTTTTATTATCAATTTTACATTTCTAATGATATAAAAGTTACACATATTTGTGCATGCTAAAAAGTGTAAAAATTATATAAATGCGCTTAAAAATTAAGTTCATTAATCTGATATTTCAAAGTGTGGGTTTGACAACATGTTAATGTCATGAAGAAATCTATTTACATTGGGAAAAACATCATTGAGGGAAATGTTTATGAGTCCCTACAGGACGACATACTTTTTTTTTTTTTTTTTCCACCAATTTTTCCTCTCTTCTTTGTTTCAGAATCTGTGCATAAAATTTTTGTGTCATTTTTTTTTTTAAGTATCATTTTTGTAAGATGAACAATTCATATAAATGAGATCATATATGTGTACACTGTATTGTAATGTACCTTACTTTATTTTATTCATTTATTTATTTTTTATGTGCAGACTTACATTTAAATTTTATGAACATTCAACATTTTAATTAAATGACTTATAAAGAGATGTACTGGTAATCCTTTAAGGCACGTATACATTTAACCGAAAGAAAAAAAAAAAAAAAAAAATGGAAGAAAAGGACCGAAGTAAAAATATCCTATTTCAGAAAAAATTGGAATATATTAGCGCACATACAGCACTTATGTGATGGTGAAAACAGGATTCAATAATTATTACTTATGAACAGGTTCCTATACCTCTTGGAAATTTGGAAAATAATGCCACCGTTTTATGAAAAAACCCTTCAATATGTTTAATTTTCAGTCTACTATGTGTCTGTATAATTTTTTTTTTATTTTTTAACATTTTAAAATTCATTTAATAGTAACCATTTTTTTCATCCTATTGAAACTTATTCTCTACAAAAAGAAAAATTTATTCAAATTAGTCCGACATAGTCTTGTTCTATATAATTGATCATAGCTAGCTATAATGACAACATTAAAAAAAAAAAAAAAAAAAAAAAAGAAAAAAGATGTAGTTAATTTTTAGCTAATATGTAACTAACTTTCAAGTAAAAATAAGAGCAAATCTGACAATATACGAGATAAATTCATAAAATAGCTAGAAATAAAAAAAAAAATAAATAAAAATAACCCCAATGTAGATAATATATAACTGAAGTTAAAGTAGAAATAAGAACAAAAACTGATGCAATAAGTGGGAAATAACAAAATAGCTAGAAAAAAAAAAAAAAATACAATAAAAATAATTAAAATAATAAAAATAAAATAAAATAAGTAAAATGCTCGTCAGGGGAAAATAGACAAATCGAACAGAAAATAAGATATATAAAAACGAAAAAAAAAACTCCTGAAGTAGGAATAAATTTTTTTAAAATAGAACAAACAAAATCTTTCGAAAAACTAAAATAAAGGTTAAATTGAAGTAAAACCGTCATTTATTTAGACGAAAGACGAAAACCACATTTTGTTCTCTAATTGTAAAGAAAAGATATTCATATATATATATATAAACATTTTAACCCTACTATATTTGCAACGATTTAATCCTACTATATTTGCAACATTTTAATACTACCATATTTGTAATTTTTTAATCCTACCACATTTATAATATTTTAACCCTACCACATTTGTAACATTTTAACCCTACCACATTTGTAACATTTTAACCCTACCACATTTGTAACATTTTAACCCTACCACTTTGAAACTATTGTAAGCATCCACTAATTTTGAAAAAATGAGAAAATGCAAATTCCTCTTTTTCATCCTGCCGTATTCTCTTTTCTCACTCTTTTGGAACACTGAAAATGTACGTGCTCAGCCACAAAAAAGAGGACACGTAAATGACCTAATAAAACAATTTGAAACTAATGGGAACTTAGACACCTCTCAACACAGTTCAAATAAAAATGAGCCGCTAGCAAGGTATTTTGAGAGGAAGGAACATCCGTTAAGTGGGAGACAAAGAGCTATCTATGAGGATGATGCAGCAGTTACTTCATACAGTTCTGAAAATAGAAAAGCCTTTCCTACGGACAAAAGATCATCTGACATGTATGATTATGCTGGGGGAAGGGGTGGCGACTCTGATGTTTCCTCTGGTGAAGGATACATCTATAGTAATGATTATAGAAATGATTACCAACATTCTGATGGTTCTAATCAAATGAGGCAAAAACATACCCAATTAGAAGGGGAAATGCAAAATAGGTATAGCAACCGAAATAGCTATCCTGATGAGATATCAACATCTCGAATTGATGAAGATGAAAGAATGAAGAAAAAGGACAATATTTACTTAGGTGAAGATTTCGAAACTTTTAATAAAAATCTAGGATTGACCATGGATGACTATATGATCGATTCAGATTATTCAGATAATGGAGATGTTGTTCAGAGTAAGGAATCAAAGGATAATTTTGATGATGGATTTTCCCATTATGGAGATCTCCAATTTATTAAACGAAGAAAGAATCAAGGGATAAACAATAGCGACTTGTTGTCGCGTTCAAGGGTGGATGGAAGGAGACATGCAATATACCATGATAGCGATAGCAATATAGCACTCTCAAGTGAAAATGAAATTCAGGGAAGGCAATATAATAACCCATACAACTATAAACATGATTATACATATGGAATCAATAATCAGAATAGTGAACCATATTATTATACCATCCCTGATAGCAGGAATTATAACGATCGATCTAGTCACTCAATAAATAATGGAAGGTCAATAAATTCCTCAGAAGTATCTCTGGAACCTGGTTATTCCACACCTTTTGATAGTAACAAAAGTATTTACGGTAGTGGAGAAAATATTTATGAATATATTCCCTTAAATGAATATCAGGAAAAACGAAATCCACGAGAAAAAGAACCGAAATACATTTCGTTAGATGATATGGAACATGTAGATCGTAACACATCATTACCAATTAGGAGAGATAAAAAAACCTTTTCATCTTCTCAACAACAAAGAAGTAGTAGTAATGCTGAATCTTCTGACAGATTTAAGAATGGTAAGAAGATTGATATAACAAAAGGAGTACCCAACAGGTACGATAATGTTTCTAAACAAATATATGAACAAAATAAATCTAAAAGTGTAAGAAGAAATTCAGGATCGCTTAGTGCAGTAACCGTGTTTAATACATATCAAGAAAGGATTTTTTTAAATAAACTCCTTAAAAATTCTAGTGGCAGTAATAAATTAAAAAATATGTTTTCAAGAAGTGGTGCAGGTGGCATAGTATCCATAACAGGGGAAATAAAAAAAGCTGCGGAAAAGTGTATAGCCCAAAATAAACATAAATTAACCAGACCTGTCTTAATGCAAAATTTAGCATTTAAAGATTCAAACCTTTTAATGTATTATGAAAATAACGCTTCTTACATTACTTCTAATTGTGCTACTGGCAATGGTAGTGGTAGTAGTAGTAGTAGTATTGCCAATAGTACTGGTAGCGGTACTGATACATGTTTGAAAATAAGGCCTATGGTTTATGAAGATGATGAAAAGATGCTAAATGCACTAAAAATGTTACCTAGCTTATACATTTTGAATATGTATGAATTTATTTTAACGAATTCTAGAATGTGTGGATCGTTCAAAACACTTATAAAAAATAATATAAAGGAGAACAACCTAACAACAACAGATATTGTTTTATCATTATCTAATTTTTATTTCCAAAATGTCGTGAACCCTATCCTAGTTAATCATCTGATGAATTTTCTTAAAACAAAAAATGAAATTCACTTGAATAAATATTACCTCGGGGCTATGCTGTCATTCGTACCTTTTATCAAACCTGCAATGAAAATATATTTTGGGGATAATTATTCTCGTACAAATTTGTATGTTTTAGACAATGAACTAAAAAAAATTTTTACTGAACTTTTAATTGTTTCTCTTCGTTGGACACAAGCATTTCAAGATAAATTTTCTGATGTAAGTAATGAGATACTCATGAAGGTTAATAAAAATCTTACATCTTTTTCTACAAGAAGAGTTGGAAATATGAACGAAAAATTCAAAACCTTAGATTCCATTTTGTTAAACCAAAAAATAAACAATGATCTTATCGCCAATAAAGATGATAAATATAGACAGATAATGAAGTATATCTGGAAGTACATAAATAATATATATTTCATGATGTAGAAGTAGATGGATGTAATAATAAGAAGAGAAGGGTAGAAGATATGGTAGGGGGAGGGGTAGCGATTTTAGTGCTTTTTTTTATGGGGTTTTTCTCTTAAAGGGAGAAAATCATAGCAAAGCACGGAAGCAAAAATGTCGGCTGGGTCGAGTACGTATGTATATGTGTTTATATACCAATATACAAATCTCTTTTCTAGTTTCTTCACTTATGGAATCAAAGCTGCTAACATGGACAAGGTAACCTGTGTATGTGTTTCTACACTCGTAATGCATTGCATGTGAGAGAAGTCGAATGCAATATTCGTTTTTTTCCAGTTTTTTTTTTTTTTTTTTTTTTTGTCATTACCAAGCAGGGTTTTTTATTTTTACTAGGCCTTTCTTTTGTCTTTACCATGCATTTTTTTTTATTTTTTATCAAAAATTTAGACATCTTTATACTACTTTATATGTATTAACAATTGACTGAGTTTATTCAAGCAAGTTTTTTTCTTAAATTAAAAGGGTAAAATTTCAACACAAAAAAAAAAAAAAAAAAAAAAAAAAAAAAATAGTGTAAATTCAGTTTGCATAAAACGAAATAAGTTGACATGATATCAAGCAAATCAAAGTAAAAGAAAATAGAGTATAAGAAAATAAGGGAAACAAATAAAAGTGAAACAAATCAAAGTAAAAAAAATCAAGATAAAAAAAAAATCAAAGTAAGACAAAGTAAAGCAAAACAAAGTACGATAATACAAATTAAAGGAAAATTCTGCATATTTTTTCACAGCAAATCTTCTATCACTTCGGCCGGAAGTTGATCAAGGAGTATCTGCAAAGGAATGACATATGGGAAATTAGGGACACATGAATGTAAATTTCATACATTATGAATGCGTACATCTGGTTATTAGTGTCCATAGGTTGGCCGACTAGTCTCATAAACACATTTCTCTCCTCTTGAAAATCTCACGAGTGCGTGCGTGTGTGTATGAATGTATGTGCAGTATTAAAGCACAAAACGTCGTTTTCTCTCCTTCGCTTTTTCATCTTATCTCACTTACGATTAACTCTTCATGCGGCTTCCTCTTTAAAATTTCCTCACTTAGGTTTTCCTTAAAATATTTTTTATTCTTCAAAATTAGATGAATGATTTTCTTAATATAGTCTTCATTTGTTTTTTCATCTGATGTGTTGTTATTGAAGGAACGTTTAATCTTTTTTAAATAGGTCCTGTTGTTAAGTATTTTCATAGCTTCCTTTAAGTTTATTTTATCTGGCAAGTCATGTTCGTTTTCTTCCAGATGTTTATTTAATGTACTTAAAGCATTTTCAAAAGGGTCCTTATGTTCCATTTTATTTTTATTTATTTGTGTTCCTAGTATATCATCGAAAGGTTGATTCTTATTAAGGAAAAAGTTTTCTTTTTCCATATTTTTCAATCTGTTTATATATTTTCTTGTATTTACATTAATATTACCATATGATGTTTTTGTGTGCTCATTATTTTCCGTTTCTATATTTTTGAATACTTCCCCTCCCCATGTTCCATTTGTTCCATCATTTCCGTATACGCAATTTAGTAAAAAATCTTTAAAGTCATTCCATAATATCAGTAAATTTTTTTCATCTATATTATCTACATGATTCAAGTTTTGTTTCTGTAATATGTCTTTATTTAAATTTAATATTTTCCTCTTGATATTATCCTCAGGTTCCCACAGTCGAATATTTTCCATGGATTTATGAAGCAGATATTTCAATTCGTTCAGTTGTAATGAATTTAAAAAATTTTTAGTTATATTTTTTTTATTTAAAAATTTTCTATTTGCTAATACGAATGATTTAACATCCTCTATGGGCAAATCAAAATCGAATAGATAGTATCTAACGAATGGGTAATTATCAAATTTTTCATTCCTTCTTTCACAAATGCATATTTGTATTAGACGACTTTTTAAGCTTTCCATGGATGTGTCTATTGGAAGAAGAAACCCTTTCTTGTATATTTCTTTTTTGAGTTCATCTGATGACATTTCTGAGAGGTACGAAAAGTCAAGAGTCTCGCTATCATCCGTGTTTATAATGGAGTCTAGTTCAGTCTCTTTCTTCTCATCCACATTTGGATGAATCTCCTTGTTTGTGCAACTTCCCGTTTCGGCATCACTTTGGTGTTTTTCTTCCTGTTCTTCATCTTCTTCTTCTTCGCCTTCTTTCTCTTCCTTTTTATTGCTCTCTACGGAGTTTTCAAAATTTCCCAACCTCAAAGACCCTACAGAAAAGCCACTTAAACATTCTTTCTCCTCCATTTTTTTTTCACTAAAATCCATGAATTCCTCCATTCCTTCTAAGCTTTTCCGTATCCCATCCACCTCCTTCGACTTTGTGTCGACCGCATAAAAATCATTTACATCAGATTTTATTCCAAACATTTTTGAATAATATAGGGATTCCTCTTTCCTAATATCATTCTTCCATTTTGATCTGTCACTTAAATTTTCAAAACATTTCCCAGATACACTTTCGTTATTAATATTTTCCTCCTTGTGAAGAATTCCCTTATTGCTCGGTAGAACTTCTTTATAATTATGAACATGAGTCTTTTCTGAGATCTTTCCATCCGATTCCTGTATTTGTTCCTTTGGGAGGAATTTTTTTGAAACCTTTCGACTGTTTTTATTCTCTCTAAAAATGTCGTAAAGAACACTCTTCACTTCATTTTTATAATCGTCCATCACGTTTTTTTCTATTTTCTTATTTCTGTTGCTTTCGATTGGTTCATGCAGATCATAGTGTTTGTCTTCCATTTTCTCTGCATCTGCAGAGTGCGTCAAATGTGTCAAATTTTTCACATTTTCAGCATCTGTCTCGTTTGCAGAACCTATCGTTATATCTTCGCTTTTCTCATCGTTCCCTTCAACATCACGCACCCCAAGATTAAAAATTTCATCAAAATTATCGACATCGTCATAAAGACTACTTTCGTCTAAATATTTTTTTCTTTTTTTCTTTTTTCCCTTCTTTTTCGTTTTGTTTTCCCCTTTTCCTCCTCCCTTTGGACTATTTTTTTCATTTGCAGAGATTTCAGAAAATTGTGATTCTTCCATACCACTGTTCAATCTACTTAATGCTTCATGTACCCGACATTTATACCATTTTTTCTGTACATAATTATATTCATTGTTTCTATTTTTCATTAGGTAAATTTTGTTAGATCTATTGTTGTGTTTTCTTTTATGCTTCACATTGGTTTGTTCAGTCGATAATATGTTTTCCCTCACCACAAAACTTTCATCCATTTTATTATTCTCTTCATTGGAATTCCCATTTTGCATGTTAACCTCTTTATGATTCACTTTTATAATATTTTTCCTATCTGCTGCTCCACCCCTTGGTTCTTCTTCCCCATTTGGGTGCTGCTTTCCAAACTGTACAAACTCTGGAATAGACGTTTCGCTTGCTTTAAAACTGTTTGAATTCATGCTCATAAAATTATCGTTATATATTTTGATTTTGTCTTCAAGGGTCTTCTTTTTTAACTTCATTTTTTGGAACCATTCAATTTTCTCTTCTGTTATGGAGGAATCAAAAGTGAGATTAAAAAAAATCAAGTTATTTTTTCCACTCGAATTGTTAGAAGCACTTGTGGCTATTTCCCTTTTTATAATTTTATCCACATATACAATAATGTTCATATTTTTTTGTAATATTAATTCTTTCTTTTCTTGTTCATGTAAGGGATCTGTGGGGAGTCCAATATTTATAGTTAATTTATTTTTATGCAAAAGTGCCAAAAGTTTTATAAATCTGTTATTTCCCATTTTTATGTACACATCACAATCAACAAAAACGCCATAAGTATGAACAGAAGTTATTCTTCCTTTTAACTTTTTCCCAGTATATATACTTTTCAGTAAAATTCCTTTTTTGTTAATCTTTTCTCTTAGATATATTGTATCCTCATCATTGTCTAAATGGTGATCCGAGAAAGAGTGATATTGGAATTCTTCATCTGAATAAGAATTGCTATTGTACAATGAGCTAGAATTATAAACACTTCCAACAGAGTTATCACCCCCGTCCAGACTACTAGAAACGACAACATTTTTGATAGGAATATAATTTTTATATGATGGTGGATTTTTATATCCTATGTTGAAATATTCCTCATAATGTTCTTCATTAATGTTATAAAGTTGTATATATCTGTGCATTAAAAATTTAAAATTTTTATTTTTTAATGCCAAAATTTTTTGTTCTTTATTTAAAAATCTTACAATAACATCCCCAAAAAAGTTCCCTTTTTTGTCTTTGATGAAGATTATATATTTATCTACAATTTTGTATGGCTTAAAAAAATCCTTAATTTTAGAACTATCAACATGAAATGGTAATCCTTTACACAATATCAAACAGTTGTAACTTTCAGACGATTTTTCATCTAGTGGTAATGGTAATACACTATGTTCTGCTAACCCTTCACTGTCATTGTTAGTTCCTATAGATTTTATATTTTCTTTTAATATTTCCTTATTAATGTCATCAATTAGAGATTTGTGTATGTTTTTTTTTTTAACAAATTTTGGATTTCTTAATCTCACATTTTTTTCATTAAATCTTAACCTTCTTTTTATATCTTTTACAGTGTTCCTTTTAGGGGGTGTAAAAGAATACCTCTTTTTGCCTTTCAGTAAAATGTTATTTTCATTCATCTCGCTTTTGTATTCATCTGTGTTCTTCCAACTTTTTATACTTTTTCCTCTTTTGAACTTTTTCAATATTCCATATATCTTATAACAATTCACTGTGCTTTTTTTTGGGAAAGAAAAAAGCACTGATGTGATAACAACAATGAGAAATATTCTCATATAGAAGATCTTACTCATGTATACTTCTTTGAGTAAACTACTACGGGAAAACTGCTGGAGGCATTTCCCTCATTAATTACACACATGTGTGCACTCAGCCTTATATAGCTTTCAAAAAGCTTCTCATTCCTTTGTTCCTTTTTTGTACTTCTATTCGTGTTTGTGCTTCTATTTGTGTCTCTTACACTTTTTGTTTTAATTTGTAATGTGCTTCTAGGTGAAACTGTTGGAAAAGATAACTCCATGAGTAATTCCCATTTTTAATAAATGAAAATATAAAAAAATAAAAGGGGCTAAATGAAGGGAAAGAGATAAAATAAATTAAAACTCCTCTTTCCTAACTTCCAATAAAATTTGAAAAAAAAAAAAAAAAAAAAATCAAGCCCTCAGTTATCTCTTAAAAGTATGTAACTTATGCTATACAATCCCCACTCTGCAATTTTTTTTTTTTTTTTTTTTTTGACGCGTATAATTTAAAAATTTACCCCTTTTAACTTTACCATAAATTTTCATAAACCAAATTATGTCGAATGTTGAAATGAATGTTTAACACTTTAGCCCTTGATACTATTTTGTAGTGTACGGGCCTATATAAACGATTTCAATAGATATTCATATACTTATATATAATTACACGTTTTTGCAACATATTTTCATGTGTTCCTTAAAGTAGTCATATATATGGCATCTCATATATATTTAAGAGAGTTCAACAGGAACATAGAATTATTAGGGGAATAATTTTAGAACAATAATACTAATAATGTTGAATGTACATAATGAGGGTGTGAGTGTAGAGAAAATAATTGCATACAAAAGTGATCATACAGAAGTGAGCATAAGAAAGAGTACATATGAATAGCCAAATACCATTATCTGTAATGCATTTTCCTCCCCCAATGAAGCATGAAAAAATGTTAAGTCTTTTATATCCGAACGACTGAAACGTTAGTTGTGTATATATGTGGATAGGTGTAACTACCAATAACATCCCACTTGCCACATTATTGGATAAAAGACATTGCTTAATGGATTTTTTCCCCATTTCATTGTAAAATTAAAACGTGATTGCATTTTTTTCTTTTTTTTTTTTCACGAATCATATTAAGACATAAAAGGTGGCTTTTTAAAACGATTCAATTGATGCAGTGCAAGGTAAGATTTATATATATATATATACACAAATATATATAAATATGCGCACGTAGCAAACTCCCATTCCACAATTTGTAACTCCCTCTGTCCTAAAAAAGTTTGAAGCAAGGGACATTTTCATAAGTATGCGAAAGAATATAGCGTAAAAAAAAAGATAGTTAATCACAGAAGAAATCAAAAATAAGGCAAAAATTGATGTTTTAATTACTTGTTCTTAAATAAAAAAAAGGCAAACCTGTATATATGTATGCCTACTTATGTATGTCTATATATGCATGTCTGTCTATGCATGTCTGTCTATGCATGTCTGTCTATGCATGTCTATCTATGCATGCCTATCTATGCATATCTATCTATGCATGTCTATCTATGCATGTCTATCTATGCATGTCTATCTATGCTTGTCTACATATGCATGTCTACATATGTATGCCTGCAAATGAGTTAAGTACACGGGTTGCAACCTTTTCTGTATATAAAAATTTACTCCAAATAACACCATATATATAGGTACATAAATCTTTTTAATTGCTATGTAAATTGCTATTATAATAAAAAAAAAAAAAAAAGTACATGCCTGTAAAAATACTACTTTTGGCGTAAATCTAAAAAGATCCTAAAAATTTTATCGAAAATATAAATTGTTTACAATTTTTTGAAAAACCTTGCGAACATGTGAAAGGGGTAAAAAATCTAACACCTGGCATAATTGTGCACAATATGCACATTTAATTTATAATAAATATAATAAATCTTTTTAACGATATTCATTTTTTCATAAGGCCATTTTTTTCCCCTCCCATGTTTTAAAAGTCGTCCAATAAGCGAATATAATATTCTATTAAAACGATTAAAATGAAAATGTGCTATAGAGGAAGGAGCCTTATGGTGGATTGGGTTAGAAAATCCTTATACTTTTCTCTTAAATTTAAAAGATGAGTGAAAGAAACGCAAATAAGAAATAAACATCCTTTTTTCTTTTATAAACAATTTTATTAAATTCATTGTTAAAAAACGTGTAGAGAGAATATACATATTTTGCTAATGATAAAATTCTTTAAATATATATGAAAAAAAAAAAAAAAAAAACATTTACGTAGAAAAACTTTTTTCTTCTTATACATCCTGCTAAATATATATATATATATATATATAAACTACAGCAGATCTACATTTATTGAGAGCTTAATTTTCCTCCATAGAACTGCACAAATAGCAAATATATAATTTATTATCATACACACACACAACTTTAACTACCTAACTATATTAACCGAACTTTTTTGCCCCTTTTACTTTTACATACTTCTAAAAAAACGTTAACTTTTATAAAAAAATACAAATTATTATACATAATTTCGCAAAAAAACAAAAAGCTTATATTAATGAGATTTAAAAATAGTGGAAATTCATAAGGTATACATATATATATATATATAAAGATAATTTATTTTACGAATCTGTTTAATACAAAAAAAAGAACATATTTGATGATCATGGTAAAATTATAAAATTTGCCTCCTTTAATTTCTACGTTATATATAAAACCTAACTACTATTTAATTTTCTGCCTCTCAAAAATGGCAATTGGGGGTGCAGGAAATAATTTTTCCTTTTTACGTAAAAAAATAGCATATATATATACATATTAATATTATTTCCTTAAAACCTTGATGGGACGTATGAAGAGAAAAGGCGTAATAAAAATGAACAATTAAAAACATATTATTTACATAAAATTATACAAAACAGTACTAACTTTTGTCATAATGACAATTATTTCTTATCCTTTTTTTTTTATTCCATTTACTTATAAAAAAAGCCTGACAGATAGGGACTTCCTCAAAAAAGAATTCAGTAAATTATTATATATATATATATATATATATATATATATATATATATATATATATATATATATATATATGCATATATCCTTATTGGCTATCAAATATTTGCCGGAAAAAAAAAAGGAAATGGAAAAATAATGGAACTATGAATTGGTGTGCTAAAAATCCAATAATTATTTTTTTTTTTTTTCTTTTTTTTCCCGCATTGTGGTAATTAATTTTTAAGCATTTCGATTAAGTTCAGCTGGCGACAAGCTCTTGAATTTTTCAGAGAATAAAAGAAGAATCTATTATTCACCAAAATTTATCATCTATTTTTCGGATTCCTAACAATTTCGTTAGATCTTGAAAGAAATCGAAATATTTTCATTTTTTGAGCCGCGCCTTTTCATCATCACTTTTGATAATCTGTTTATTTATAACAATAAAACATCACAAATACTATAGCAATGATCTTGACTAAGTATTCGTCGACAAAATTTTATCCTTCTTTTAAAATTTCATTAGGTATTATTTTCAACTCTCAATGTGTACCTCTCATAAAATATGCACAACATATTTAACCATAATTATAAACATGAAAATTGGGGAAATGGAAAAGGGGAGGGGGGAGGGGGGGAAAAAAAAGTTACGACATCCTGAAAAAAAATAATTTTCATTTTTCTGTCATGATAAATACTTTTTATATTAACTTAATTCTTCTATGTTATCTCGTAAAAATTTTTTACAAAAGTTTTAATTCATGGGATTGTAGGGATGTTCATGTTTCTGGATGCAAACTCTTATTTACATATATTTTTATATTCTCTATGTAGCAAACTGATCAAGATAGATATAATAAAAGTATATAAAAGATAGCTATATCTTTTTCCGATTATCAAGTTTCAGTCAGTGAAGAAGCTGATCATTTTACTTTTGTTCATATTATTTATTTTCATATCTTTATTCTTAAATAGACTACTTTTTATGGTTAATCATTTGATGGTAGATAAAGGAACATGGGAGGGCAACTCGCTGATTTTTGTTTCCTCCTATTTTTCCCTTAAGAAATAAAAGAAAACATATGTATACACATATACATATATATAATTTTCTACAGGGTGATAAAACTCATAAGCATTATTAAACTACACACCTATATCGAATAAAAAGGTTCAACATGTAAAATTGGGTTATAAAATATGGGACCAAAAGGTATTTAAGTGACTATACACATATTCTGAATCATCATATAGGTTGCTTTAAAACGTTTCCTTCATTAAGGGGTTGTTATATTATTAAAGTTTTTTCCTATTCATGAGTGTTTGTCTTATGCTTTTTTTTCGCAATCTCCTGTCACTTTTAAAGTGTTTTAATAACTTTATTCCATTAGATGGGCGTGTTATACTTTATGTTCGACATTTTCTGACATTCATTTTTTATAAGAATAGAACTGAAACCCCATATCTTTAAGCGACCTTTCACAGCTGCGCAATCCTAGTATTTTTTTATATGCAATAAACACATTGTATGCACTGGTAATATTAACAATTTTGAGAAATAGTGCAAAAAATGAAAACAAACAGGATATACAAATATTTTGTTGTATTTTTTTCATACACTCCTACATTTTTTTTCTACCGTTTTCTACCTTTTTCTATCTTTTTCTTTATTTCTATCTTTTCTTTTCTTTTTTTTTTGATGCTTTAATTTGTATCCCTTTAAAACTGTGTAAATTTTTTGAACAATTGATTTCATAAAAATTTACGATTTTTTCCTCCCCTTAGAAGTTGTGTACACGATATTTTTGCTTAAGTTCTTAAAAAAAAGTAGTGTTTTTTTTTGGTGTATAAAACAAATAGCCCAGTTATGTTCAAATATTGCTAACATTATTTTATTTATTTTGTTTACTTATTTTTTTTTTTTTTTTGTAATAATTATTCTTTGCTTGTTAAACGCTTTTTTTTTTTTTTTTTTTCTCCTTATATTTCAAATTTTCGACCTATTGTATTCACCTCAACACTTTCAACTGTTCGTAGAAAAGTATGATTAACGTGCCACAGTTATCAAAATAAAATTAAAAAAAAAAAAAAAGAAGAGAGAGATAATAAAAATACATATGAACATGTACACATATGGATGCATCATTTTTACTTGCTTTTTGTCACATTTATACACATCCCGAGAAGGTAAAAAATTGGAATTTTCCCACCAGAACTCGATAGACGACATGTAAGAAATGAATGGCGAATAGAGAACACAGAATAGAGGGGAACAAAGAAGGAAAAAAAAAATAAAATAACTAAGAGTACAACAAATTATATAGCTCAAAATAGGACTATGAAAAAGGGTGAAGTGTAGATAAAAATAAATGATTGACAGAGTAACACATTTTTAGAGAAATTCCAAAAATAAAATATAAGATATGTAAGATATATAAAATATAAAACATAAAGCATATACTTGACATCACTCCCCACGCATTATTGCAGCATGTCTAGTTTTTTTACATGGATCTGCATCAATTAGTCGCACCCGATAAGTAACACATTTGATTAGTTACAAAAAATGAGCTAGATCGTTTTTTTGAATTTTCAATTTCGTAAAATAAATAAATAAAATAAAATAAAATAAAATAAAAGTAAAAAATAGAAATGAAAAATAGAAATAAAAATAAAAAATAGAAATAGAAATAGGAATAACAAATAGGAATAGAAATAAAAGGACATATCAGAACACATTACTTGTGCCAAGCCAAGATAAGAACGGAAAAAGGGGCCGACAGGACACAAAAGAGGGCACTCCATACCCTACCACTGAACTGGGTGCAGAATAAAGGAAAAATATAATTAAAACAAAATAATATAAGAGATTAAGAGCAAAGCGTGTCGAAACAGAGAAGCATAATCTATTAGAGGAAAAAAAACAAAAAAAGAAAAAAAAAATGGTGATAACACGGAAAAATATCGAAAATATGGAGATTTACGATTATATGAAAGAGCTGAATGAAAGAATATGGGGATATTTGTTTGAAGATTCGCTAGCACATGAGTCAATATTGCAATCATTAAACGAATTAGAACAAGTTATAATATCCAGATTATTATTCATACAACAAGTGGTGTCTGAAAGAGCAATGAGATTATGGATAAATCCAAGTTCCTTAAAAAAATTAAGTGAATGCATTAAAAATTTGGTAGAAGCTAAGATATTAGTAGAAAGTGAAACAAAGAAGGATAATTACAACCAATATAAAATAAATGATAAATTTAGACTTACAATGTTAAACAAAATTTATAAAAATAATGAAAATAAAATTTATATATTTAATAATAATATTAAGGAACAAACAGAAAAAGAAAAAAAATTATATGAAAAAAATTTATACCCTACTAAAGAAGAAATATCAAATTATGCTCATACCAAATGGAATAATTTGTTACATTTTATAGCTTCTCCAAAATTTAATTATATGAATAATTACAACGTATACAATAATACCAATTCAATGGAGAAAAAACATGCTCATTATTCTCAACATACTAACTTGTCTAATTACTCAAATGATGACATGAATAGAAGTACAAATTTAGATACATATTCATACTACAATAATTCCACAAAAATGAAAAGTAAACAAAATTATACAGATGATGAGGTATATATACCCAGTGAATATGATCTACATAATGAAACATATTACAAAACTGGTAAATACAAAGATAAGCAATATGGGACACATTACTATGCCATGGGTAAGCAGGAGGATGACTATGATGAGGAGAGAACCCCTGATGATTACAATAAATCAAATAATGAATATTATAATATGGAAGGAAAAGAACAGAATACACGAGAAGAATGCAACAACAGTGAAAGCGAAGAGATGAAATACAGTCATTACAACCATTACCACGAACAGAAAGGTTACAATTACCATGAGGATTCATTATCAGGAATGAAAATTGGAAATACAAACAATCCAAATAACCAAGCACTGTCAAATCAGTATGATTTTCTTAGTATGGGGAAGAAAAGGAAGAGGAAGAAGCAGAAGGGAGTTTATGCATCTAAGCAAAATGATCTTTATTATAAGGGTCTACAATATATGGAAAATAGATATATGGAAGAAGAGAATAATGAAAATCCTTTTTTTTTATCAAACGGAAAAAAAGACATTTTTTCTCCCTACACAGCATGTACCAGCCTGATTGAAGTTTTGAAGAGAAAAAATTTCATACTAGAAGATGATGTAAATAGTAATAAAGTAATAAACATGAGTAGAGAAGCTTTTTCTTGGTTTCTGAAAGATATTAGGAGTAGAATCATATCACTAGTTATTGAATATTTGCTTATAATAGATGATGGTTATGTTACAAATATAGCCCAGGAATTTTATGCAAAGTATAAGAAGAAGAAAAAGAATAACAATAATGTGGACACAGGAAACGGTAGCATCCGTAATGCTACTATCAGCACCCTCGAAAGTAATCAGATAAATGAAAAAAGTTATATCAACAATGTCAGCAGTTGCACTATTTATGGAAATGATAACAATAACGGAAGTGATAGAATTTACAATGATCATATGAACTCGTCATATAAAGAAAAGGGGGAAAATGGTTCCGGCTCAGGCTTAGGCTCAAATTCTTGTTATGTAACAGAAGAAAAAAAAGACTCAAATAAGTCTGAAATATATGTTAAGGAAACTTTATTGTTAATTTTATCCATTGGTCAATGTAATATTAACCATCCCATATACCTAGATAATCTAACAACAGCTCAGAAAGAATTTGTAAATTTTGGTATCCACATTGGCCTTTTTTTTAAACGTAATGAGGGTTATATATTTGTAACTCCATATGCTTTATTACTAACAATAAATAACATGAATGTGCAGAATTACATGACCATACTCAACAACTTATCAGTTGAAGGACTGTCAGAGAACGTTTATAATGTATACAATAACACGTTTAATCAACATAACATTTATAATCAGAATGACGTTTATAATCAACATGACGATAACAGGGGCCCTAGCAGCAGCATAGAGATTGATAAAAATGGACATAATGAAGAAATGAAAAAATTAAGTGAAAAGTATTTTCACCATTACTCACTTCTACAAGAAGAGAAAATACAAGAGAAAGAGAAAAAAATAATCACCAGAAATGATAGTCATAATGATGTAAATAAGAACAAAATATCATACGAATTAACAAATCAAAATTTATATTCTGATAAAAAACTTAATGGATATAATAACCTCGAAATAGGGCTAATTGTACAAAGTAATTTTAAAGTTTATTTATACACAAATTCAATATTAAAAATAAATATTTTAAGCCATTTATGTGAATTACAAGCTAGAACACCCAATATGGTTGTTGGTATATTAACAAGAAGAAGTGTTTTAAATGCATACAATTCAGACATAACTGCAAACCAAATCATCAAATTCTTAGAATCATATGGGCATCCAGGGAGAAACAATTTTAAAAGCACCATTCCTATTAATGTTATTACGCAACTCAGGTTATGGGAATCTGAAAGACATAGATTAACACTTGAAGATGCTATCCTTTTCAAATCATTTGAAAAAGAATTTCTTCCTCAACTTTATCAACAAATTGTGGTCTGGGCTAATAGCAAAAATTATTTATTGCATTATACACCTTGGCCAAAAAATAGTAACTCCCCAGAATTTGACACATGGATGAAATCAGAAAAGTATCTTTGTTGTACTTATGAATCCAAAAATGAAATCATTGATAAAATTAAGGAAATTCGAGAAAAGCTGATGAAGAAGAGGCAAAACGTATAGGAGGTTTCTGAGGGGTATCAAAAAAAAAAAAAAAAAAAAAAGAAAAACGAACCAAATCAGCTATGGCAGGTTAGGATTGATCCATGGCTCGGAAAAATAAAACATTATGTTACATACTTCGTTTTAAAAAGGAAGAGGAACCCCTTTGTCCTATACACCATTTTAAAATATTCCAACAAAGGAAGATTGGGAAGGGGGAAATGAGACTCCATTTTATTAGAATTCTAATACGTTATGGAAATCAAATTTATGCGTAAAGAAAAATAGTGTGAGGTGTCATAATCCGTTTTAATTATAACAATGTAGTCATCCTTTTGTTTGGTGCAGATATCAAAATAAAATATCTTTTATGCTTTATACATTGTTATGTTTAGCAGGGAGTTATTTGTCCATTATGAGATTTATTTAGGTTTTTTTTTTTTTTGCCCTCACCACCTTCTAACACTTTGCACTAATACTATATGCATTAAATTCTTACTATGTATAGCAAGGTGGAAAGGGAAAAAATAATATCTTTACCTGTATTTATTTTTATGTTAAATTTCTCCGATTAATTTACCTTGTATTCCAAATGGAAATAAGACCCGAGTTGTGCATGCGTGCATATACGCATAGATACACGTAGATACGCATGTGTGTCTATATTTTTGAAATACACTGGCATCTGTATTAGTAAAAAGGGAGAAAAGGAGAATGTCCAACTATTTACTCAACCATTTCCCATCCATTTTCTCACATTTTACTCTATTTATTTATTTCCTCCTTTTGTGCAATATTAGTAATGATGATTTTTTTTTTTTTTTTTTTTTTTTTAAATTACGAAGAAGTTATTAAAAAGAGTGCAGTAAGGCAAATTCGCAATATAACAAAAGTAAAAAAAAAAAAATGATGCAAAATTTAAAAGAACGTGCATATTAATTTATGCATCATGCATATGTATATACGCACAGATCTATAATCGGTCAATTCTGTGTTCCTTAAAAAAATGATACATTCACAGGTTCATGCATAGATAGATACATGTAGATAAGGTTAGGGAATTTATAGCATTATGTATTTCCCCCACCACCAAATTTATGGATATAAAATTATCCTTTTTTTTTACCATTTTTACTGAAGGATTATAAATTACACTGAGTTTCACTCTTTTCTGTTTCCTATCATTTTTTATTTACCTTATTGGAAAGCTGTAGCCAGTGGGAATACTTTTCTGCAGCAGATCTAATATGATATAAAAATGGGGGGAAAAGAAATGGAAAAATTGGGAAAAAGAAAAAAAAATAAAGGGGAAAAAAAAGAAATGCCAAAATTGGGAAAACGAAAAAAAATATAGGGGAAAAAGGAAATTCCAAATTTCGCACAAAATAAAACTCAAAAATTATGCCTGTACACTTTCAAATGTCATACTCTTAACGTAAAATTCATTATATTTTTTTGTACTGAATTTACAAAAATAAAATAAAATTTCTACCTTAAAATGGCTTAAGAGGTCAACTAACTGTGAACATTTCTCTTGTCTTTTGTATAAAAATCGGAGAAATTTAAAACATCTTGTTAATTTATTTTTTTGTGGGTCAATGTTAAACCTTTCCAAAAGATTTTCTTCTATTTTTTCGTTACAGTCCAAGTACATTTCTAGGGCTATAAAAAAGTATAGGGGGATATGTGTGTGTTGGGATGTGCTTGTGATGGTGTGGGCGATAGAAATAAAGTATTGTTAAATTTCACTTGCTTCAAATTGAGAAACAAATAAATGAAGACGTAACAATGTATAAGTGGGTGAGGCAATTATACATAGTTCAAAAAAGCAACAATGGAGTTTTTTTTTTTTTTTTTTCTTTTTTCTTTTTTTTTTTACACTCACCTGATTGGTAATATCGCAAGTCACCTTTTTTATACTCGTTACCAAAAATTATAAAGTCTTGCATATATTTTTTTCGAACATCTTTTAACAACTCATCATTGTATGTCGAATGATTTAATCCCAAAAGTTCGTTTAACTTTGTTGTGATTTCTTTTCTTAACTCTTCAGTCATCCTATCAAAAGGGACTATATATAGAAGTACAAAAAAAAAAAAAAAAAAAAAAAAAAAAAAATGGAATAATTTTGTTAAGAGAAAAAAGTTCGATAAAACAATGTTGCACGGGATAGTCAAATTGAGCGGCAAACAAGTTTTGTTATTTTATTTTTTTTCTTTTTTATGGCCACTTGCACAGGTAATTATAGTGACAAAAAAAAAAAAAATAAAATACATTAAATGTTGCATGTTAAATGTTGCATGCTAAATGTTGTATGCTAAATGTTGTATGCTACATGTTATATGCTACATGTTATATGTTAAATAATTACCTGTGCACAGATAGTGAGAAATCACGGGGGCAAATTTATAGTTGTAGTTGTGGTGAGGAAATATGGATTTCATCTTGAGGATAGTGTCGATCATCGTTCCATAGTCTTTTTCTGTAGAAAAAACGTGTACATATGTATAAGTGTAATAAATATATGTGCACACATGGGTGTGTGTCTGTTTTTTTTTATATGGGGTTCCTACAAGGAGTGCGCATCCAGCGTATAAACAGGGGTGATAGCGAAAATATACATGATGCTATACACACGCAGCCACACACACACAGCCACACACATGCGATCAAACGGATCAGTCGTACCTGGTGACCTGCACTCAATATCATATTTCAACTTGTACAGAGAAAGGTCAACATTCGGTTGCGATAAAAACGTTTTCATATATATCATAGCATTATCTATTGGGTCATTTTTTATATGTTCATAAATATCACTTTCTTCCTGATTAGTAGCAGTTGGTTTGTTTTTTTTTTTGCTATTTTTATTTAAATCATTTTTGTATAATAATCCAAAATCGTGCATGTATAATAAAGTTTTAATTAAACTTTTTCCAAATTTTCTATAAAATCTGCTTGAAAATATTTCACTTGTCATATGTAATAAATGCTTATATGATCTATATAGTACTTTTCTTATGGTGTAATAATAAAAGCATATTTGGTCTTCATGGATATCCATAAATTGCTTATGTCCCATATGCAAATAATGTAACCCTCTGCTGTAGTCATTAAATTCATTTCGTCCCAGCATATCATTATCCACTAGGATACTTTTCCGTAAGTTTAGTTTTTGCTTTCCGTTGATTTTTTTGTCATTCTTGTGTTCACCCTTCCCCACATTGGGACTCTTTTGTAGGTTTTCCACATCAGTAACGCTTCTCCCGTTTATCCCACTTATACCTCCTATGTCACTTGTCCCACTCGTCCCACTTATACCTCCTATGCCATTTATCCTACTTGTACCTTCTATGTCACTCCCCTGCTCCTCATCTCCAAAGTCATACAAACTGTCAAATCCCAAGCTGAGGAACCTTCCCAGGTGTATATTTGGATGATTATTAAAATAACTCATAGAAATGCTGTATTCCAACCAAAAGGATTGCGTTTCATTTATATTTTTCATAAAATTGTTGTCCAGAGGGTTAGTAAATATAGAAGCCATTTTTTTTGCATCCTTTATCAATCCACATTTCAAACAAGTTTTAATTGTTTTCGAGTTAATAAACCTATCCCCTATATTCGCGATTCTACACTTTTCCAGGTATCTGTATGCATCTAAATAATTTCCATTTCGTTTATAAATTAATCCTTTTATAAAAATCAATTCGTGTTTAACACATTCATTAATTTTGAAGGTGATTCTGTTCAAGCTATTTTCAATAAGGGCTAGCGATTCATTTGCGCAATTTATGTAATCATATAACTGACTAATAAACGAATGAATGCATAACATGAAATATTCTTTTTTTTCCTCATCTGTCAGAATCATATTTTTTAAATCAAGTTTTATTTCTTTTTTTTCTTCCTTATTCTCATTGTTTTTTTTACTAATTCTGATATTGCTTTTGTTTTCATTCTTCTTTTTCGATTCTTCTTCTTCTTTGCCTCCTCTTCCCATGTGAGATGCCATTCCCACAATACTTTTTATTTCATCCGATTCTTCTAAGAATCGATCCACTAGCTTTTCATTTCTCAATTGCTGTGTCTCATTCGTACCACTATTCATTTTTTTTTCAAGGGACATGTCATTCACACATTCCAGATTATCATTATCGTGCACATTAGTAATTTCCACATTTCTTGTTTTCTCATACGTAAGGTTTTTATGATCCTGGTCAGACAAAAACTCCCGCTTTTCGATAGTATCTTCACGACGGTGTTCTCCAACTTTTTCAACCATCTGACCTAACTGCTCTCCTGTTTCAAAATATGCGCAGATATAGTTACCATCAATCATTTCTCCACACTTAATGGGGGATATATCCTTGGACTTGTCATAATTTTCAATATATTTATGAAGCAAAAAAAGAATTATTTTAATATTTTTATATGTAAAAAATGGCTTAAAATAACTAAAGACAGTTAAACATTTCTGAAAACATAAACTACGTAGTAATATTTGTACATGAAATGAAAATTTTTTTTCATTATAAAAATAGAGGGGAAATATTTTCAATAAATTTGAACTTTTATACACTTTTTGTAAATCTTTAAAATAATTTTCGAAATAATTTTCCTCTTCATCATTTAAATTCTTTATTTTATAAAAATGAATCTTATCCATACATTTTTCAAATTTTTTTTTATGACAGTATAGTAAGTCTACTCCCAATTTTTCTGACCAGTGAATGTTGGTATATGAGTACACATCTATATTCGAAATTTCATTCACTTCTTTTTTAATACTTTCCCTTAAAGAATCAATGAATTCATTTACATTTGATATATGTAAATTTTCTTTAAATTTTGCTTCATCTACTAAATTTATATTCACAAAATTGTTAAATTCTGAAATTGTGTAAATGTCATATTTTTTCATTTCCAAATTATGGCATACATAATCATTCAAAATATTTTTCTCCTTCTTGGAGAGTAGCTTTAAATTTCTATTCGATCCATAAATATCTAAAATAAATTCGTGTAAAAGTATTTTAACACTCTCCTTAATATTTACCTTTTCATCCATTGTGTGTTCATCTTTATAGTCTAAATAGAACAGGCTAGACAACGTCTTGATCTTTTTCTCACTATCCATCCCTTGCTCAGGCTCTACCTTTTTAGACTCTTCCACGTTGTCATGTTCAACTTTCACACCTGAAGGAATGGCACTACCACTGCTATTGCCACTGCTACTGCCACTTCCACTTCCACCTAACTTGTAGTTCCTTTCTGTAAATAAAATTAACAAAAGTACATTCAGATTTTCATAATTCATCTCGAACGCCCTTTTAAAAAATAAATTTGCCTCCACAAAATTATCTTCAAAAAGGTGTACCAAGCCAACCATTTTGTTATACCAGAACTTGTCATACAGTTCTTTTTCATGTGTCTTTAGAAAGTTCATACACGCTTTGTACATCTTCCCTTCTAACAGTATTTCAGCCATGTATACTAAAAGATCATGTTTTTCACTAGTTGATAAATCATTCCCCCTTACTGGATCAGTAGAATTTGTCTTGGCTCTCAAATCCTCTTCCATTTGATTTATTAAAAAAAAACATTTTTCATATTTTTCGATAAGGTGATAGGAGAAAATTAAAATGGCTTTATCTCTTACCCCTCTGATGGTATCTTTATACATATCTTCCCGCAGGTCCTTAAATTGTTCATACTTTTTTAAATATAGTAAAAGTATACATGCCTCTTTTAAAGCTTTATAATCATATCGATTAATCTTGATAGATTTCAAGTAACACTTCAAAGCTTCATCATAATTTTTATAAATTTTGTATAAACATCCATATAAATACCAGCAAAAACCACTGGATATATTATTTATTATTCCTTCTTTTATAAGTTTAAAAGCCTCTTCCTTATTTTTCTCGTCCATCAAGTTCAGTAAATAACCCTTTACTGCTAACGTTTCTCCATTTTTTGGATATTTCTTCAGTATCTGTTCGCATATTTTGAATGCCTTCTTGTGTTTCTTTAGCTCTATCAGCTGCGTCATAAGACGAAAGTTGTTCATTTCTTTGGGTGTCAGTTTGTTGAAATCTGCCCCATCTTTCTTCATTTTGGATTTCTAGCCTTTTTCTTGGACAAGCGGATTTGATCAGTTCCCTTTTTAAGCTGCCCTTTTAAGCTGCCCTTTTTACACTTCCTTCCTAAGATGCCTCTTTGCACTGCCACTTGTCCCTGGTTGCTCTTTCTTATAAGTCACACCGATTGAGAATTTTATTATTTATTTTCCAATTCACCTTTTTCTTACTTCCTCGTAGAGCCTTGTCTCATCCCTTTAAACGACTCAACAAAGATTTAGAGAAAAGGCTTTCACATAAATACTTTCCTCCTTTTCACAAGTTTTAATACAAACCATTAATATATTGCTGCTGGTGTGTGCGCACAGTATTCATAAAAATGTGTGATCAAAAAGGGGCTATAACTACACAAATAAACGAATTATAAAAAAAAAAATAGACTTATGGATTTCCTGCTTGGTGCATAAAGAGGAAAAATGTCTTTACAAAAATGTGTGGAAATTTAAGTTGTGCGGAGAGCATATATGCATGTATATGTAAATAATATGTATTCATGTATATATATATATATATATATATATATATATATATACATATATGAACTTCTACCCGCGCATGGGTGAAAGAATGATGTAAAAAAAAAAAAAAAAAAATTCACAACTTGGACTAAATCAGTCTCTTTTATAAGTACTCTAAACGGGTAGGAGAGAAATATGTCAGTATACATAGTGTAGATACGTATGTGTAAATAAATGTAATTGTAGATCAACGTATGAATAGCATGTTATCGTTATTAACACAGATACATACTCTCTGAAATTGTTGAAAAACAAAAAAAGGGAATTCGTAGCACCTAGTTTTTTTTTTTTTTTTTTTTAACTGAATGAAAATAACTTGAGCATCATTTTATTATGTTAGTATAACTCAGAACAGGGGAATGCTACACAATGTATTCAATAAAAGGATTTTCCTGTTTTATTTTTTCTATTTTATTTTTCTAAAGCATTTACGTATGTGTGTTAACCCATTTTCTACATTTTACTAAATGTAACTATTTCTTACAAAACCATAACAATCTTTATGAATTATTTACCTCTACAAAATGTAACGATTTTTTTTTTTTTTTTTTTTTTTTTTTTTTCTACCTTCCTTCATGCCCAAAGATTGTAGTAGCACTCTGTTAAAATAATGGAAACATGATAATGCCATTTCTTCAACAAAAATATCTCCAAATTTTTATTCATGTCATAAAAAAATAATAGTATATACCACTCTCCCTTATTTTATACTGCACTTTACCATTTCTTTGTTCTTGTGCTCCGCAAAAGTTATGCCTTTATCCTGTCACTATGAAAATGGGAAAAAAAAAAAAAAAAAAAAAAAAAAAATTCCTGTCAAGGGTGAGAAAATCTAGCAACAGTGGGGAAACGAACCATATTATTAGCAACAACAGTAAGGAGTTATGCTCCTTTGTTCATGACACTTTTTTTTTTTTTTTTCTTTTTTTTCCATTACTTCAAGCAAATATTTATCCTTCCCTATTTCAGTATGCATACATGTATATAATATAAAAATTATTTAATATTGACTACTTTTTAAGAATACTCTTACCCCCACCTCACCCCAGCCCCTGACACATTTCACGTACGAATGATTAAACATGGAATGGGTTAACCATATCATTTCTCCTCATACTAGTAGGAAAAACAATTCTTCAAATATACATACATATATGTATATGCACGTTTAAATAAGTACAAAGTGTAAAAAAAAAAAAAAAAAAAATATATACGTGTGTAGGAACCAATTTATTCACATTGAAGTGGGGAAAATTTAGAATTGCTAATCCATAGAAAGCCACTTAAAATGACAGTTTTATATTTTTGTACTCCTTGTCTCAGTATTGTTTTTAAAAAAAAAATGACGTTGTCCCGGCTGATACCCCAATGATTTCCACAAAAATTTATCTCAATCATTTGAAATGTCCCTTAACCTGTACCATTTACGCATCATCACACGAGCGCTATGTTATATAGTTATCCTTCTAATTATTCAGCAAACTCCTACTTCTAAAACATACCTTTTGGAGAAAAAGAAACTATCCCTGCAGCCCCCCAGGGTTCAGAAGTAATTGGAAAATTTGCCCGATAATAAATACACAAACAGTTCGTGTTCGAAAATATATACATATATATATATATATATATATATATTTTGCTTAATGCAAAAGTATGTTACTCTCCTCTTACGTGAACAAATAAAAAGAAAAAAAAAAAAAAGGAAGAGATGCACCTATGAAAGAAAATTATATAAGGGTGTGTACAATATTAACAAGCTCATTTAAATTGATACATATTTCCTTAGCAGTGTATTTTCTGCTTCCTCCAATTTTATGTTCCATTTTTTTTCGTTTTCTCCCTTTTTTCTCCCTTTTCTCACCCCAAACATAGACGCACACCTTCCCGACGTGGCACGTGTAGGAACTCCAACAATCGCATAAATCTAATTAATGAAAAATGTAAGTGTAAATATTTAGACAAGAATTATGATGTTATAGTTATAGGGGGAGGGCATAGTGGATGTGAGTCCAGTTACATAAGTACAAAATTAAAAGCTAAGACATTGTTAGTAACTCAGTGTAAGGATAACATTGGGGAAATGTCTTGTAACCCTTCAATAGGTGGTATTGGTAAAGGAATTTTGGTTAAAGAAATTGATGCTCTTGGTGGACTTATGGCAAAAGTAATTGATAAAAGTGGAATACATTTTAAAATATTAAATCTAAGGAAGGGACTAGCTGTCAGGGGACACAGAGCCCAAGCGGACAGAGACCTTTACAATTATTACATGAAAGAATATATGTTCAACACGGAAAACCTCTACATTTTAGAGAACACCGTTCAGTCATTGTTAATTGAAGATTCGTTGGGTTCCGCTACATCTGCTACATCTGATACTAGCGGCACTTCTAGTGACAGCCGTGCACCAAGAGGAAGACGGGTTTATGGCATCAGAAACAAATGCTGTTGTGAATTTTATGCAAAGAGTGTTATCCTCACGACAGGGACATTTTTGGGAGGCATCTGTCACATAGGAAAGAATACGTACCATGGTGGGAGGATCAAAAGAATATCATTATTCAATGAAACACAATGCATGGATGGTACACAGAAGAAAGAAAATAAATCTACTAGTGTAGAAGAAGAGAAGAAAAAAAGTGCAATAAATAAATGGAATAATGTTCATGGTAACAGAATATTTGATATGAACCATATAAATATACAAAAAGAGTTCAATAATAACTCCATTTTTGACAAACTAGTAGAAACATCTACACAAAGTATTTCAAACCAATTAAAGGAAAATAATTTCGAGATAAAAAGAATGAAAACAGGGACTCCACCTAGACTCCACATTAACAGCATAAACTTTGACATTTTAGAAAAAGAAGATAGCGAAAAAAAAAATCCTTTTTATTTCTCCTTTTTGAATAGTAATCAGATTAATAATAATAAAACATTACCTTGTTATAAAACATACACTAATTTAAAAACTCATGAATTAGTTAAAAAATATTTAAATGAATTACCAGATTTTGATTCCTATGATAAGTTGGGAAATGGACCAAGATATTGTCCATCTATAGCAAAAAAAGTCACCAAATTTTCTGAAAAAAATAAACACATTATATGGTTAGAACCTGAAGGATTTCATAATTCACTAATTTATCCTAATGGTTTAAGTTCTGCTTTCCCAATACATATACAAAAACAAATTATAAATTCTATAAAAGGATTAGAAAATGCAAAAATAATCTTCCCAGCATATGATGTTGAATATTATTATGTGAATCCTCAAAGCTTAAATTATACCTTAGAGACCAAGTACATCAAAGGGTTATTTCTTGCTGGACAAATTTGTGGCACCACAGGATATGAGGAAGCAGCATGTCAAGGTATTGTCGCAGGAATTAATGCAGCATTACTTTCCCTTTCTAAGAATGAAAAAAGAAGCAATCAATTCATTTTGAAAAGAAATGAAAGTTATATAGGTGTTCTGATACACGATTTAATAAACAAAGGGGTTACAGAACCGTATAGGATATTCACATCCAGGGCCGAATATAGACTCTATCTCAGGCCAGACAACTGTGATATAAGGCTTACACCGAAGGCACACAAGCTGGGGATCGTTTCAGATGAGAGGATTTACATAATGAAACAGAAATATGCTTCTATCAATAGAATTATTTTTCTGTTTAAGAATTTGCAGCTGGATAATGTGCGTGCAGGAGAAGAGGAAAACACAAAAATGCAAACGGAGGAATGTAAGCCCAAATTGAAAACGGAGGAATGTAAGCCCAAATTGAAAACGGAGGAATGTAAGCCCATATTGAAAACGGAGGAATGTAAGCCCAGATTGAAAACGGAAGTAGATTACCCAACTAACACAGATCACACAATGGACTCAAAAGATTCTGCTAATCTCGCGACTTTGAACGACAACTCTTGTATTACAACGTATGGAGAAAGTATACACACGCAGAATGGTAAGACATTAGAGGGGCAACTGCAAAATGATAGGACAAGGAATGAAAAAGATGTAAGTGACAAATTTGTGAAAAATTCAATTAGAGCATTCGAACAAGTTTGTAAGGACAACATAAAATTGAAATTCACATCTCGTAAAGGAAACATAAACACACTATATAATATTCTCAGAAGCGGAGTTGAATATCCATTAGATGTTTTGTTAAATAAATTAAGGGAGATAAAACATTGGGACGAATTAGACAATACATATTTACCTGAACAAAATAACCTAACTATTTATATGGATAAAATACAAGACTATCATTTAGCACATTTTAAAATTGACGATCTTATAATAAATATGGCAACACTAGAAACTGCTTGTGCAGAAGTTAAATATTTCTCATACTTGAAAAAGCAAATTCGAGAAATAAACAAAATTAAAGACAATTTCGATTTGTCTATCCCTCCAAATTTAAAATATGACAGGTAAAGCATCTTCCTCCCCCAAGTTAAATGTACAAACACTAGAACATCTGCAAAAAAAAAAAAAAAAAAAAAAAAAAAAAGAGGCGAGTGTGTGGGGGGAATTATTATATATATATTCTCTCATGAGTATCGGTGCTTTACATATGTTTGAGAAATTCCCAACTGTACTTTTTTCTTGTGGTATCCCCAATGTTTGTCTACCCCAACATCATACATACACAGCTAATGAAAGATTACTTCTCCCTTATCCCCGCAACTGTAGGCAAAACTTCCCATATTTGTCGAACGAGGAAATTGAGAAATTGGATAAATTTAAACCGCGTACTTTGTCAGAAGCAAACCGGATTGAAGGTGTAACTATGAGCGCCATTTATTATTTATATTACTACATAAAAAATGAGAAAAAGAGGGTGAAAAATTGAAGGTTCCTTTTTTTTTTTTTTTTTTTTTTTTTTGGGGTATATTCCCAATGCTTGCGACATAGTTCAATGTCTTTTTTTTTTTTATCTTATTTGGTGCACCAAATTTGTTTGACTGTCTTTTTTTTCACTGCATTTATTTTACCACATTTGTTACATTTCTTTTTCGCTATTTCTATTTACGCCACCCCATGTTACGTTATTTGCCAACCCTGAATAAACGTCTACATTTCACATTAGTTCCATTCAGGAAGAATTATATTTGTCATTCGTTGTTTCATATTTATACGTACGAGTTATGTGATGTGTTTTTTTTATCCCTATTCCTCATCTGGAGGTACAATAATATCGCAAACGTCGAACAAGAGAAAAAAAAAAAAAAATATAAATATTCTTACACCTTTGCTACGTTTTAATATTTATATAGGCATATGAACCGTGAACCGTGAATGCATGAATGATTGTGTATTCTTTTGGATATTATTTTTATGAGTAGTACGTGTGTCCATAGGCACGTATGTGTACAAACACTTATTGTATATATACTTATATATACACGTATGTATATATTTATGTATATACTTATGCATATAATTATGTATATACGTATACATATACTTATTTATACACTTATGCATATATTTATGTGTATACTTATGTATATGCATATGTATATGTGTAAGCTCAAGCACATGCGCGTGTGTGTATGCCCATGTCACACCTTTGAAGTTTTTTTTTTTTTTTCTTTTTTTTGTTTCCAATTACTTGCGTACTAATTTAGTGCTCTTTCCTTCCTTCCTGGGACCCCTTTTCGCTTTTTTTTTTTTTTTTTTTTTTTTTTTAAAAAGGGAAATATATCTGATCTATAGAAAAATTACTGAATAGTTAACATATCGAGCACGTTTTGTTTTATCTGTTCCCTCTCCACATCATCATAAAATTTCCACCTTTTTATGCACACCCATATTCGCACAATTTAAAATTTTCTAAAAAAAAAAAGCAAAAAAAAAAAAAAAAAAAAAAAAAAAAACGTGTAATTCATTTTAAACGGTTGAGGTAAAATTACACATTGTAAATTTGTTTATAACTGTGTGATAAAAAAAAAGAGGTAGCAGCAGTAGTTAATGTAGCATGAAAAGAAAAAAAAAAAAAATACATGTATTTTTTTTTTTTTTTTTTTTTTTTTTTTTTTTTTTCTCCATCAAACAATCTCCTTACCTTCCTCCGTCTGTTTTCCCCTACCCCAGACATGTTTGATACATCACAACAATAAGATATAACTTAATAAAATAAAAATATAAAATTTTCCATATTTAATGAAACGAAAAATGTGATGTTAAACATGATTCGAAGAAAATAGGTGAGTAGGCAATTTTATTGGCATTTTATTTTTATTAAAAACGAGAGGGGAAAATTGTTCACACCACAATCCACCTCTTTGTGCCATGTGGGAAAAGACAAAATAAATAGAACGTACAGAATAGAACATGCAAAATAGATCATGCAAAATAGATAATACAAAATAGAATATGCAAAGTAGAACATGCAAAATAGAACATGCAAAATAGAACATGCAAAATAGAACATGCAAAATAGAACATGCAAAATAGATCATGCAAAATAGATCATGCAAAATAGAACATACAAAATAAAACATACAAAATAAGATAAAGGTTTTTTTTTCTTTTTTTACCCACAATTACTAACATTTTGCAACAGTTGCACTACCCAATCTCGTGGTCACTCTGCCACAGCCTTTCAGGTAGAGATAGGTTCCCTGTACCTTCTAGACAAATAGAGATATCCAAAATAATACAAACCAAAAGAATTAATTAATTGTAAAGACATGAATTCCGAAAGAAGTTATCTGGCTTTTTTCTCAAAAAGCGTTATTTTATTATTTGTGTCTGATTTTTTGAGTTACACAAAGAGACTGAGTAGGAAAGTCTTGCAGGAACGAGATAAGAGCAGCCCACGTTACTGATGTGAAGCAGTGTAGCGTGAAAGAAACAAAAAAAAAAAAAAAACAAATAAGCAAATAAGCAAATAAACAAATAAGCAAATAAGCAAATAAGCAAATAAGCAAATAAACAAATAAGCAAATAAGCAAATAAGCAAATAAGCAAATAAGCAAATAAGCAAATGTAGAAACATTCCAAATCTCCAAATACATAACGTGTCTTAACTCTCCAAATCTGCAGAACAGCATGATGCTGGATAAATTCAAAAACATTGTTAATCTGAACAACAATGTAGCTGATAAAGATGCATCCAAGAATGCTGAAGCAAACAAGAACCAAGAGGGAAATGTAAATTCAGATGGAAATAAAAAAGTTGGTGGTGATCCATCTTTAGATGGAACAGATGAAAAGACTTTTTTTGATGAAATGCTAGGAGCACCACAGTATACATATGATGAATTCTTAAAAGTATTAAAAAGTCCAAAACAAGAGAGAGGAGATACGGAAGATTTAAAAAAACATTGGGGATATCCCAGAAGATGGAAAGTTATTTTGTGGGATTTACAAATACAGAATTATATGAACAGTGATTTTAATGCATTCGTTGACTTTGACTTTGGAGGTAACCGAGAGGAGTGTCGAATACAGGTGAGTGCATTTTTCAGGAGTAGTGCAAACAAAATTGCACCAGCAGTAGCAGTTGCAATGGCAGTAGAACTAACACGAGGGGACGCGATAAGTGCAAATCTCCAACTTCTCCGACTAATGGAATTGCACAGTTCCCTTGGTGGAATGATCTAATTAACATGAAAAAATTTACTTTTTTTCCTGCCACAGAGAGGTTCCAGTATGAAAATTTATGCAAAGGGAAAAGTGAAGAACTGTCTGAGAACCCACGTTGTGTCTAATGTTGGGGCAGAAGAAAAAAAAAATATGAATTTTACAAGCGTGTTTGAATACAGAGGTTCCTATTTAGACTTAGAAAATGAAAAATTACGAATAAAAGTATGGGAATATAAACAATATACTTTAAATAAATTAGAAGGAATATATGAAGAACCTCTTTTATCATTTGCCGTTGGACAAATATATAATGAAACAACGTTGTATAAATTAATGAAAGATACAAGAGTTAAACGATGTCGTTTATTTTTCCAGTTATATTTTCAAGAGTTATATGATTTTGAATTATCATTTCTGAATTGGTCATTTAGTGATTTATTATCTTATACATATATACAAGCTAAAAGTTTTAAATATGTAGAAGACGATCCTAATATAATTGGAAGGAGATTTAATAAAAATGGGCATTGTCTTTTATTTCCTGAGGGGGGAAGATGTGTAAAAGTAAAAAAGTTAAATAAAAAGACCAAAAAAAAAATAGAAAAAAAAAGTACAGAATGTGGTATAAATGTAAATTATTCTTTTAATACTGTTTTATCTGGAATTTCAGAACAAAATGATAAAAATGGTCAAAATAACAGTAATACTAACAAAAACAAAATAGATAGAAAGACAAAAAATCTCGAAACTTTATTTTTTAGAAATCTAAGCTTAATGCAAAATGTAGAAGAAAATGACCAACTCTCCTCTTACAAAAATGTGGAAAATATTAATTTCCCAAACCCTAGAGTTACTATCACATTAATACACACACCTAAAGGCCATGACGGATTGTCTCTCACATCGATTGAACAGAAAGAAATTAGTTTTCCTATCTGGGAAAATCTCGGGGAGATGTATTTCAGGGGTACCCTCAGGGACCTCGATGTCTCATACTTGAGCGTAAGCACTTGCACAAATAGTTTCCTTTGCCAGATTTGTTCATGGGACGCTATGCGATCGTGTTTAGTCGTCCTCAATCGTGTGTAATCTCCTTCAATCGTGTGTAATCTCCTTCAATCGTGTGTAATCGTCCTCAATCGTCTTTAATCATCTTTAATCATCTTTAATCATCTTTAATCGTGTGTAATCGTCCCCAATCGTCTTTAATCATCTTCAATTCTGCTCAATCGCTTTCAACCCTGTTCAACGGGATGTTCGAACCCTAGTGCATACTCACCTACATCAGTGGAAAATTTTTCCACTTTCTTAAAAATGTCCAATTTTTAGATCAAAGTAGAGGATATGTCCGCACCCAAAAACAGGAGAGAAATCGGGACGTGCCAAATTCCATTGAAAGGAATTGTAGATTACCCATATGTTATGCATGAGCTTGAGGCTCCCCCTTGGTTAATTGAAGAAGCAAAATATGAAGGATGGGAAAACAAATTAGAAGAATGGAAATTAGGGACAGTAGAAGGAAAAGTGCTAATTTCGAGAGTACCACGCTATAGACAGATGGGAGATATATATCATTTGGATTGTCGTTATTCTTATTTAATAGTTCATATACTTAATATCGATAAAATAGTAACTGTAGATAACATAAAAGAATTAGATACATATGTAGAGGTTTCATTTGATGAGACAAGTAGAAGAACGAGATTTGTCAAAAAAACATTATCTCCTTATTATGACAGCCAAATAGCTATACCATTACGGTTTAATCATAAAGATGAAGTTAATTATTACAATTTTAGTAAAAAAGGGTGTATATATATAGATGTATGGGGGAAATCAGATGAAATTATATACGTTGGTGGAATATGTATAACACCATATGAAATATTTTTTAATGAGAAAAATGTTAAAAGAGCTAAAACAAAATTAGAACACATAGATTTAGAGACAAATGTTAAAACTCCATACGACACAGTTGTGTATAGAGGATGTAAAAAATTATTATTTCTACATAACGATCAAAGAGTATCAAATATACACTTCAGTATTTGGACATACCCTGATATACTAAGTAATGATGATGAATATAATAATATTGTTGCTCCTCCTATGTTCAACACTACCAAATATTTCCCTACTAAGTTAGCAGAAAAATATGAAAAATTGAAAATTCTATATTTAGAAGTATTAAAAACAATAAAAGGAATTCCAGATGGATGCACAGATATATATAAGACAAAAAGATTTTTTAATTACGAGTTATATAATCAAAGAAAAGAAAGCCATTTTTTACCTACTCTAATTACAAGTGTCAAATCACCATATGGTGCAGAATCTACCAATGCAATATTCCATTATGTTAGATGTATACCATTTATTCATAAAAAAGAAAATATAGCATTTACGCCAGATTTTACATTACAATTAAAAGGAGGAAATGCTGTAGACCATAGTTTATTATTATGCAGCTTATTTCTAGGTATACCTGTCATTTCTTTTGTTTGCTTTGGAACCCTATGGGATAATCAGAAACACGCATGGGTGTGTACTTTTGAATTTAATGAGGAAAAGAATTATGGAATTATAAAATTTTGGGAAACTACTACAGGAAATGTATATACTTTGAAAAAAAGATTTACGGATATGAATAAATTAAAAAGTTTAGAAATAAAATTAAATGAATCTAAATATAAATTACATATGAGACATGGTTTTCTACAAAAAAATGGAATCAATACAACAAATGTAGAAAAAATTAAAGAAGAAACTAAAAGACAAATTAAAGAATTATTCAAAAATAGAATATCAGATACTCCAGTTGGTGGTCCATCTATTCCTTATAAAACAATAGATCTTATTTTTAATAATAAAAATATTTATCTAAATTTACAAGACCCGAACCCATTAAATATTTGGTATGATTATTGGAAATTTGATTTATGGTTTCCATTTTCATCCATTGAATATAATATTCAACCTTGTTTTACAATTAAAAATTTTTCTCATAAAATGGAAGATATGGAATTAGATAGAATAGCAAAAGAACTTAGAGCAAGCATTGAGAAAAACATAAATGTTTATAGAGCTTCCAGAAATTTATCAACCAGATGGAACCGAGATGAGACACTAGAACTCTTTCTACAAGTCGGGTTAGAATTATTGCACCAATTAAATACTTCACGAAAAGAAGATGCACTCTTGGCTAAATTAAAAATTGATGATTGGAAAAAAGCATTATATCATAAAGTACCACAAAGTCATAGATTACTTGGATTTCCATACCATTTCAACACTTGTAAATCAAAATTCATTTCTGATAAACTTATTAGTACATTAGCAATTTTAGAATCAAGAGATAGATCCCTATGTCTTTCGCTAGCTGTCTGTTTGTATAGTCTACCCGGAGATTTTATATCTGCTTACATTTATATTATTACCTGTGTTAAAATAACTCAAAGAGAATTACGCAAAATTGAAATGGTCAAAGAAAAGGTTAATACAACATTATATTTTATTCATCTTTTGAGAGTTCTACAATCATCTATCATGTTTTTTTTTCTTTTTCTTCCATCCATTCTTAATGTGCTATATATATTTTACAATTCATAAAATTAATTACCCTTTATCATATATTTTCATATATCATAGTGTGAACAAAAAATAGAGAAATGCTTGGATAAATGATTCGCCTTGTCCATATCATCCCACATGCATCAATTTTTTTCTCTTTTTTTTTTTTTTTTCTTTTTTTCTTTTTGGTATCCCCCTCAGGCTCAAAGAAAAGCTGAAATAAAGAACGCCAAAAAGAAAAAGGAAAAAACCGAAACTGAAAATGTAGATGATCGGACTGTGGATGTAATAGATGAGGATGCTCTTGATCAGCATATGCTTGATGATACCTTGAAGTATGATACTTATGAAGAAGAAAAGATAGAATACAGCTCCCTCAAGCATAGAGGAATTGAAGAAGAACATGCAGGTGATCATAGGAGGGGAGATGCCATCGATAACCATATAAATGACGAAAGGATGCCAAGACAATCCTCGGAAGGCAATAGGAGAAAATCCAAAAAGAAGAAGCTAATCAAATCGGACTATATGATCAGTCCTTTGCCAACCATCAAAAATGATGAGAAAGGAGAGGAAGGTGAGAAAGAAGAGAATGCAGAGAATGCAGAGAATGCAGAAAATGTAGAGAACGCAGAGGATGCAGAAAATGTAGAGAACGCAGAGAATGCAGAAAATACAGAGAACGCAAAGAATGAGAAAAATCAAGGATATAAAAACAGAGAAGAAAACATCATTGATAGCAACCGGATGATAAAGACACAGGAAAGGTTGAATAATTTGAAAAAAATGGATCCCGTAGAGAACGAAAAGGAACCATGTAGAAACGTCGGAAGCAAAATAGAAAAAGAAGACGAAGAAGAAAAAAATGGTAAACCACAGGAAGAGACAATCACTAATGACACGAAAAAATTGAACCAGCCTGGGGAAATCGGAGCTTCTGAATCAAATGATCAAAGAAGGGAGGGAAAAAAGGAGGACACAAAAGAAATGAAGAGAAAAAAGAAAGAAAAAGAAAAGGGGAAGAGAAAAGAGAGAGAAAAAGAAAAAGAGAAAGAGAAGGGGAAAAAAGAACTAGAATTCGAAAAACTCATAAGGTCAAATAACTACTTTGAAAAGGAAAAAAAAAAGTTACAAGAAGATATAGAAAAATTAGAAAAAGAAA